AGAGCCGCATGTGGCTTGCGAGCCGCAGTTTGCCGACCACGGTCCTAGGCAAACCATCCATGCCTCAGTGTTCTCATCCATGAATCAATGGGGCAATTTCTGGCATTGTTTCCTGTCAAACATACAGGAGGTGCTTGATAGTCTATGACTGCACACGAAATAGGTAATTTCAAAGACATTTCCCAACTTTTTATCATATTTAACTCAATTCACTTCTGTGAAAAGTAGTCAACCAGCAAAATAAAATGCAAATTAACCAGGTCTCCTGTTCCACCACTATTCTTGGGGCAGTCTGGGAATAGAAGAAACTAGCACTGGAAGGTGCTGCTAGAAAAAGGGGCAATGAAAATACAGTGATATAAGCACCTTTATCTGTAAAGAACTAAATTAAAAACCAGAAGGATCCCTGCCCCCAAATGGCCAAATGGACCATGAACTAAAGAAGAAAAAGGCAGTATTTTATATGACCAATTCCTATCCAGAACTCTTTACTTTTTGAAAAATGTCAATAAAATCGGTTTCTCAAACGAGAATTTAATATTACTCAGGGCATCTCCCAAGAAGTGGCTAACATTAAGATTCTTTCACTCAGACTTACTGCAAGAAGAAATGTGTGAGATGAGTGTACAATAATGTAAGATAAAGGTGGAGAGGGGATCGTGGAGATGGTCATCTCTGAAGATCAACCCAGAAAATCCAATGTTTCACGTAGGCAACTTCTGGGGTCCTCTATGTTAAACAGCCTTATAAAGGGCAATTTTCTTCATTTCTTTATACTTGCCTTAATTTTTTCTATTATTTCTGGCCCATCCCTATTGGCCATTCCTTTCCCTTTTGAAACTTAAACTTCTCAAAGGAAACAAACATTTAAACCTTTATGGTAAGAAATGAAAAGAGCCTAACATGAAACACTGAAGTCTAAAATTAAAAGTAAAACAAAGAATGCTCAGTGACCTTTTTGTCGGAGACTCACATGAAGAAATGTCATGGTACATTGATTGAACTTTTATTCATTTGCATTTTCGGGATGCTGCATTTATACCACATGACACTCAACAAATTACAATACAATATGACATACTGCACAAATCATCTCTAGTTTCTTCTTCGGCTGTGTTACTTCAGCCCCTGGAGAATAGAAGAAACCAGCACTGGAAGGTGCTGCTAGAAAAAAGGGCAATGAAAATACAGTGATATAAGCACCTTTAAAAAGGTGTATTAGTCTTTTTTTTTTTTTTTTTTTTTTTTTAAGGCGAGGAAAAACTTTCTCTCTACTAACGTCCGTGGCTGGGGCCTGTGAATTAAACTCATAAAAGACAGATTAACAGGAAAAAAAGCATACAGACTTGTAAATGGCTGAACTAAAAACCAGAAGAAAAAACACACAAAACAAAATGGTCAAGTTTATAAAAGAAAATTTAATTGATATTTAAAATTTTACTTCCATGGGGGCTACACAGGAAAGAAAAGTCAAAAGAAGCAGTAAGACTTGGAAGCTTATGTACCGTTTTGACAAAGAGTGATAAATTGTGAAGTAAATAGGCAAAGGAAAGGGGGGGGGGGCTTCTAGAGGGGGTGAGTCGCGGAAAAGTAAATATATGGGGAAACTGATGGAAAAGAAGGATTATGTTGGGTAAGGGTTTTTTAATGTGGGCTCGTCTCAGTGCCATCTGTTTCCAGGGATGAGGACCAGAGGGGACGCCTTACAAAGGGAAATCTATGCCGTCCTTCCTGCATCTGTTGCTTCTCAATGGCCCTCAACTCAAAATAATCTTTATGCCAAAGTGGCATATTTTAGGATGGCATATTATGACCCCTTAATATTCTCAGAAGCAATCAGAGTTCAATTGCTTCTGTAAAAGTATTCGTTTCCAACCTGTGTTCTGTGGAGCTAGCTCTCTAACGTGTCTTATTTTTTTTTTTTTAAAGTTCTCTGGTCAAATAAGTTCGAGAAATGCTGAGTTAAACATGATTTCTTTTCCTAGCAGAAATTCTCAGAACTTTTAATTAACTAACAATACATTGTGATTTGACAAAAGGGAAATAATAATTCATTATGTTTCCCAAACTTATTTGACCGTGGAGCATGATTTTCATAATATGTTTCAAGACAAGTGTTTCCTGTCATACATATTGAGAAATAGTGGGATCCGCCACATTTGTGTGTAAATGCTAAAGTTTAAGTGGCCACTGGAATAAGTATAAGCCAAAAGGGAGAGAGCAACTGAATGAAGCTGCCAAGTGTCAGTCAGCAGTAGCCAAGCTGCCTGTGAATCATGCTCTGGGACTGAGCTCCGGTTGGTTCCTAGGAAGAAAAACGAAAGCATCGAAAGCTTCTGGGTCCCACTGAATTGAACCCCTTTCTTGGGCACTAAGAGCACCAAGGAATGAAGGGAAATGGTCTCATGTGCTCATCTCCATTCATGGCTCAGTACTGTGCCAGCTGTATTATTCTTAAACATCTATTAACATGATTGCTTCATAATTACAAAGGCTAACTGCCAAGCATTTTTCACAGGAAGCAAGGCAATGCTTGTCTTTAATTGCTCTATTGGCTGGTGCAAAAGGGTCAGCATTTTTAAAAAATCTTTTAAATCTTTATTTGATTGAAGAAACACCTCTAAAAATACCATTTGAGGGGCTTTAAGATAAAAAAGAAAAAGCACATTCAAGGCACAAAACTAAATAACTGCAACAATATAATGATTTGGGGGTAGGGCGTACAGGATTCAGGACGATGGAAGTCATGCCTTCCCTCCCGTTACGCTGTGCTGCCAGAACTCTAGTTCCAGAGACCACCCTCCACGCCATGCCAGACCTACTCAGGTTCCCAATCAGGGGGCATGATTCTTGATCCTCAAGGGTCAATTCCACCCATGTCCCTTCTTCATCCTCCTCCATGCTCCCTGAAAAGGGGCAGAGCTAAGCACCCACGTCAGAGGATTGGTTGCAAATCCTACATCGTCTCAAAGCTTCAGGGAAAAGGGGAGAGAGAGCGACTAGTATTTACCGAGCACCTAGATGCCAGGTGTTTTCATGAACATCACCTTATGAACAAACAAATCTTTTCCTTATTTTGTACATAAAGGAAACTGGGACTTAGACTGGTTATAAAACCACTCCAAGGTCAACCCAAATGCTGATGAGTAAATTAGGTTAAAATTTGAGCCAGGTCTGAGTCCAAGGTCTGTTTTATAATATCATGCTGTCTCCTGATCATAAAACACTCATTTTATATGGGAGCATAAATGGCCCGTTTCTCCCAGGATCTAGCAAAATATCTCAACTTTCATCATCACTTCTAGAGACCTGATAATGTTTAGATCTTGTCATTCATTTGCCCAAACCAATGAAGCTATTTATTTTCATCTCTGGTAATAAACTTTCTTAACTCAGCATTTTTCAGGAAAAAAAAAAAATCTAAATTCTTGAATTGCTTCATTTCACGCTCATTCTCTGTGCGTGCATCTTCTTGGCTTTTAAAAATAGAGTCCAAATCATTGCGTATTCGGATATGAAACACAGGAAGGAGCAACGGGAACACCAATGTGGTCTCCGGGCAAAGAGTACCTGTGTCTGTAGTTACCCCAAATTAAACAGAAAACTCTCAGATTTATAAATAAAGCAAATACTATCCTAGGCCTGTAGACTTGGATTCTACCCCTCTCTTCACAGTTACTACCCTGGCTAAGAACATTTGATTCAGCCTCATTTTTTAAAACTAGAGGCCTGGCGCATGAAATTCATGTGTGGGTATGGTCCGTAGGCCTGGCCTGCAATCAAGGCCATCTTCCCCAGCTGCCCGCAGCAGGCCCTGTCCCCTGACGCCACCCACCCCCAGTTCCCCGTTTGCCATTGTGTGATCGGTGCCTGACGGCCGGGGGAAGGGACCGAGAGGGTGGCTGCCTGCTCGCCTGCCCCACCCCCGCCACGGGTGGCCATCAGGCAATTGGAGCCTGCCGGCTGAGGAAAGAGACTAAGAGGTGGTCAGTGTGCCTTATAGTGACTGGTCCAGAGGTTGTTCTGATCATTCTGCCGTTAGGGTCAATTTGTATATTACCCTTTTATTATATAGGATAGAGGCCTGGTGCACGGGTGGGGGCAGGCTGGCCTGCCCTGAAGGGGCCCCAGATCGGTGTGGGGGGGTCCCCACTGGGGGTTGGCCTGGGCGAGGGGCCGCGGCAGTTTGCAGGCTGGCCATGCTCCCGATTGGGGTGGGGGTCCCTGCTGGGGGATGGGGCCAGCCTGGGCTTGGGGTGCCTAATCAAGGTGGCAGTGACCGCTGGGGAGTGGGGCTGGCCTGGGCTTGGGGCTACTGAGGGTTTGCAGGCCACACTCCCGATCGGGGTGGGGGCGGGGCCAGCCTGGGCGAGGGGCCACGGCAGTTTGCAGGCCAGCCACACCCCTGGCTTTGTCAGGAAGGATGTCCAGATGACGCCCAGTCTATCCCGTTTAATTAGCATATTACCCTTTTATTAGTATAGACTAGCGTAGGGCTGCCACGGAGGTGGGAGAGGCTCCCACCACTGCCACTGTGCTCACCAGCCAGAAGCCGGGCTCCCTGCTCCTTAGTGCTGTCTCAGAGGCGGGAGAGGCTCCCACCACTGCTGTGCTCACCAGCTGTGAGCCTGGCTTCTGGCTGAGCGGTGCTCCCCCTATGGGAGCACACCAACCACCAGGGAGCAGCTCCTGCATTAAGCATCTGCCCCCTGGTGGTCAGTGTGCATCATAGTGACCAGTGGTTCTGCTGTTTGGTCGATTTGCATATTAGCCTTTTATTATATATGATGATGATAATAGTTGTTCTCTTCAGTTCCTTAAAAATTCTATAGTTAACTGCAACTCATTGGCCTTTCCAGAGATAACACAATCTGAAATATTTCAAATCCCACCACCACAATCCTTTTTAAAATTTCTTTGACAAATGCAAAGGACATAGCCATCTTCCAGTTAAATTTCCTTTTGAGTCCGACAAGAAATCAAGAAGCAAAAAAAAGGTATAGTGATCCAGCTAGACCGTGATTTATAGTGTTTGGAAAACAGTTTACTTAATGAGGAAGTAGCATAAAAGTTTGCTTATCTTGGTCACAGGTATTATAATTCATATCCCTAAAGGGTAGAGAGAAAAATCATTCTTTTTCAGGAAAGACAATCCTATATAATAAAAGGCTACTATGTAAATTGTCCCCTTGACTGAGAGACTGACCGGGAATTCAACTGGATGGGGCTGGCCAACTGCCCACGGCCCCTCTCCCAGCCAGCACCGCCCCCGATTGGCCTCCCCAACCCTGACTGGGGGCAGGGTTGGCCCACCAACCGCCTGCAGTTCCTCCCCCTGGTCAGTCTGGCCCAATTGGCCCTGATCGGGGCGGGCCGGCCAGACCCCACCTGTGTACAAATTCATGCACTGGGCCTCTAGTAATACCATAAAGCTCCTTCCCTCTTGCTTAGCCTGATACTAGATATTCACCTGATACTATGTGTTTACAATGAAAATAATTCTGCGGGTGCTGGTCCTCACACAGATGCCCGCAACCCCTGCTTTTGAATTCTTATACTCGGAGACAACATCTAACAGTCTACCTGGCTCAATCCTTACTGGATAGCAGACAACCTACCTTCCTAGGGCAGTTTCCTCATCATTTCATGCCCCTCATCAGTCCACCACTTCCATTTTCCTTCCTCACCCACATTTACACAAGAGTTCTGAGGCATGAGACACTGTGAGAGTGAATCACATCTACCACCCCCTGGTAGAGCTGAGCAAACACTAGTCACTCAAAAATACCCTTCCCTGGCCTGATTCCTGGGTTTAATTTCCTAATGAAGTGATCATTCCTTCAAGATGGAGGATCAGAAGCATTTCAATGGCTGTGTGTAGTTCTTATTTACTTCATCAAAGGTTCTTTGGACATGGTCAAACCTACAGGTACATGTAGTAGAGGAGATACTTTGGGGGAAATGCCTCCTTTAGCCACTCTAGCAGATGTCAAAATGGGGGAGAGAAGTAGTGGGCAATTTCTCTCTCCACATATACAAATATTCACCCTTTCTGGCCACCCATGCAGGGACCTTATAAGCAGAAGTCCTTGTCAGGAAACTTTAGTCACTCTCAGGTAACTCTACCTTCAAGATCATCCTTCTACCTCATTCATGTGAGGACAGCACAGTACTCTCAGTACAGTGCTTCTCAAACTACAAAGTGTTTATGAATCAATCACCCGGGGACTTGGTGGAAATGCAGATTCAAATTTAATAAGTCTGGGGTAGACTCTAGTGCAGGGGTGGGCAAACTTTTTGACTCGAGGGCCACAATGGGTTTTTAAACTGGACAAGAGGGCCGGAACAAAAGCATGGATGGAGTGTTTGTGTGAACTAATATAAATTCAAAGTAAACATCATTACATAAAAGGGTACGGTCTTTTTTTTTTTTTAGTTTTATTCATTTCAAACGGGCCGCATCCGGCCCGCGGGCCATAGTTTGCCCACGGCTGCTCTAGTGCCTGCATTTCTAACATGCCTTCAATGGACACTGATGCTGCTGATTGCAAACCACGCTTGAGTAGCAAGGTCTGCGTCTCTTTCCTCTCCCAGAACTGGAGCACATTATACCTTAAGGTCTCTTTGTGGCTGGTTATCCACCAAAAGAACTAAGCCAGGCAGGAGACGCAGAACCTTGGCATGCTGCTCTCACTGCCCAGACTCCGGGCCTTCCTTCCTGCCCAGATGGAGTTGCCACATTCTTGCTTAGCTAAATGACCAACCTGGCTCAGCCTCCCCAGCCTTATCTGATGCCACTCTGCCAGCAACTCAAACATCCGGAGCACCTGCTCTAGGACACATTCCTGGGCCCTCACCTGAGATTCTCATTCATTAGGTTGGGAGTGGCCCCAAGAAGAAACAGACACTCTAGGTCAGTGGTTCTCAACCTTCTGGCCCTTTAAATAGTTCCTCATGTTGTGACCCAACCATAAACTTATTTTTGTTGCTACTTCATAACTGTAATGTTGCTACTGTTATGAATCGTAATGTAAATATCTGATATGCAGGATGGTCTTAGGCGACCCCTGTGAAAGGGTCGTTCGACCACCAAAGGGGTCACGACCCACAGGTTGAGAACCACTGCTCTAGGTGATTCTGATCCATTAACAAATTTTTAGGAAAGAAATACATGTAACCTCTTCAATGGATTTGAGAAACCTGTAAGCTATGGTTGTTAATGCCTTTATGTCAAGGCAGAACGGTTAAAAACAAAACAAAACAAAACAAGTTGAGCATCTCATACTATGATAGAACTATTTCCCCCCCAATTTCAACACTTGCTTAGGGGCATTTATGATTATTTCCAGTGCATTCTGTCTTTTTCTTTTTTATAGAAGTTCACTAAAAGTGTAAAATATGTCCTATATATTCTATAGAAAATTCTTTTAATGTAGGTATGATTAAAGATACACTCAATTAATGAGAAAAGTATCAAAGGAATGATTATTTGCCCCCCTGATTGAACTGAAATGGAGTTGTTCATATACATACAATTTAAAAAATATATCCAAGAAGAACAAACACTGATATCAGTTAACAAAAATAAGGACTGAACATTATTACCTTTAAAATGGCAAAGGCAGATACAAAGTACAAAAAATAACTTTACTTTGACTTTACAGATGAAATGTCCTCCCTAAGAAAGGCTAGCATTGGCTAGTTAGTCTCTGGGGCAGATGTGGCATCTTGCTGGGTGCCAGCCTCTGTGGGCACAGCCTCGGGGCCAGCAGCGGCAGCAGTGACTTCGGAGACAGCGGAGGTGGCTTCTGGACTGGAACCAGTCTCTGCCAGACCAGAGGTGGCCTCCATCTCACCGGGGGTGGCCTCAGTCTGAGAGGCTAACAGTTCGTGACTGACGCTGGCATCTGGTAGACAGGGGATGTCAGCCTGAGTAGGCATGCCCTCTTCTTCTGTTTCCATTTCTGTTTCCTGGCTTTGAACTTCCTCACTTTCCTCTACCATAGCAGGTGGTAACTGCAATAACGTCTAATAAAAAAATAAAGAAAAGGAAAGTATCAGTATAAATGAACTCAAGTAAAAAGAATTGGCTTATAAAGTGAAGCTCTCACATTAACATTATTATTAACATTATTATTAACATTATTAACATTATTATCTTCCTAATAAATACTGTTCACTCTTAAGTTCTCCAGAACAATGCTGGCCATTTCATTTTACAGATGAAACAGCTCTGATGACAATGGCCTACGTTTTGCTGAATATGCCAACATGGATATCACAAATGATCAAAATACATATTAATTCTCTAGAGAGGAAAATAATATGAAAACCTATTAGATTTTTTAGCAAAGGGATTTGCTGTCACACTTCTGGAAAAACAGCGGCTGATTAGGACTGATTAACACACCAAGTCGAGAAGGGCCAACTTTGATCAAGGAGCCCTGTGAGGGGCAGGGACAAAGCCATGGCAGGGAGGGGGAAGGTACCAGACTCTGTCCCACCCAAACACTGGAGCAGCTCTAGATGTTGGGCCTGGTTGCTGGAACAGGTGGGAAAGGGATTAGTGAAAAATGAGAGGGCTTACCAAGAGGCATGAGGACACTTTGGGGGATAATAAATATGTTCATTATCTTGACTGTGAAGATGGTTTCACAGGTATATACATGTGTCAGAACATCATACTGTATACTTTAAATAAGTGGCTTTTGTTGCATGCTAAATTATATCTACATAAAGATGTTTTGAAAGTATGGATGTTACATGAATAATAACAACCCATTTTGGTTTAGTTGGTTTTCTACAAGGAATCACGTATTTAAAGATTTATTCTAAAGTGAAAGGAATACAGTCAATAATACTGTGATAATGCTGCACAGTGATTCCTAAATTAGTGGGGTGATCACATTGTAAGGTATAAAAATGCAAAATCACTATATTGTACATCTGAAACTAATATAACTAATATAATATTATAAACCAGCTACACTTAATTTTTTTAAAAAAAATGATATATTCTGCAACAGAGAAGATTCTTTAGTAAGAAGAAAACTAAGTTAGTGCTGAGAAAACTCACCTGATGATAGTGATGGGTGGTCTGTATCAGGTGCATATACATGTTGTACACAAAGTTTGCCATTTGGGGCATATTCTTTATTACTTGTACTTCATGAGATGGCCTCTCTCCATTCTAGAAAAGGCAAAAAGGAAGTTAAATACAGTGAAAAACACTAAAAGCTAGCATTCCAATAGGAGCCCATCTCTCTGTTTTATGTGTAAGCACTATTGGGTTTAGAGGACATAAAGATGTAAGTGTGAGAATCGAATAAAGAAGGAAAAAGAGTGATTCCATTTAAATGTAGAAAATGTAGAGATCAGGAGGGAGCCAAGAGTCACTAGCTTTTAATACAATTTTCAGGCTAGTAAGTCCAATATGAGTTTTGGTCCACCAACTAATGTAGAAAAAAAAGAGAGAGCAATCATTTGGAGAGAAAAATCACCAAAGTCTAAAGTAATGGTTCCTCATACTGTATATGCTCCAAAGGCAATTCTCAAGATTATTTTGAAAGAAAATGTTAAAACTGTTCTTCCTATTGATGTTTTTCTAAAAAATAAGAAGCTAACATTTACAATGAGAAGCTAACAATATCTGGACTGTCAGTCATGAAGGTGAACATTCAGAAGGAATTTTTACTAATAAAGAATGCATATACAGTAAGAGATGTTGGCAAACAGTAGCTAAAGTGTCAGCGTTGTGTGTCTATCAGGAGCACCTGGGGGAGAATGTTCAACCAGAGGCCTGGGCCTGGCCCCAGAGATGTTCATTCAGTGTCTGAGGTAGAATGAGGTGCTTCAAGTGGAGCAGTATCTGACCACAATCTCAGAAACAATGCTTTCTATTTGTGCAGGAAAGTGCAAAATTTGCACTTCTTCCTAAGCCATACTAGAATAAAGACGAACAACTTTCCTATTTATAATCAATCATACAAAGTCTCCCCTTTCTTACTATAGGAAAAATTCCGAAAACCATAAAGGTAAAAAACTTTTATCAAGAAATAAATAAATACAAGTGACTTAAATAAAAGTGGCAAATCATTTAAGACACATAAAGTTAGAAATACTCAGTACATTAAGTAGCATTTCCAGAATTCGGCAGGGTGGCAGGCTCGCATGTCAGCAGGTGTTCTTGTGCTAATGGTCACTTTCTGCAATGGTCACAGCATGTGTGTGCAGAGGCTCCCATGCTGCTACAACCACAACACTGCCTTCAAAACAGGAGGGTTTTTTGTTTTGATCCGTTTGCTTATTTTCAGGTGGCTTTGCTGGGAGCTGCCTCTTCTGGGAGGCAGTGCTAGCTGCTCAGCCCTCACTGCCCATGCCCACAGCCTCTTGAGCAGAGCATGGGGAGATGCTATCTGACCTCAGTCCCCAGTCTTGAATCCATGGTGCTGTGCAAAGCACCAGTTTCTACACTTCTGCTCATTCATATTGCCTGAACTGCACTCCCAGTTTTCACCAGGTGTGTCCCTGCAGCCCTTGGGATTCAAAGCACCTGGGGAATCCTTTCAACCCCAAGGCACAGAGGCTCTGCCCCAGACCTCTTGTCAGGAATCTCTGCTTAATCATTAGCCCACAACAGATGGAGAACCTCAGCGCTACAGGACTGTGTCCAAACTTCAGAGATTGACACTCAAGGCTTTACATGACCCCACCCCCATCATATCTCTCCACCGGTTTCTCCAATTCCTCTACAGCAGCATCTCTTTACCTTTTTGGAAAGTACTTAGCATTATTATAAAACAAACACACAGAATTTAATCTTGTTTTTTTCTCTAAGAGGGAAGAAAAATGTACTGTAAACATTTAAAAGTTTTGTTTAAATTCCAATGGATCTTCAAGACATTTCATTAAATGAAAAGGCAAAGCCCAAGTCTATATAGTATGCTTACCTTCATGTAAGAAAGAAAATAAACAGGTATCTGTTCCTTTGTGCCAAGGTAATATATAAAGAATAAACCAAAAACTAAAGAGATTGCTTTTATGGGGGGAGAGGAGAAGAAGGGGAAGAAAGAAGGAGGGAGAGGAAACCGGAAGCAGGGATGAATGAGGAGGGAGCGGTATTTCTCTGAGTATAACTGTTTGTTAAGTATACATGTATGTGCTGCTCCCTCCCACATTTTCCCAGAATGTAAGTTTCTTAAGTCTTCTCCAAGAGCTAAACTATTTATTACTCTGTTAAGTTCTCCTTACAAAGCTACACAATGACTATGAACATGGACTCTGGAGTCAGCCTGCCTCAAATCTCGAATTCTTCATCTACTAGATGCACGGCCAAACTACTTCTCTAACTCTCAATTTCCTCACGCGTAAAATTGGGTTAATAAGAAAACCTCCTGAGCAGGGCTGTTACTGAGATGAAATAAAATAATGTACATAAAGAACTAATTGCTTGATACATGATGAGTACTCAATAAATGTTGGCATATATTGTTTTTATATAGAAAATCTAATTTAGTTCCTTAATGCAAGCAACACTCTTAAATTAGTACGTAATTGGAAGATCTGTCTGATCATGTTCCTACCTAATGTAATCATCCATAAGAGAATACAGCTCAATAGAATGAAGAAGTCCTACCTTTCTACAGGTTGGGAAAGGTTCCGTTGGAATTATATGCAAATGAAGTGGGCGGGCTGTGAGCTGGCTGAAAGCTGGAGTGAGTTCGAAACAGTTTTGGAAGAGGGATACTCTGGCGAAGATATAAAGTCCAAGTCTGGCTCGAGACATGGCCACCACTAAGCGACGAACATCCCTTTGGGAAACAAACAAAATTAACATACATCAAGATTAACAACACATTTATGTAGCTTTTTAAATTTTTCTTACATATTCTACTAAATATTCCTATTAAGCTGTGTCAATAAAAAGTTAAGTTTCTTCAAAACTTAATAAACATTAAGTTAATCAATGTTATGTGACTAGTAAACCAAGTACAAAGTTAATGCTTTATCGCTAATCTATGCGTTGGCTTCTTCTTTTGGGAGAGATCACAAAATAACTGATGCACTGACTAAAAAGATCCAAGTAGCTACATTGGTATTATGATATAGTTCAGTTGTCAGTCACCAGAAGTAAGTCAATCTGCACCAACCTTCCTCCATTTCTTCACCTACAAACTCCAATGCTCCTCAAAGTAAAATTTTACTTCCTGGGTAATTCTCACCACAGTTTTATACTTATTTGTAATAATAATTACAAATATAATCATATATAGTATGATGACATGGTATAACACCATATAATACCATGTCTTTTTTCATGTATTACTCTAGTACCTGGGCTCAATGTGAGTTCGAAACAGTTTTGGCCTAAAGTAAGTATTCGGGGTTCACATAAACAGTAATAAAATGGCTAAATTGAATGACACAACTATACATATGCCTATCTAATGAATTATATCAGTTTTCTTTATCTTTTAAAGGGAATATATGCTTTTAAAACTTTGAGTCAAATCAATTTATAAAAAGAGTGATATCCATTAAGTCTAACTTTAGTATGTGTTTTAGTAAAAAAAAAAAGATAATTTTAGTTTCAAATATAGAGGACAGTTTTTCTGGAGATGCTCTTACACATCTATTTGGATTTGTATTTTACAAAAAAGAAGACTTTCATGAATAATAATAAAGTCTGGTAAGATCATATAATAACCAGGGATTCTCCCATCCCCCCACTACACAAAACTACGAGGTGTTCACTTAGGTAGGAGAAAACATATCCCTTCCCATAACGTTCTGGTGTCCCCTTCACACCCAGAAGGCTCTCCACTCTAGGCAGAGCACAGATCCAGGCTACAGCAGCCCTGACCTGGCCCCTTGGAGGAACTGTGCTCTCGTCCTCAGGGCTGCAGTGCAGCAAAGCAGCTTTGCAAGCCTCATCTCCCTGTGCAGGAGGAGTGTTACACTAAGATCCTCTGCAGATGCAGGGGTGGGCACCTGCTAAGGATATGCTCAGTGTCTCCCCAACTGGACTCTAAGCTCCAAGAGGGTAGAGATCACGAATATTAGAATTATTTATACAGACTCAGAACCCAGCACACTGCCAAGTAATAGACTGACTTGAAAGAATTTATAATGAATGACCAAACACTATGAGCATGACAAACTACCAGTCAGAAAAGTAAGTGAGCAGACAGGATTCCTTGGAGCTGTATCTTGAACTCAGGGCAATGAGATCACCACCTGCTTTCAGTCCCCCAAACAAGGCTGGGCAGAAACACTGTTCAACAACAGGCTGTCGTTCTGACGGACCCTTATGAGGACAACACAGGAAGTGACAGTCTCACTGCTCTGCACTGAGCAGGTCCCCAGCATTTCTACTGGTACCTGGGCTATTGAAGTCAGGTGGGGACAAGAACAACAAATGTTGGGAAAGGGACTAGAAATGTCTCACTACTCTGGCTTCTGAACGGGTCCAGAGTGTCCTAAAACACGTTTCTGGAATTAAAGCAGAATAATCTGGCTCCTACCATCTCCTAAAGAGTCTACCCTGGATGAAAAAGATGTGGGCAAAGGCAATATGACCGGCACAGGGAAACAGAAAGGCTTAAACGCAGAGTTACACATGACTTAGGTAACTACACCCAAGAGAAAGGAAAACATGTCCACACAAAACCTGGTACATGAATGTTCATAGCAGCATTATTCATAAATGGCCACAAAGAAGAAAAACCCCAAATATCCATCAACTGATAAATGATCAATGAAATGTGATATATCCACACAATGGAATGTTATTTGACAATAAAAAGGAATGAGGTATTCATACATGGTACAACAGGAATGAACCTTGAACACATTATGCCAAGCGATTCCATTTAAACGAAGTGCCTAGAATAGGTAAATCTAGGACAGAAAGGAGGATAGTGGTCGTCGAGGACCTGGGGAGAGAAGGGAGTGACTGCTGCTAAGTACAGGGTTTCTTGTGATGAAAATGACCTTAACTGATTGTTAAGATAGCTGCATAACTCCATTAATTAATATGCTACAAATCACAGGCTTGTACACTTAAAATATGTGAGTTGTATAGTATATGAATTCTATCTCAATAAAGCTATTATTTAAAAGAGAAATAAGAAGGAAGTAGGTTTCCTTGATCTCTTGAAACGTAAAAAAACAAAATATTAGAAAAAGAAAGATATGAAAGATTATCTCTGTGAACCAAAATATCCAAGAAAGGTTTGGTAAAATCCTAGCTAAGGTACCTACGGAATTTACGTAATTGGAATCATAAATAATACTTAAATTAAATTTCCCCTGTATAATCTAACTACACCTGAACCATCACCAGAAACCCTGATGAAGAAGCTGGACGTTCAAGAGCAAATTTTGGCAAATAAAGAAGACTGATTACGTGGATAATGATATTTTTGCTTAGAAAAATCTTGATATTAGACAATACCAAAATCAGGTTTTTTAACCTTTCATTTATAATAAGCATTTTATCATCATCATCATCATCATCATCATCATCTATTTTGTGTTTAAGTTTCTAGAAAAGTCAAGCAAAAAATAGCAGAGAGCTAAAGTCATGGGAATCTAGAAAAGATAAAGCACTACAGAGTAAGAAAAAAGGTGGGGAGGAGAGGAAGCAGCGCTCATGCACTCACACTGAGTTTTTACGAGATTTAATTATATAAATCGTAATGATGCCCCATTCAGAGAGCAGCCAGCTGTAACTCTCACTGCGGAAAAGGAACTGCTTTTTAGAGAAGTTAGTCTCCAAATACTTGCTTGACAAGTAAATAAACAAAAATAAACTGTATTTTAGAATGCTACGGTCTTCAAACAATTTCTTGAAACATTCTATCTTTGCTTACTCTTACATAAAGTTATCAGTCGAATGGAACCTGACCACTGGGCTAAGCTCCAAACAGAGCTTGACTTACTGATTACACTAGGAGAGCTTCGAGAATTTTCTCTTTAATCTACAAAATAAAATAATAAAATGAACTCTCCGTATAGTTTTGCTATTAAATCATATGAGATGAAGGTTTATATAAAATTAAACAGCTGCTTTGTAATAAGAAGACATTATTCCCATAAATCTCTAGCGCATAAGTACATCACAATAAGTGATAAAAATAGATTATTGTTTGTTTTGACAATTCTTAATCCTGAGAGAACAAATGGTTCCTTTATCCTCTAACACTGAAGCTGAGAGACTGTGTGGAAACACCAGAGATCCTGTGATGAAAAGTCATTCTGAAGAGACGCTTGTGCCACTTTACTTCTTTTAATTTCTGACAGATCCATTCTTACACTCCAACACACAGCACCAACGCTGTCCTAACAATTCATTATACTTTAAATTTAAAAAAAGTAAAACTACTCAGCCACAGGAGTTTAAAACTGAAGCAGAGAGTAAAGGTCAATGACATTATGACAGTTTTTCCTTACGCACCTCAGATGGCCCACTGCCCTGGTTCGTACTAGAGAAAGAAGAATATAATCATTCTGTTGACCTTGAAATCTGTCAACAGTTGTCACCTAGAAAGAAAAAAAAATGGTAAATATGGCATACTTAAAATAATCAATCCAAAGTAAACATGACCATATACTTGGCATTCAAAAGATGAATTAATGAACATGAACTATGCAATAAACCACAGTAACCAGATGGCTATGTTCCTATGTTACTCATTCACAGTCTTCCCCTACTAAACTACTCAATTCCATGAAAGCAGGCACTGTGTTTAGCTCATTATCTGGTATCCTGGTTTGATGCCCAGCAATATAACTTAAGTGTGCTCACTTATTATTTAACACATTCCTATTTCTCATCTATAGCATTCCTCTACCAAAAAATAAATAATCTTCATAGTACTTATTGTTCAGTTTGAAAATACATGTACAAGTAAGGAAATTCAGGGAGGTTTCCGTCTAATGTTGGCACCCAAGCATTTACCTTTTTCATTAATTCAACAAGAAGTTTAAATGCTTAGTCTGTAAAAATTACAATCATAGTCCTATCTTTGGAAGTTAACATTTCTTTTTAAGTCAGCTTCACAGAGGTATAATTGACATACAGCAAAATGCACTCATTTACGTGTGCAATTTGATATATCCTGACAATATATACTCCCTTAAACCACTGCCACAACCAAACTTTCCAAGACCTCAGGCCCCTTGTTGTCAAATCTGTATTCCCCACTCCAGGCAACCACTGAGCTGTTTTCTGTCACTATACATTTTTTTTAAACCAGTTCTAGAATTCCATTAAAATGAAATCATACACTATGTACTTTTTTGCCTAAGTTCTTTCACTCAGCATATGTTTCTGAGACTCATCATGTGTTGTGTACATTAAAGTTCATACTTTTTTACCTCAATACATTTGCCAATTTAGTATTGGGTTGTCTTCATTTAACAGTGACTTTTACAGAAGTTCATATATTCTGAATTCAAGTGCTTTGCTCTTGTGTGTGGATGCTATATTAGGAAATTCTGTTGCCATCCTTACCATGTGGAGGGCTTGTCTCAATTGAGAATGGCTGGCAGAAGGATGAAATGAAACTTGGTCTCTGACTACATCACCAAGTCCCTCTAACCTGGAGCCATGCTACTTTCATCTTGCAATGGCAGGGAGTAACTGTCTTTATTATTTGAATTAAGTTTTTCTGTTTTTATAAATAAAAGAACTCAGATATTGAGTTTCTTCTATTTCGAAACTTCCTACATCTCAAAGTTATTAGCTTCTCAATTTTGACTGTCTATACCCCTTATGGAGTGTCTAGTCCTCACCGCAGTCCTTTCAATTTTGTCTTCATTTCTATAATTTTGTTTTATTTTCTTCCATTTCATATTTTGTCTCTTGCCGAGTTCTTTAATTCTCTACTTTGTAGCCCTCCCTCTCAGATACGGTTACTTCATTAAAGTACTTTAAAATCCAAAGCTAAATGTGTATTCAAAATTTCATCTGTTCCAGGCCAACGTGTTTTTTTCTGGAACATGTATCTTGCCAATTAGTATGTTTTGATGTCCTTTACCTGATTTTTTCCTGTATAAACTGAGCTTGTGCTAGTTTCCGCTTCCCCACTATTTCACCACTGAGTAAGTGGGTTTCCTTACCCACTTATTATGCGAGTGATTAGGGTGGAGTAAGCAGGATTGTGTTTTAAAGGCTGTATTGTGTGTTTTTTTTTTGTCACAACCAAAGGTTCTCTTTTCTTCTGCTACTATAGAGACAGTCTATTTGCAAATAAAGCTATGGCACATACAGTTCACCGAGAGGTTTCTTTGAACCAATCTGGGACCAGGAAGGCGTCTGCTCACCCCAATCCCTGAATCCGTTGTTCAGAAACAGGGTTGTGGCTCTTAGACTTCAGAGAATGCCACTCGCCTTCATGAAGTGCACACTTACAGGCACTTTCAAGACCAGTCCCCTAAATTCCCTTCTTCCCCCCATTTCCTTCATGATTTTTGTCACCCTGTGTTATCTCACTAAAAACGGAGTCTGTCTTCTCTTCCTCCCATTTTCCTCTTACTTTTGGATTATTTCCAAGAAAAGGTGAAAGAGCTTTTATACAGTGACCACAGTCCTAACCTCATCATTACTAATATATTTGTTTGGTTATTCTTTCCAATTTTCAACCCTTTATTGATAAAATCAAGCATATTTATTTATTTTTTTATATTACTCCCCCACATCTCATTTGCTGTGGACATGACCACAAAGCATTTTTCCCACTAGGTTTTCTTTCTGCTACATTGTTAGCATTTGGCCTATTGGGAACATTTTATGAGCCCTTACTTATTTTTTTTTGCCTAGATCAGCACTGTCCAATATCAATAAAACACAAGTTATATGTGATTTTGTAATAGCCATCAGTAAGATTTTAAAATAGCTATCTGAGATCTCTGGAGTCTTGCTGATGTTCTGTCTAGCTAATCCTTCTGGGTTGCTAGTGACCAGACAGTTTGTTGTGATCACATGATCATCCTATATTCCTGTTATATAAGACTATGCATGCGGTAACTATGGATTGAGCAAGAATTATCTTTAAAAGGGTTAAGACTCAAACTCAGGAGGAACTAAGGCAGTGGAAGGAATCACAACATGTGAAATTCCTCAAATAAAAATTTATTAACTTTAAATAATTGTGCTTATGTTACACATAATAAATAAAAACCTTTAAAAAAAAATCCTAGGTCTGGATGCACTTCATAATTCTTTATCTTCAAGAAGAAAACACTCCCTTATATACACACAAAAAGAGACAGAACAAATTATACTTTTGCAAATAAAACAAAAAGTGATACAATTCCCATCTCTACTCGAATAATACCTAAATAATCTAATTTTATTATCCATCCTTTTGCCAGCAAACATGTTATAAACATTTATTTCTGATCACTATCTATAAAAATTTTCAGTGTGGTAGTTGAGACAGAAGTTCAAAGCAAACCAACAACACTGACAGATAGGTTTGTCAGAGAATTACTTATAGTTCCTATGACAGCATTTTCTCACATATCTTAAAAGGAGATAGCAAAGAGACGAAGTGGGACAATATAAATAACTCATAATAAATACAAATCTTTCCATCTTTCCACCAACATCATAAATAAGAGAATATATGTATTATATTCATAAAATTACCTTATTTGGTCTTCCAATCAATGGATTGCTCCCACATCGTCTATTGATAATGTCACGAATAAGATGCTTTTGCCCATTATAAGTTGTTAGAATACTGATCTTGTCAGCAGGATAACCAAGTAAACACATGTACATAAAGAGTGCCACTACATATTCTGCCTCTCCAAGATTCTGCAATGCAAACATAATCAGATTGTGCATTTATTTTCTTTTCTTTCAATTTTATATAATTAACCAACTAGCACAATTTGTTCATTTATCACACTTCAAGCGGTGAAGAGTTAATAATTTGGACAAGTGAACTCCTTACATGAAACTGATGAGTAACATTATCCTAGATTAACATTGATAAATAAATGTAGAATATTTTAAGTGTTACCCTTTAACATTTGCAATATATTTGTAATAAACATCATAAAAGTTACCAACTTAAAAACTTAATACTTTTGGGACCACAACAATCACAATGCAGATAGATAATTTTCTGCTGCAGGGTACTGGAACGATGGCTATGGAAAGAAACATTAACATAAAGGGGCGAGGCAACTGGCTTAGAAGCCAGTGTAAGATCCAGTCTAATAACACATACATCCAGCAGTACTGTAGTCAACCTTCCATTTTTACACCACGCTTTTCCTTCTTCATACTTCACGGTATTTTTGTGTTTTGTGTTTGTTCTCTAGGTTAAGTGGGAAGAGGATGTGGCCTCATATTAGTCAGTCTGGCTGACTCTAGGGACTGGTCAAAGTTGGAAGAAAGGAGCTCCCTTGGGCCTGAAAGTCAGGAAGCTCACACAGGCTGCTTAGTGCAGGTCAGGAGAGACTGATGGAAGGAGTAAGAGGTGAGGGGAGAGGGTAAAAGGAGAAAGAAGCATAACATATAAATCAAAAAAGAAAGACAAGAAGCTGCATTTCATGTCCAGGCCATAGGAAAATTACAGGAAGACCTTCAAAAAAGCCATTTATATTCTGTGACACTTGTGACACTCACACAGCTTCTCTCTTAAATCTTCTGGTTCTTTGGAAGACAGCAGGGAAAAGAAGCTGCATGGCCGTGTAAATCTTATCAATTTCTTATCAAGAGCAAACTACATTTATTTAAGCATACAGGTAAAAGGAATCTTTTGGTGTAAATGCTGCCAGGCCTTTTCGTACCGATTGCCAATATATATATGTTTGTTTTTCTGTTCCTTTTTATAAATAAAATGGAACACTATAGATATACTTATAACTTGATTTTTTTCATTTAATGCAGCATAGACATTTTTCCTGCCAGCAAACCAGGTTATAATGTTGTCATTCTTAGTGGCAATTCAGTACTTCATTATATGGGATAGGTAACAATATAATTAATCCCTACTGATAAGACATTTAGGTTGTTTCTAATTTCCAAAATAATTCACAGTAAAAGGTAAAATAAACATTTTAGCATATAAGTCCTTTGTAAATTCATCTAATGTTTTTTAGGAAGAATTCCTAGAAGTGAGAACATTGTGCTTTTAATACATACTGACAATCTACCTACCAAATTACTTTCCTACTAGCATTGCATGAGTATCGAATTTCCCCAAACCTACCCCAACATACAGTATCAGAGGTAAAAATATGTGCCAGTGATTTGTACTTGCTATAAATCTATATTTGTGTGTGTGAGAGAATTGCATATTCTTGTCCTTATTGCATTTTTTTTTTTGGGGGGGGGGAGCTGATTTTTAAAAAAGCAAAAACAATTTATAAGAGTTTATATACATTCAGATTTCAACCTGTTGTCTGTTAAATGTTGAAAATAATTTTTTTTCTCAAACCAGTATTTTTCTTTATGGTTTTTGCTTCTGGTAACAAGCTTAATAATCTCTTTCTCACCCAACATTATATATTCATCAATACTTCCTTCTTTCTGGAAAGTTTTCTTATAGTTTCCTTTGTGTCTGTATCTTTAATCCATCTGAAATTAGATTTTTTGTTCTGTGTGTGAGGAGGGGATTTAATTTTCCTTTATTTAATGACTAGCCACATGGTTCGTATCACTGATGTAGGTAGTAGTTCCACCTGCCAAATGCAAAATAAACTTAAAAGTCTTCTGTTTTTTTCTTACCTGATAAAAGTAAGGATTAGGCTCAGACTCTCCCACTCCCTGAAAATCTTCAACATTGATGAGCTGGAAGTCATACAGCAAGCCAGCATTTGCTGTGCTAAACTCCGGCAAGAGCTGAACATGGGGTAAGTTGCCTAGTTTCTTGTATCGCCAGTTGTACAGGTTGCACAAGCTTTCCAAAGACAAAGCCCCCCAAACAGGAAATATTAGCAAGGTAAAATCCCTTTTAACATAGACAGGGCATTTCTAAGGAACTGTGCTCTTCCTCTCAACTTTCATTCTCCCCACTTTGTGCTCCTCTTTCTAGCAGTAATGCTTTTTCATCCTTGCCTCCCTACTTCAACTAACCAAATCAGAGGGCAGACGACAGTACAGAAGTGACAGCTCCCAAGTGCTCTCTGAGGCCATGCTTCTTCACCCAAATTAAAGAGCAGGGAAAAGTCCATAAATTCAGGGAAATTTTGAGGTAACTATGAGATGGGGCCTGTACACTTTATGAAGCAAGAGTTGGTGTGTTCTCCTCTTGTTCACTTTTTGCTTTATATTTCAAAATGATATTAACTGCATATCTTTGGGGGGCATAAAAAAAAGGACAATGGAAAAAATTCACACCCCATGCCAAGGCAACAGAGGTGCGTTCAGATACTGAGATGACCAGTTCCTGGACAGCAGGGAGTGCTGAGAGTGTATACAGAAGATGCCATCAAATACCCGGACTACGGAGCTGGCGCCCTTAAACTGGAGTAACCCTCTACCTTGCTCTGGCTCTCCCTTGGGCATCGAGGTCCACAGTAGGAACTCCAATCCGGACGAAGCGAGTGAAGAGAGACTGCTCCATGTTGGAATACTTCTGAAAGGCCATGTTCTTAATGACCGGAGGTAACTGGTGATGATCACCAATCATAATCCATCGTTTCAGTCGGCTAAAACCATCCTGAGGATTCTGGAAATGACAAATGAGGAAATGGCAAAATATTCTAATTGATAGATTATCCTGCTAGTCTCCTACTACTTATTGCACAAATTCTTGCTAAATGGCTTCACTAGCTTACTAAATCTCCATATTCACCTGCTCCACAGAGAGGAATCTGGCACATTCACAGAATGACTTGTGAATCAAGTATAGGTGCCAATGCGTCTGGCTGATGGTGTATGAGGAAGGATGGAGGATTGAGAAGGCAAGCATGGAATTACCCTATTTTAACATTTAGGGTAATCCAAAGAGGTCTGGGAGGTATAGGTCAGAATTAGACAAAGAGTACATAGAAGGAAACAGATGCCCATACAGGTCAACATAAACACCCTGCATCACAATTATGCCGAGGGCCAGTTCTGAACCCCCCAATGCAGTAAAAATTACACCTTCTTTAATTTCCCATGCTACTATTTCACTTTCCCACTTGTATCTCCTTATCCTTGAAACATATCCTGATAAAATACATTTCAAGTTCCAAATAACTTGGCTCATAAAAAACTATTTTTTGGAACCCAATTTATCTGTAAGTTAGAGCAATCTCAATTCTTAAATTAGAATTCCACATTTTGTTTTTAATGCTTTCATGGTGAAGAATATTGTACAATAAGAAACATACTTAAACAACATCATTTAGCTCAAAAGATTTAGGCATAAGATAAAGAAAAGCACTGTACCCAATAAACATCAAAAAGAATTCTAGAAACAACTCTAATGAAAGAAATGGAAAAAAAGGCTATCTTTACTCTAAAACACTATAAAAATGCAATTTTCTTTATTAAAATTACTGAGTTTTTCAAAAAGTAGACTGTGAATTTTTAAATAGTACTCCAAGAAACAATACAAACTACTAAATAACCAGTGAATATTTTAAAGGAAGTTAGCAGGCTTAAAATACCGTATCAAGCATAATGATGTTAAAGAAAATACGTAACTATGGCAATTAGCACCCTAAAATTATCTAGCTTTCTGATCCTGCCCCTGCGAATTTCTGTGTCTCAGATCTCAGTATCTCACCTGTAGAAGAAGAGGTATAAACGTTTCTATCTCCAGGATCTGAGCAGCCTCCTCCATTAAAATGTTGTCATACTGAGAAAGGAGAAAAAAGAAAGTCTGTGAGCAAGACAGCCTGAAAGGCAAACATACCATCATAACCACAGCCATGCAAAACAACACCTAAATAATTTCAGATAAAAGTAATAAATCATTCAAACAGAAAGTTCACGATCTTATTTATCACTGTGCCTCTGCTTCTCCAAATTGTCTTTAACCTCAGGGAAGCCCCCTAAATATATAACTCAACCTTGAGGCGATCCTGTATATAATTTCTTGAACAACAATATCAATTCAGTTCTTTAAATTCTATATATGCAAATCAACTTATGATTATATATGAGGTCACTTTCATTGGTACTTCTTTTTAATTTTTTTTAAAAAAATTTACATTCAATATTATTTTGTAGTAGTTTTAGGTGTACAGCATAGTGGCTAGCCAATGATATGTTTTCCCCTTGGCAGTTCCAGTACCCAACTGGCACCATACATAGTTACTACAATATTATTGACTATATTTCCTATGCTATACTTTATATCCCCATGACTATTATGTAACAACTAATTTGTAATTCTCATCCACCAGTACTCTTATCATAGGTAGTATTTTGGGGTGAGTTTTTTTCCTTATGAATCCTACCCAGCACTTAACAATCTCTGATTCAGCCCCTGGCACTCAATATATCAACAAAGTATGTCAATTTTACCTTAAAAAAACTCCCTCTTGAACCTATTTATTTTTCTCCATTTCTACTACCATTATCCCTCTAGTCCAGCCGGATCCAGCCCGTTTGAAATGAATAAAACTAAAAAAAAAAAAGACAGTACTCTTTTATGTAATGATGTTTACTTTGAATTTATATTAGTTCACACAAACACTCCATCCATGCTTTTGTTCCGGCCCTCCGGTCCAGTTTAAGAACCCATTGTGGCCCTCGAGTCAAAAAGTTTGCCCACCCCTGCTCTAGTCTAAGCCACTACTCTGACTACTGCAAGCAATCTCTTTACTCCTCTCCTGTCTTATACCACCTATATCACTGATAAAGCAGTCATCAAATCACTTCACCTCCCTGGTGTCATACCTTTCATTGTCTTAGGGAAAAAAATCCATTATAATGTGTCGTACAAGAGATCAATTAACTTAGGGAATTGCCTTCCTCTCGTTCTTTATATGTCACCTTTCTCCTCATTATTATGCTTCAACCATGTTGACCTAGTTCACCTTCTCAGAAATGGCAAAACCATTCCTGCCTCTAGTCCTCTTCATGCTATCCTCTCTTCACTTTGTCTGCTTGGCTCTTTCTCATTCTGAATATATCAGGCTAACCCCAATGTGTCTAGGCCTCCTCTGACCTTCCAATCTAAAACAGTTTCACAGTACTCTTTTCCTTTGTGTCACAGCACATAGCACACCGCACACCACATTTGTAATTCTGCGTACTTACTTGTCCGATGCCTGTATCCTCCCACTACCCAGTTTACCCACATATGTTAGGTACTGCTCATCCTATCATCCTATCTAATAGACAAACATGGTAATTGACCATACCTTCGCTACACCTCCCATTGGCTAATCAGCGCGATATGCAAATAAACCTCCAACAAAGATGGCGACTAATTTGCATACTGCAGGCAGGGTGGGAGAACACCATCCCGCCTGCCCTGCCGCCATCCGGGCCTGCTATCTGTGACCCAGGGCGGCGAGCGTCCCGTGTGCGACCCGAACCGGGGCGGCCGGGTGGGGCAGCAGTGATCTGCAGGCCAACCCGGGCATCCCGTGTGCGACCCGACCCAGGGCGGCGGGGCAGGACAGCGTGGCTCCTCTGTCACCTCAGCTTCCTCATCACAGCTCCCTTGGGGGCCTAAGCTTTTAGTTGGACATCCCCCGAGGGCTCCCTGGCTGCCAGAAGGATGTCTGACTGCAAGCTTAGGCCTGATCGCCTGGGGAGTGGGCTTAAGTCGACAGGTGGACATCCCCAAGGGGTCCTGGTCTGCAAATGGGCGCAGGCCGGGCTGAGGGACCCCCCCCCCCCCAAAGTGCACAAATTTTTGTGCACCGGGCCTCTAGTATATAATAAAAGGCTAATGTGCAAATCGACTGAATAGCGAATGACAGGTCGCTATGATGCGCACTGACCACCAGAGGGCAGATGCTCAACGCAGGAGCTGCCCCCTGGTGGTCAGTGTGCTCCCACAGGGAGTGTGCCACTGTTCAGCCAGAAGCCGGACTCATGGCTGGCGAATGCAGCGGTGTTGGCGGGAGCCTCTCCTGCCTCTGATGTCCGACTGCCGTCACTTGGACATCTCCGGAGGGCTCCCAGACTGCGAGAGGACACAGGCTGGGCTGAGGGCCCCCCCACCCCGAGTGCACAATTTTCATGCACCGGGCCTCTAGTATGTAAAGTAATAAAAAAAAGTCTTTCTCCAACATAAAAATATTTAATTCTTCAAAGAATGGTTACTTCTTTTATCTGCCTAATTCTCTTCTAGATCAATTCTCAACATGTTTTATACTTCCCTCCTAATTCTGATTGCTACATAGTGTATCTTATACCTTGTTTTATTGGTAAAACACAGTCTTTGAGAATCTCACTAACTACATATTAGAGTTCCTTTGTTCTCTGTTTTAAGGTATTCTCTTGTTTTCTAGGGAAATGGAAGGTAGGGGGATAATATTTATTCTTAATGCTTAATTAACACTCCCTTTTTAAACTAATCTACACCAATTAAAGGGAAACATGCAAATAGACCGTCCCTCCGCTACACCCACCAGCCAATCAGGGTAAGTATGCAAATTAACCCAACAAAGATGGTGGCGGCCACAGAGTTGGAGGCTTGGGTTGCCACAGGCAACAGAGGAAGCCAAGCTTCCCGCCTACCCTGGCCGCCGCTGAAGGAGTGGCTGGGAGTCTGGGTCTCCGGGGGGCGTGGCCAGCCTGAAAATGGCCCTCAGCCCCTCACCCAGGCTGGCCACACCCCCATGGAGTGAGAGTCCCCACTGGGGGGCCTGGCTAGTCTGCAAACAGCCCTCAGCCCCTCACCCAGGCTGGCCACGCCCCCCAAGCGGGGACTCTCACCCCATGGGGCGAGGCCAGCCTGCAAACCACCACAGGCTCCTCGCCCAGGCTGCCCCACACCCCAAGGAAATCCCCACCCCAATCCGGGACACCCTTCAGGGAAAATCAGCTGGCCCTCACCCATGCAACAGGCCTCTATACTAATAAAAGGGTAATATGCTAATTAGACTGGGAGACCTTCCAGGAGACCTTCCAGACAAAGCCATGGTGGCGGGGCTGAGGTAGAGGTGGTTAGAGGCCAAGAGGGGAGGGCAGTTGTGGGTGATCAGGCCAGGATGGGATGGCAATTGTGGGTGATTAGACCGGGGGGGGGGGGGGGGACACGGCGGCATTGGGGGTGATCAGGCCGGCAGGCGGGGGCAGTTGGGGGTGAACAGACCAGCAGGGGGGCCAGTTGGGGGCGAGCAGGCCGTCAGTGGGGGTCAGTTGGGGGTGATGAGGACTGTGGGGGGGGGGGCAGTTTGGAGTGAGCAGGCCAGTGGGGAGGGAAGGCGGGGGCAAGCAGGCTGGCAGGGGGGCCAGTTGGGGGAAAGCACACTGGCACGGGGGGCAGTTGGGGGTGATCAGGCTGGCGGGGGGGCATTTGGGGGCAAGCAGGCCGGAGGCGGGTGGCAGCTGGGGGCGAGCAGGCCGGCAGGCAGAGTGGATAGGGGGCAATCAGGCAAGCAGGCAGGTGAGCGATTAGAAGCCAGCAGTCCCAGATTGCGAGAGGGATGTCCAACTGCCAGTTTAGGCCCGATCCCTGTGAACTAGCAGTAGGACATCCTTCCAGGGGTCCCAGATTGGAGAGGGTGCAAGCCGGGCTGATGGATACCGCCCCCTGTGCACAAATTTCATGCACCGGGCCACTAGTTTATATATATAAAAGCCTAAGCATCTGGATGACTGGACAACTGGCCAGTAGCTATGATGCGCACTGACCACCAGGGGGCAGACGTTCAATGCAGGAGCTGCCCCCTGGTGGTTAGTGCACTCCCACAGAGGGAGTGCCGCTCAGCTGACAGACGGGCACCAGGCGCCGCCAGGCTCACAGTTGGCGAGTGCAGCTATGGCTGCTGGAGCCTCTCCCGCAGACACTCCTCCTGTGCGCCAGAGCGGCGAATGGAGGCAGCAGGGGCAGTGGGGCCGGGATGAGCAGGAGCGGTGCGGGGCCCAGCCGGGGCTGGGCTTCTCCCCAGCCACCTGCCACTTTGTGCACTACTTCGTGTTGTGCAGGATCATTGTGAAAAGCTGGCTGAAGCCCGACAAGCTGGCGGGTAAGGCTGGGCTGTGGTGGTGTGGAGGTCCACTGATCTCTGCAAGCCAGGCTGAGGGACCCCACTAGTGCTTATCAAAATATGTTTGCATCTATATTTGTCCAAGATTGGTAGCTGAGCTGGATCTCCATTGGGCAAGATGGAAGTTAAAGTTCAATTCTGCACTGTTTCTTGTTGAAAAAGGTTTAGGCATGTGGCTGGATATCTTCTCTACATCTATCTGATACTGAACTTCCCTATTACAATGATTAATGAGGTAATCTGGGTGGGAGCTTAGAAGGAGGGAGATGTTCAAAAAGCCACATTTTCACAGAAGTCCCTGCATGGACTTTTACAATCCTAGACACACTATGCAAAAAAGAATGGGAGAGGCTCAAAGAAAGCTTAAGGAAAGCTTGCTTTCTGAAAAAATCTAAAAATGTACTGCAATTTAACTTATAAAAACTTATCTATAGATTCTGCTTTTTAAAAAGGAGATTTTTAATCACAAAGCAAAATTATGACACAACTATACTGGGAATGTGCACACATGTCTCCTTGGGGACAGCACAGAATCAAAAGATAAGGCCTAACAAGGAAATTAAACATTCTTTATTGATATAGATTAAAACAAAGGAAAAGCTAAAAGAGTTGAAAGACTGGATAACTGGGGATAATCAAGAAATAGGGGATTGCCTTTTTAAAATTTTAAGCAGATCTACAAGGTTTTTAAGCTCTTAAACCAGACAGACATGTATAAATTGGATAAAAATAAAACGTTAAAATTAAAAACATAAAAAATCCAAGAGATACTATGAGCACTCATGCTAACAATCTTTAGATGTGTAGCACAATGTAAGTATAGAAATGAATAATGAAAATGTGATAAGCTACAAGTAGTGTGTTTTAGAATATGCATGTGGAAAGCGGCATGCAAGCATAACATCCTAATTACAACTGCATCATCTCCCCCTGTTATTGAACTGATATGATTTAATATAAAACTCAAAGTATATTTTATGTCAGCCCCAAGAATAAAATATTTAGGTGAAAAAGTCTCACTAATAATTTTCAAAAGGGTAACTTCACACTACCTTTTAATACATTATTTGTCCTACTTGCAGCTGAGAAACCTTTTATCCGAGATAACAATTCTATCACCTTCAATTTACTTAACACCTATCTTTCAGTGAACGAATAACACTAAAAAATTTGTCAGTTACTTTCATCAACAACAAATGCTTTGCAAATTCTGAATTCAAAATAGTAAGGAACCCTATTTTAAACAAGCACAGATAAATCAGTTTCAGGGAAGTTAAATGATGTGCATTGAAATAGAGTCTACATCAGTATCACTAGCAAAGTCACAGTCTGCAAATTCAAATTTGTTTGCTCAATTATTACATTCCATTTCAACTGAGCCACAGGCTATATACCATGCGCTTTAGCTCTTTGGTCTTTATCATGTGATTAAGTAATTTAATATCTCATCCTTACAGTTTAAATATTCCATGTCCTCACATGGAAGGCTTTTTCTTTACTGAACGAACAAATAACTGGGACTGAATGTGTTCTTAAAGCATGAACAATGTGAGCATATAGATGTTTACTTAATAGGTGAAAAACCACCAAATGTTATCTTTATAGCTTTCAGTTCTGTTCAGATATTTTTCACATAGTGAAAATATATTAATCTACCTTAGTAGGTATTAAAATTTGGTTAGACAATCATTTGGTTATAATATTATTTAATGGATATATTACTAATTTAGAAAAATTACATTTAGAGTTCACTAATCATATAAACATAGGAAGTTATCACTTTTTAGAGACATTTTTAAGTTATTATAAATGCAAACTTCTAAAAGAGGTAGGCCAATCTCCAAGGGAAATGACCTACATTAAAAACAAAACAAACTAACAGCTAAACAAATGATGAATTAACAAACTAAAATACAAGTCTTTACCTTGAAACCTAACTTGACTAAATCATGTCGTTTTAAGGCAGCATGAGTACAGGTCATGGCAATGATTTTGGCTTCTTTCACCAAAAGGTATTTAGATCTGTCCAGTCCACTTCGAAGTAGTTCAGAGGCCCTGAATTCCTACAGAAGTGGGGGGAGGAGGGACAGTGAGAAACTATTTTAGGAAAATGAACACAGCTTATGCAAACATCCATACAATCCAGTTAATCAGACTTAATTCCTAAGAACTTAAAGATATCATAAATCAGGCCTAAAGAATCATAATTCTCTTCATTATTAATTAGGTACTAATTGAATTCAAATAATAGCTGATAGTCAAGCTACAATTTGGACTGTTTTCGTAAAAGGTAAAACATTTGCATTAACAACAAGAATACTAGTCCTCGCTGGGTGGCTCAGTCGGTTGAAGCATTGTCATATACAACAAAGGGGTGCGGGTTCGATCCCTGGTTGGGCGCTTACAGGAGGCAACCAATAGAGATTTTTCTCACATCAATGTTGCTTTTCTTTCTCTCTCTTCTCCTTCCTCTCTCTAAGCATACCTTCGGGTGGAGATTAAAACAAAAAAACCCAAGAACGCTGAATAAAAGATAAATTATCACTATATTTATATTATTCAAGGTCCCTCCAGGAAAATGAAACTATTTCAAGTATTCATAACAAAGGTGAATTTAATGCAGTGGACTGAGTACACAGGTGACAGAAGAGCAGAAAAGCAATGAAGCGGGTCCCTGGGTTCCAAACACATTCTTCTTCAAACATACTCTTTGTATAGTGGTGATTCTTATTTCACCTTACTAGTCAGGATCAACCATCCTGGCTAACCAGCAACCTCATTTGCCTACTGAAGAAGAGGCATGAAGAACTAAGAATGCCCACGTGGCAGTCTCAGACTCCAACTCAAAGAACCATTGTTCAATCTCCTGATGCAAGCATCCCTTTCTCAAATATTAAGACTTTGACACCAGAAAAGCCAGAATAATGGGCATTCAATTCATACTAAATTTTACTTATTTCTTGAACTAGAACTATAAATATTTGCAATAAGCTCACTTAAAAGTAATAATCTGGTTTGCCAGATTTGAACATTTCATTTACTTCACATAAAAAACAAAACCAACATCTAAACTTAAAACCTTTAAAGGAAAGTTAGAAAAACTTGAGAATCCTTACCTCAAGCTGAGTAAAGATTTTCTTAATATGCCTAAAACATCCTTCAGCAATTTCCATGTCTTCTTCATAAGACCGACCTTTAAAAATGGGTTGAGGAGCATTTGCAAAGTACTCATGAAAAGGGAAGAAAGTGGAAACTTCCGTGACATCTGGCGATGTGTTACCTTTATTTTTCACTTTGCTGATATATTCTTCCCAGCGAGACATTACCTATTAAAAAAAAAGGACTTGAGGTTAAATTTGCCAGCTAATTATGTTTTAAATGATAAAAGAGAAATTTCATAAAAATAAGGTCTGCTAGGTAAAGGGTAAGAAAGGCAATCTTTAACCCAAAATAACTATTTCTTACTAAAGTCACTGATGGACTAGACTGCCCTTCTTTTACCAAAGTAGCTTTATTTTTAAGGTTATAGAAAAAAAGGTTCTTTAATAAAAAATGTACAAAGGGGAAAAACTTCAGGGTCATCTCAAGAGACTTTACCTCAAACATTTCAGATTCTCCATTTATGCAAAAGGCTTAATGAAATTCCTTATGTTTTTTAATCTCAGTTTCTCTCCATACGTTAAGTTCAGTTTTAACAGTTTTTAAATCAATTTGGCATTTAACTCTTCTCCCAGACCTTTATAATTTTTCCAATTCTCTTTAGTACATTTATAAAGAACTCTGGTTAAGCTGAATACACATTTGAAAGCTCATTCTATGACTTTTGTGATAAGAGGTCAATTGTGCCCTGGCATAATGTTAACTATGCCTCTACCTCAAAGTTCCTACTTAATTCATCTCAATCTCTGTGCTTCTCCCAGGTCTTTTCCCATTACACTCTCAGTTTTTCTCAAAGTATGGTCCTTAGGCAGAATATCTGAGAAGCTAAATAACAATGTACATCCCTAGATGCCACCCTATATTGAAAGAGACTCTCTGGGGACAGAGCTTGAGAATTTCCTCTCAAACAACTTTCCTCATGTGATTCTTACATGTTGAAAATTTTTAAAAAATTAAATTAAAAAACACGTAGTTTTGACTGATAGCCTAGCGATTTTTATTTTGTGCCAAATATGCATTCAAGCATGATCTGTACTCCATTCTTAAAACTTCTAAACAGTCTGAGTCTAATGCAGACTACTTTGCAGTAGGATGCATATCTCTCCTGTTTCATAAGAAAACATGAAATATGTTCATTTTAAATGGGCTCATGTGGTTTGTGTATCCACTTATACTGAGCACAAACCCATTCTTTCATATACATCTTAAAATTTCATTGTTACAATTTATACCTAAAATATACAAATAGCATTAGTATAAAGAGAACAAAGTTACATAAAGTCTTCATTATTTGATTAAGCTTTATTCCATTTAAAATTATTAGGAAACCAACTGGCTATTGAAGTTCATTTGTATTCATTTTATTTGCCTTTGTTTCTCATTGGGTTCATACCCAAAGTACTAACCTCACAAAAGTAAAAGAGCACATATCTAAATTGAAGTCAAAATAATTTTTAACTTAAACTCCTGTGTATTTAATAAAATTAATTCTAAAACATAATTTATTTCTGAAAATTTAAAAGGAGATTGTTTTTCTTTATTACTTAATTAATAGTCATAGTAAAAGTAAGTTACAAAACTGCACTTTGTTACCATTAGGTAGCTGGGATATTTAGTTATTTATACTAATGAAAAAAAAAGAATAACTAGAAACTTTTTCAATAGCAAAAAGGAAGAAAGAAAAAATTTTAAAGTAACAACATTGGCCTTTCATTGAAAGCATCATCAGACAAAGTTTGCAAAGAAAATTGAAGATTATAGAGAAAACAAACATTTAACATTCACAATATTGCTATGGCAATAGCATGTATTTCAAAATACTCCCTGAAAAAAAATAAAAAGCTTTCAAAAAAGATCTTAAAAACCCATTTCAGTTTCCAACTGAAGACCGTACAAGTGAAGTATAATTTAAAAACTCTTAACTTCCTACCTGATATAAGAAGAAATAGCCTGCAGTTTCACAGGTATATGAAGCATCCCCTGGGACCCCTAGGCTTTTTTGCAATCGTTTGACTTCTTCTAAAAGTTCTATTCTTCGAGCCAGGACATAATTAACTCTCCCATACCTAGAAATTACAATTAAGCAAAAAGGCAAAATTATGTAATGAAGAGATCTGAAAGGAAACTGTCAGCAAAATATTCAAGAAAAATCATATCAGAAGCTATAAATGGCCAAATTAAATAACACAACAAAACAGAAAACATAGTTTATATTTTACTATAAGTAGTAGTTCTTAGATCATTTTACACCAAAGTTACTTAAAGTGCACCCTATGGATCAGAGCATACCTACAAATGTGTTAGTAGTCTGTGAGGAAGAAAAATCAGACATCACTAAATACACCATTTAAGTTCAGCTATCAATTTTTTTTTTCCCATAACAAGTTCTTCACAAAGAAGCAAACAGTACAGTGCATTCTGGTGCCAGTTCATCTCAGCAGACCAAGAACATACAGTTTACCCACTGACTGCTTTGAATAGCACTGTTTTATACCATCACAAATATAGCTTTGTTCTAAAGGCTTTGAAATGTAATGCATTTTTCTTTCTGTCATCCCAGCATGTGGTTTGGCACCTGAACCTAGTAGGTTCACAAGTATTTGTTGAATGAGTAAGAAACCTAAAATTTGGACAGTATATCTAAAATTTGAAGAGATATATAGTTAAGAAAAAAAAGTAGCGGCACCAGAATTGCATTCCAAAGGCTATATACATACTCTTTCCACTATAACAAAATGCCCCTTATGACCTTTTACTAATAAAGATCAAAACAGCTTTTAAACACTGAAGTTCTCATGTTTAAAGATTTGACAAAGGAAGAAATCATGTTCCTGGCTGCTCCAGAGTTCAGTTTACCTCTGAGGCAGCAAGCGATGATCAAGAATACAAAAGGGATAAGACACAGTCTACATTTTTAAGAATTTTCCAACTTAGAAGGATATAAACATCATAGCAGGTAATCTTTTTTTTCTATGTGCTTATCTATAGTTTAAAATGTTTCCTACAATGCACACGTTGGTAATGAGAAAACAAATGAGAATGCTTATAAAGAGTTTGTAATAAAATGCCAAATCTTGTACTACAATGTTAAATTTAAAAAGCAATATATAATAGAATCCTATGTGATATTTGTTTAATTACTCTGTAAATCTAAAACTATTATTTAAAACTATTAATTTAGCCCTAGCCGGCCTGGCTCAGTGGATAGAGCGTCAGCCTGTGGACTGAAGGGTTCCAGGTTCAATTCCGACCAAGGGCACATGCCTGGGTTGCGGGCTCGATCCCTAGTAGGGGGTGTGCAGGAGGCAGTCGATCAATGATTCTCTCTCATCATTGATGTTTCTATCTCTCTCTCCTCCCTTCCTCTCTGAAATCAATAAAGAAATAATAATAAAATAAAATAAAACTATTAATTTAGAAAGGCAATTGTAAAATTATAATTAATAGTAAGATTATAGCTGATTATTGAAAAAAAGACTATCAAACACTTGTTTTGGATTAGTAAAATTATGGATGATCACTCCATCTGTACTGTCTCATTAAATTTAACATTTTTCTTTATGAAAAATGATATCACTTTTATTATGAAACAATATTCACTATTTTTCTTTTTAGTTACAACAAGGAATAGAAATGAAAGAATATTCCCAATTGATCAAGCACACACTTAAAGAGACCTGGGGCTTGGTTTGTGTATCAGAAAGCAAAAGTATTTTTCTGTCTAGAAACTCAGTAGTACCTAAAACCATTTTTTAAAATCCTACTGCAATACAATTATAAGTATAATATTTAGCATTCCATCAGTATCTGTATGTTTGCTGAGTTTGGGGGTATTCGATTTTAGACTCTAGCCCTCTAGTAAGTTAGGTTTAATATGAGGAAATACTCATGGGAAGAATTCAGAGAAATATCATTGGCTGATCCAAAATTAATAATTAAAACCCCAAATAACTTAATGTGTGTTGTTCTTTGCTCTCTGATTTATCCTGCCCCCCACCACTCTGACTTTTTAGAAGCTAATAAATGTTTGGTAAGCTCTGTAAAGCAAGAACTCAAAGTAGATGCAAAATAATAATTTAACACTCTTTTAGCTTTTTTGATGTCTATGACCATAGTCTAAGGTCATGTTCATACTCAAAGACTGTATTAAATATGTGCAGCTGTTAATTATGCCTTCTGTCTAAAACTATGCTTTAAAAATGGATTTGAATACAAATGAATGAGGTATTATAAAGCAACTTTGAAGAAAAAAAACCCCCAAAATACTAACAGCAGAAGTTTGAGTGATAAAATTTTAGTCACTCTACAATATGCAATATTAAACATAAAGCCTAGCTAAACTGGCATTAAGAGCCTGTAATAATATTTACAACTCCAAAGCTTACAATGCCATTAATCTTCAATTGCATTTCATTAAATGAATCAACTTCCTAATTGATGCCTTAGACATACACAAAGGAGAATGTTAAAGATTCTTTGTATACCATTTCAAAACTCATCCCCATTTGCTCACCTGCTGAAATCTTTCTCTGTCTCCAGCTCTTCTTCTCCATGACCAAGACGCAGGAGGTGGCGCTCGTCAATGTCTAAAGCCATGATTTTCTCAAACAACTGGTTCAGGGCCTAGAGAATAAAACCAGAAGGATGATGGTGAGTTTTAAAGAATCAGACTCCCTTAAAAGTAACAACCAACATTTAGAAGGACAGAAGAGAAGAAGCATTGCTCAGTCAGATATGAATCAAATCAAAACAAAAAAGGAAACATCTTGTATTTGTCCATTTACAATTATTGAATTCTGATATTTCTGCCTAAGTATACTAGGCCAAATAAATAACTGGAAACCATAAAAATCATCTAATCACTAAATCTCTGCTTCTAATTTATGAAAAGAAAAAGGTTTGGGCTCAGTTTCTATTTCTCCCAAGTAATAACAATTACTAAAATGATGAATAACCACACCAGGCTTTACTTCACTCAACAAAATTTCCATGGATTGCAGAGAACTGGGAAGTCTTTTTGGTTGGAGAAGGACTCTCAGGAGTTGAGTGTGTAGGTAGAATGCACCGAGAGGACCACAGTGTGAAACGTAAAGTGCATCATTCAAATCTTGGGCTGAAAGTCTAAAGATCTCTATGCACAATGAGCACTCATTTATAGCCAACTCTTCTGATGAAAGCCATCCAGAAGCCACTCCTTTCTACCTACTAAATGTTCTTATTTAGGGTCCCCTCGAATCCTAGTATTTATTATCTACACATATGCAGTTATAAGGTTTTTCAGAATGGGGAAGGTTCATAGTATGGGAAGATACACTAATAAAAACATCATTTAAAAATTAGCCCTCACTCAAATATCTCTCCTAATTTACCATCAGTATAACCCTGCCTGCCCTTCAAATGAGCATCCAATCTCATCAATATCCAGGTTATACAATATAAATATCCTTTGCTATCAAAATTCTACCAATTAGAGTTCAGAAATTAAAGAGATAAACATAATTTTAGAAAAATCCCCAACTATCCAAAATCTTAATATTTTTTAGCCAAAAGTTGGAGGCCCAAGTGATCAGACCACATCACATTACTCACTATTCAAACCTTCGCTATCTAAACTCAGGAACAACATAGATTTAGATGACAAAAATACTCCCACTGAAATCTCAGAAAAATCTGCAAGATTTCATTGTGAATTAGAGTGATGTAAGAGAATTGCTTGAGTTATATATGCACATAGAGATCTGGCAAACAAAATAGTTGTGAAAAAATCAACAATTTGACAGACATCAATAAGAATGATTTGATGATCTAAGGATCAAAAATGGCCCTAAGGAAACAATAAGTCTTTGACTATTTTTGTAAAATAATCCTCTCTATAATTGTGCTATTCAAATCAATCATTAATAAAGGACACCATAGAAAGTCATTATCAAGTTATGACAAAATTTATTTAAAAACTAGAGGCCTGGTGCATGAAATTTGTGCACACGGGGGGGGGGGGGGGGGTCCCTCAGCCTGGCCTGCACCCTTCTGCAATCTGGGACCGCTGGCTCCTAACCGCTTACCTGCCTGCCTGCCTGATCTCCCTAGCCCAGCCTTGGGCAAACTACGGTCCGCGGGCTGGATCCAGCCCGTTTGAAATGAATAAAACTGTTGAAAAAAAAGACCGTACCCTTTTATGTAATGTTTACTTTGAATTTATATTAGTTCACACAAACACTTCATCCATGCTTTTGTTCCGGCCCTCCGGTTCAGTTTAAGAACCCATTGTGGCCCTCGAGTCAAAAAGTTTGCCCACCCCTGCCCTAGCCCCTCTGATTGCCCCTAACTTCTCTGCCTGCCTGCCTGATCGCCCCTAACCACTGGTCTGCCTGCCTGATGGCCCCTAACTGCTTGCTTGGGAGTAGGGCCAGCCCAGCAAAGGGCTGTCTGCCTACCTGATCGCCCCTAACCACTGACCGGCCTGCTTGATCATCCCTAACTTCTTGCTGGGGGCAGGGCCAGACCTGCGAGGGGCAGTCTGTCTACCTGATTGCCCCCAACCACTGGTCTGCCTACCTGATCACCCCTAACCACTCTGCCTGCCTGCCTGATCGCCCCCTAACCACCTCTGCTTCAGCCCCAGCCACTGTGGCTTTGTCCAGAAGGGTGTCCGGAAGGATGTCCGGTCTAATTAGCACCCTTTTATTAGTATAGATCAGTGATGGCGAACCTTTTGAGCTGTGTGTCAGCATTTTGAAAAACCCTAACTTAACTCTGGTGCTGTGTCACATATAGAAATTTTTTGATATTTGCAACCATAGTAAAACAAAGATTTATATTTTTGATATTTATTTTATATATGTAAATGCCATTTAACAAAGAAAAATCAACCAAAAAAATGAGTTCGCATGTCACCTCTGACACGCGTATCATAGGTTTGCCATACATGAATCGCCCAGCCAGTGTAGCTCAGTGATTGAGCATCAACCCATGCACCAAGAGGTCACTGGTTTGATTCCCAGTCTGGGCACATGCCTGTGTTGCAGGCTCAATCCCCAATAGGCTGATTGATATTGATATTTCTCTCTCATCGATGTTTCTCTCTCTCCCTCTCCCTCTCTCTCTAAAATCAATACAAAAATATTTTTTTAAATGCACGTATTATTCTTTATTCACTCTAAGAATTTGCAAATAGAAAAATTATCACCGACTAAATTTTATTAAATAGAAGAAAAATAAGTCTACACGTGTTTTTTTTAAAATCAAGATAAAATCTCAATCAACCCTCTTCACGGCACAATTTTAGTACATCATGCCACCATTACTATAAACTTCAAAGATATAAAAACATGATATGAATGAACACAATAGTATTGTTTTTCAAAACCTGTTAATTAAAAGTTGATGAAAAACAGAGTAAATGACATGAGCATTCTAAAAACCCCGTACTTCTTTCTAGACCAACTCTTTGCCGAACTGGTCAACTCGTCACCATTATTAATATGTATTCAGATAAGATAAGTACCTTCGGAGGTTAAGACTACCATGCAAGTTTCATAACATGCTGAACGTTCTGAAAGCTGCCTTTCACATTCTACATGAGAATTAACAAATGTTACTTGTTTTCCTTCCTTTCTATGAGTGACAGCTATCACATCACACAGGTAGACATAAAAATAATTTTTCAACCATTATTTACAAGACAGGAATTTGGTTTTTTTTTTTGTTTTAGCTGTTTATAAAGCCTAATGTATTGAACCTGCAATCTAAAATAGTCCTTCCATGTAAGACATTCATATGTATATTTCATAAAGATTTAAAATTCAATCCAGTAATACAGATTAGATTCAGTCTTTTAGGAATATTTGTTCTACTAGCAGAAAAAATGCTACTAATGCTTCAAAGTAAAAGCTCTAGCTCAGCACATAAGATGAGGGGGGGAGCAATTTAACTTCATTTAATCCAAATATTTGACTATGTATCTAAATATTCTGCTTAGCTTTTCCACAATCTGACACCCCCTCAATTAGAAATAAAAGGTTGTTTTTATATTTTTCTTCAATACAGTCTTTCCTGGTACTCTGTTTACCTATGATCAGGTTATCACACAAGCAGAAATCTCCATTGTGCTTCCATGCATTCCTGCTCCTTCTTTACCTCCCCAAGGTCCACTCTATACATTTATGTGTACATGTGTGTGTGCACTCCTGTTCTCTCCCTTCCTTCCCACCCCGCCTCTCCCCACTTCCTCTCTCTCTTACCTGATTGGAATGAGTAACAATCAGAGTTCTCTGCTCCGGGAAATTGTGGTATATATTGGATATGATCTGAACCGCCACATCTGTTTTTCCTGTACCCGGTGGGCCCACAACCTAAAAAAGAGATAAACACATAGCAAACTACTAAATGGAATTCTAAAACTGAAAGATAAAATGTTTAAAAATCCACTGAATGAGTTTAATAGCTTAACGGACAGGATAGAGTCTATGAATTTCCAGACGGATCAATAGAAGTCACCTAATCTAAACAACAAACAGGAAAGAAGGGGTAAAACAAGTCATAGCCAGAGCCTCATGAATCTGTAATATTAAAAGGTCTAGCATTCATATCACTGAAGTCCTAGAGAAAGAGGAAAACTATACAGTATAGAAAATGTGTTTAAAGAAATAACGGCTGAAAATTTCCCAAATTGGCAAAAGACATAAAAATCCACAGTATCAAGCTCTGCAAACCCCTAACAGAATAATCCCAAAGAAATCTATGCCCTGACACACTATAATTTGATATTTGAAAACTAAAGCCAAATTATTAAAAGCAACTAGAAAAAAAACAATACATTACATAGAAAAAGCATGTTTCAAATAACTATGTATTTCTTATCAGAAACACTGGAAGTCAGAAGGATGTAGAATAACATTTTTAAAGTGCTGAAAGCAAAGACCTATCAAAGTAGAATTCTATATCCAGTGAAAATATCTTTAGAGTTACGGTGAATTAGAGACATTCTCACATGAAGAAACCAATGATAATTCTTTGCTAGCAGGCCCGCTCTTAAATAAAGGATTGAGTAGATTGTGAAGAGTTAAGTATGTATATTGTAATTCTCTAGAGCAGCCATTAAGAAAAATTATACAAGGTATAACAAATGAACAAAATAAATCAATAAAAACAGGGAACTAAAACTACACAAATAACTCTTAAGAATGCAGGAAAGGAAAAGCAGCAACACAAAACAAAGGGAACAAACATAAATAAAATGGCAGACCTAAATCCAGACACATCAGTAAAGAGATTACCTGGGGTCTAAACACACCAATTAAAAGACAGAGACTGACAGAATTCATAAAACAACATGCCCCAATTATATACTGTCTACAAGAAACTCACTTCCAATACAATAGGTAGTTTAGAAGTAAAATGATGGGAAAAGATATATCACATAAACACTATTCAAAGGAAAGCTGCAGTGGCTACATTAATATCAAAGTAGACTTTTGAGCAAAGAAAATTACCAGTGATGAAGAGAGACATTACTTTACCAAGAAGACATAACAATGTGTGTATACATATCATAAAGCTGTAAAATTTGTAAAGCAAAAACGGACAGAACTGAAAAGGAGGAACAGAATTACAGTAGGAGACTTCAATTCTCCTCTCTCAGTAATCAACTGAATATAAGCAAGGATTGAGAAGTACTGAACAATACTATCAACTGAATTCATCTGATTGGCATACATAGGACACTCTTCCACCCCCAAACCACAGAATACACATTCTTTTCAAGCTCATATGGAATATCCTCCAAGATAGATCACATCCTGGGTCACAAAACAAACCTTAACAAAATAAAAAAACAAAAAACTGTAATCATATTAAGTATGTTCTCTGACCACAATGGATTTAGATTGGAAATCAGTAACTGGATAAGAGAAAATCTCCAAAAACTTGGAAATTAAACACATGTCTAAATCAGTTATTAGCAGACCTTTCTGTTAAGGGCTAGCAAGTTAACATTTTAGGCTTTGTGGCCGAGATTGTCTCTGCTGTAAGCATTTAACCTCTGCTGATGTAACACAAGAGTGGCCACAGGCAACACATAAACAAATGGGCATAGCGATGGTCTAATAAAACTTTATTTATGAACACTGAAATGAGTAGCAAGATCTCCATATGCGTAAGATGTCACAAGCACTTAGAAACACTTAATTTAGTTTGGCTTTTGTGCTTCAAATAGAACACACTACAAAAATCCGATGCTCACTTCTAGTCTGAATCCATGTAAAAACATGTGTAACAATAATGCTCTTACCATAGTTAGCCCAGGCTGCATTCCAGCACGGATGGCCTCTATCTGTGTATGGGTGAACTGAATTGTATTACTGCAAATTAGAGTAGATAAAAAGTTGGTTGAAAACACAGATGAATGACATTCAGTAAAAATTTAGACAACAGTGACCAGAGTTATAAACATCTACTCTGCATCTGTTCCTGTTCTCCCAGTCTCTTCTCCCCCTCAGGCTGGCCCTTTGTGTATGTGTGGTAAAACTACATAATAAGAAATCTGCCCTCTTCACAACATTTAAGTGTACAGTACAGCACTGTTAACTATGAGCCCAATGTGGTACAGCAGGTCTCTAGAACTTACATCTTACATGACTGAACAATCTCTTCAGAATGACTCTCTGCACCCCTGCCCTTCCACAGATCAATTAAAACTGAATGAAACTTGTGGACGGAGAAGACTACAGTTATTTTTCAATATATTTAGCCCATTTCAAACCTCATCTGAAGTGCCCAAGTTCTAGTTCACAATCTAATACCAAATGTCCAGCCACTGTATTAATTATGGCACACATGCAACGAGCAGCTGTTAAAAGTAACACATAGTCATAAAGTAAGAACCCTGTGCTCAATTTAAGGTAGCCCTCTAACGTTCATTTCTCATAGTACCTGAAAATGTTTCTTTCTGAAATATGACTACAGAATGGCCAAAAATGTCTGAACTATTCAGCCAATCGATAGACTAGAAGGAAAGGGTATAGCAACAGAATTTCCTGGGATTTTTAAAGAATCAGAAAATAATAAAAAATATTACAAATCCATTTGAAATAGCAAGCTATTATTAATTATTACAATTTTCCCAGATAGTAAAATTACCGCTTGGGTTGGTTGTAAGGGTAAGGACCCCGATTAGGAATAACATGAGGTTCAACAATTAAGGTCTTGGCCTCTTCAGTGTCTTCATCTTCCCCATCCACGTCTTTCCTTTTCTTCCCTTTTCCACTTCTTACTGGAAAAGTTATCCTATAAGACCAAACTTCTGTTTAGTTTTACAATTAACAATGTTTATAATTGTGCATACATTGTGTGAAGAATAATCAGATCAGTAAGAAACATTTATGATCTAAAGGCTCTCACTATCTGTACATAAATTTTGAAGAAAAGCAGAATTAAAAGCACTAAAATGTGTTAAAGGTGCTCAGATTAGAAAAAGTCATCCAATGAAGGAAAATAAAAAAAGAAACATATACTTAAGTCACATGTGAAGTGCTACCCACGCTGTCCTTGATTTAATTAGAAAAGGCTTCCTGGCATCTAAGATGAGTTTCGAAGAATTCAGACACATAAACACGGGAGGGAAGACTCTCCAGGAAGAAAGAAGCATCAGCAGCTTTGCTGGAGTGTGGGACACAATTTAAGGCTAGAGAGAAAGGCTGGAGCCTTGTTACGGCACCTTTGGAATACCAAGGCTTTAAGGCAGAAGTTCTTAGCCCGGGGTCAGGGATACCCTAGGACAGTGGTTGGCAAACTGCGGCTTGTGAGCCACATGCGGCTCTTTGGCCCCTGAGTGTAGCACTTCCACAAAATACCACGTGCGGGTGCGCATGTACAGTGCGATTGAAACTTTGTGGCCCATGTGCAGAAGTCGGTATTTTGTGGAAGAGCCACACTCAAGGGGCCAAAGAGCCGCATGTGGCTCACGAGCCGCAGTTTGCCGACCACTGCCCTAGGAGGCAACTCCCCACAGGTACCTGGGGAAGTGAATGAAAAAACTAAAGTTAAAATAAAACATTAATTCTGTGTGCACTTTTTCCAGTCTTTCTTCCCATTCTGAAAGGACAGATAATACCCACCCCCATGTGCTAAGAAACAAAGAGGCTAAGAGGTTGATAGGCAACAGGAAAATTCAGAGTCTCAGTTAGGGAGCGGGATGACTCTAGCAGTAAAGCATGTAATAGGTATAGTGAGGAGACAAAGGCAGGAAAGACACCGCCACTAAAGACTGAAGTGTTTAAGGCCTAGAGAGGCTGTGGACAGGAGTGACACATAACAGTATCCTGAAGGCAGAACCGATAAGGCATAGCAGGAATTAGAGTAAAAAATTTTCAAAAATAATGCCAAGATTTCAAGGCAGAGTAACTAGAAGAATGATTTTGCCATTAATAGGATTTGGAAAGTATAAGAGGAAGACTACATTTAGGTGTTATAAGGATTCATGTTTTTAATAGGTAGGGTTATCTATACTAATAAAAGGGTAATATGCTAATTAGACCGAGAGACCTTCTGGATGTCCCTCCAGACAAAGCCATGATGGCGGGGCCGTGGCAGACGCGGTTAGGGGCGATCAGGCCAGGAGGGGAGGGCAGTTGGGGGTGATCAGGCTGGTGGCAGGGGGGTGGCAGTTGGGGATGAGCAGGCCGGCAGTGGGGAGCTGCTGGGGTGAGAAGGCCAGCGGGAGGGGGAGTTGGGGACAAGCAGGCTGGCAGTGGGGGCAGTTGGGGATGAGCAGGCTGGCATGCAGAGTGGTTAGGGGCGATCAGGCAGGACGGCAGGTGAGCAGTTAGGAGACAGTGATCCCGGATTGTGAGAGGGATACCAGATTGGAGAGGGTGCAGGCTGGGCTGAGGGACACACCTGCCCGTGCCGCACCACCGCCACCGCAACCCCCCTGTGCATGAATTTTGTCTACCAGGACCCTAGTTACATTTATATTTAACAACTAAAATTGTACGTTGTAATTTCCAGCTGAGGAAGCAGGCGCTTTCTTATCACCCAAGGTACACAAAGTGCTTTGTCACTACCTGTGTGATGGAACTCTAGGAACAGCAGTCGGTGCTTCAGGTACTTTGTCCTATTTCTACTCAAATTTTATAACCAAAACTCCTTTAACATTAAATATAACTATATTGCAAATATTTAAAACTTGTGAAAGCAAGCAAAGTTAAAAATAAGAGAATTTAAAAAAACAAAACAAAAAAACAAAAGAAAGTTAAAAATCACATGGCTATGTAGTATGCCAGACTTTCCTATCTAATAAAGAGGGAATATGTTAATTGACTGCCATGCCCTCACAAAGACCGTGGAGCCCAGTCCACTCAGGCCCGCCTCACCCAGCCTCAGTCCTCCAGGCCCCTCAGCCCCACAGGGGAAGGCAGTTGGGGGCAATCGGGTCAGCAGTTGGGGATGAACATGCCAGCAGGGGAGCAGTTAGACATCAATCAGGCTTGCAGGGGATTGGTTAGGGGGCTATCAGGCTGGCAGGCAGAGTGGTTAGGGGCAATCAGGCAGGTGAGTGGTTAGGACCCAGCAGTCCCAGATTGTGAAAGGGATGTCTGACTGCCGGTTTAGGCCCGATCCTGCAGGGGCTGATTGGAGGGATCGGGCCTAAACCGGCAGTCAGACATCCCCCAAGAGATTGGAGAGGGTGGAGGCTGGGCTGAAGGACAACCCCCTCCCCCCGCCCCCCGTTGCACGAAATATGTGTGCATAATATGCACACATATTTCTTCAGTGGAATGCTATAAATATATTTATGTAGTACTCTTCAGACAAGCATTTACTGATCTCTTATAAGACACAAAGCTACTCTGACTGTGGTCTCAAAATAACTACTACACAAATAATTAGAACTAGTCAAATAAAATAAATTCACCCCAGTGAGTATATGATGAAGGTACAGATTGCCCAAACAAGATCCAGACTCAGTGCTCAAAACTTACTTTAGCTACAGTCCTAATGGCCCAACTAGACTGACCACAGAAAGTCTGGAGGAGGACAGCTCAGACTTTACCTGAAAGGGGGTATCTGTAGAGCTGGGTCATCCACAGTTACTTTAACATTATGACCAGGGAAGCTGGTTTTCAAATGCTCAATGGAGAGAAATGTGTCGTTGAAATCCAGGGTGGCAATCTGATTGGGCATTTTTGAATAATGTGCACTGCTTGGATCCCCGTAACCTAAAATGATGTCATGCAGCCAGGCAGGTACCACACAGTCAGTGTTCATCAGGTTCCGAATAGTCTCCAGCACAGCCTGCCAGTAAAGAACAGAAAAAGACCGTATCAAGAAGACATCCCAAACATGTGCACTTGAGTGGAATGCAGAGCTGGCTGCACTAATCCAGAATTCCCGACTGTTTCAGGGCAAGAAGCTATTTTTTGCTGACAGGTGCTTGGCTAGACTGAATCAACAGCTATATTTTAAGCTGATGCCATACACCGAGTTAAACAAAAGACCAAACTTAGCAAGAACAGTTTATCCGTTAGGAGTTAATTTAGACAGAATGTCATAAATGAATTAGACTTGACTTCTGTTGGGTAGGATGAAAATCCATCTGGGTCTACACAACAGCAAGAAAACAATATTAAACAAACCCTCAAAGAACATGCTTCCTCTAAGAAACTTCTCGAGTTTTCTCCCCTTTATAATCCTTAGTTCCTCAATGCTAAGAAAACACACAACCAGAAGCATGTTAATGTATGCCTCAACCATGAAACACATATTAAAATTGGCACTGTTTGAAATAAGAAATGAAGAATAAAGTGAGAGTGATAAAAAAAATCAAATAAAATTTCAGGATGAAAGAATCAAGACTACAATAAAAGTTCATTACAGTAGTTAATATATACATTGTCAAAAGTAATTACTGAAAGCCAAGGCAAATTCTCAGTCTTTCCAATAATTATTTCAAAAAAGTGATCTGTTCCACATATGTAAATCAAAAGGCTAGGGTATTAATGTCAAAGATTAAAATAACTAAACCAGCCATTCTTACATTATAAATGCTATACAACCCAACAGGATAACAAAATAGCAGGCTAGTGCATATAAATCACGTTTTTACCACATTGCTTTGTTTTATTTTCTTGCACTTATCCTAATTGATATTCTGCTATTCATGTTCTTGGTTACGTATTTACCATTGGTCAGCACCACTAGAATATAATTCCATGAGAGCAAGGATGTAGAAGAGTTTAAGGATGGGATGAATGGACAGATAAATGAGTATGTTCACTTGATGAATAAGATTGAGTAGTCTCTAAAGTAATTATGATTCTAGTAGGGAGATAAAATATGTCATTAACAATGATACAAAGCATCAGAATGTGGCAAAGAGTAAAAAATACTACAAAATATACTGGGAGCACAATTTGAGGTAGGTGAGAGATGGATGGAGGGGAGACTTCTGACATTAGAAAAGGTTTCAAGGAGGAAAAGTGGCATTTCAATTTAGCTCAAGTAAAGGATTTGTGAAAAAGCTTTGATTTATGTCATCATTAACATAGTCACAGAAATGTTTTGAAAAGCAGAGTGAAATGACCAGTGGAAGGATATGAAGAACAGGTGACAGGTGACAGACTAAGAGGAGAACAGGGGTAGAGACAAAGGAGGCTGTTTTGTGCAACTATTCAGGCAAGAAGTATCCAGATTAGGACAGGCTGTACAAACAGGAAAAGAGTAAAGGAAATAAACGAGGGATGCTGCCCAGGTATAAAATAAAATACCAAAGATGCCAAAAGAGCATTTTCCCCAAACATAGGCAAGTTAATCATCCCTCCTTTCTCTTGGATCAGAACCTGAATGCCTCTTTGAACTTCCAGGACACTTCTACCTGTACCCTCGTTATGACTTTTGGCACCTTCTAAGCTTTCACGGTAGCTATCTGTTTATATTTCTAACTTCACTTAGTAGTAGTCTAAGCTCCCCAAAGGTATAAACAGTGCCTCAGTCATCTCTATTAGCTCTATGTAACTTAGCATAATACCAGACACAGTAGGCATTAAAAAAAAAAAATCAAAGGAATAAATATAAGAAACTTTCATTTTAGTAAACTGACTGAAATCCAATCATTATTGAGAGAACCAAAACAGATACAGACAAAACAGAGACCTGCCCTCATAAACCTGCATTCTAATGTCAGAGAAATAACAATATAAAGTCATTCTAAGGTCAGTTAAATAGCATATAATTATCAGGTATAATAAAGGCAGTAGGGGAAAATAAACATAATTGGATAAAGAATGATGAGAAAGGGAGAGGTTACTTTAGATAAAGTTGCCAGAGAGGGTTTCTCTTAAGAGGTGACATTTAAACAGAGTTGCCCATATAAAGTCAGAGAACAAGCCATGCAAATGCCTGGGGATGACTGCCCAGGTACAGGAAACACTGTGCAAAGGCTTGGATTACTAAAGAACAGCAAAAGGTCAGTGTGATTGGCATGGAGTGAATAAAGGAAAAGTGTTAGAAAAAGACGTTGGAGAGGAAGCCAGAAAACAGAGGGAAGGGGCCTCTCTGACTATGAGGACAACTTTCTACTGTGATAAAAAACCATGAAACACTGAACGGGGGTACCAGGTATAACCAGCATTCAGCCGCTAGGTGGAGGGTGGTCTAAGCCTTAAACTTTAAGGAAACCTTTGGAGCGGCAGTGGCCAAATGGTGGTCCGTGGACCACTGGTGGTCCGTGAGGTCTGAAAGGTTGGCAACCGCTGGTCTAAGGGGAATAGCAGTCACAAATGGAAGCAGGGATGTGAGAGATGAGGTGTCCTGGACATGGCATCGGTGGAGGGGGTAAGTCAATCCGACTGATTGATGAACTGCAGGTGGAGTGTGAGACCAAAGAAATGAAAGGTATTTCCATTATTTTGTCTTCAACAACAGGGTAAGATGGGGAATAAATTCCTTTGTAGGTGAGGCTTTCTTTTTTAATAACAACTAGTAAAAAAAATAATCAAGTGATAATGTATAAGAAGCACTGTGCTTGGTGGAGAAAGTAAAGGCACTTGTGCAAAAGCTGGTATCACCAAATGCAGAACCGCTTAATGTTTAAGTTTTATAATATAGTTTCAAAGAATAATTTTTAAAACCTTCCTTTACTAAAACTCTTCTACACACAAAGTTATTATGAAAATAAAACTCTCTAGTCCCCAAATCTTTTTCCACTAACAAGTAAAGTATAAGTACATTATATCATAGAGTAATTCAAAGCCCTAAGATTCCATAGGTGTTACTTTTGATTCATGAAAGAAGTCCCAGTAAACAAATAAACAAGCAGTTTTCTTCACCTCATACTGAGGCACAAACTGAATGTAATATACAAAAAGCAAGGAAGGAGGCTGACCTTTAAAATAACACATGAATTAATTAATATTTTAAGTTTCTAAATTGATCAAAAGACAAAAGAGATTTAGCAAATAAATTTCCTTAAGTTTCTATATTTAATCTAAGAATAAAAAAAGCAGTGATGATAATTTTCTTAACAAATCATTTAAACCTACTATCTATTATTTGTCTTAAAGTTTTTCAGATTATGCAGCATTTTTGGTTTTAAAGCCCCCAAATTACCTTAAAGTTATTTTCTTTTGGTTTTCTTCTCATTATTATATTGAAAGTTTCATACACATCTTCTGCTCCATTTTGTATGGTATTGGTCATATCTTGTTGATACTGGTTTGGATCCAAAAACACTCTAAATGTCCTTGACTCTCCTCTAAGATTGGGTCTGGGTTCGGGTCCTAAACATTTTGAAAAAGTTTGTTCAATGAAATATATACTATTAAATATCTACTTTCCAAATATAAAAATAAGTTAGCAGTATTCCTTTTCTAGAAATGAGTAAACTGTCCAGACTTTACTCCAGCCATCTCCCCAAGTAGAATGCTTTCTACTCATCCATTTCAAATTTCAAAAAGCTGAAAATAGTTTCTCCTTTCTCAAACTTATTACTATTTCTTCCCAGAGTAGCCATGTAATGTTTATGAGGCAATGCCAGGAATTGCAATTATTTGAATATGACCTCAACTAAGATCGGAGCCTTGGACGTCAAAGAACTTGACTTTTGTCAGCCACTCAGAGCTCAGCTCCTACTACTGCCTTACATAGAGTAAGTGCCTGGTGAACACTCTTTTCTTCCTTCCATATTCCATATATAATATCACTAGTATGAAAGGAAGTTTCATATTCTAATGGCTGAAAGCTCAGAGGCTTTTTCTTTCTGTCTTAGACCTCCAACTCTGGTCCCATCATATGGCCTTACGTTTATTCCAACTATCCTCCATTCCCTTCTATTTTTATTTTTCTTTTATTCTAGTGAGAGAAGCGACCTAAGTATCAGCACTTTAGCAATGGTGCAATCTTGAAATCACAGGTAATAAAAGCGAATTGAAGTTCTATGAGAAGTTTAATAACTAAATTATAAAATAAGCACCGGGCATGGATGCAGTTATAATTTAATAGTAAGTATTACCAAAAAAGTCAGAACAATGTAAGAATTTCAAAAAAACAATCAGTGATAAGATAAGAACTCAAAGAGCTGACTAGCCTTGTAAGGCAACATTTCTAAATGGGGTAATGCTGGCATCCCAGGCAGGACAGTTCCTTCTACATGATAGTTCTGTTTACATGCTTAGCATCCCTGGTCCCCAACCAGAAAATACTAATAACTCACCAACCCCTACTCCTACACTAGTCATCTGACAACATAAATACTACCACACATTTCAAATTGCAGGGTAGTGCTATTCCCAATTACGAACCACTCCTATAATGAATCAAATCAGTAAAACTTAAGAAGAAGAAATTAGACAAATATATCATTGAACAACTAACTATAAGAGGTTTTATAAAAAGCAATATTGTAAATTAATGTAAAAGGAAGTTTTATATAAAGATGATTTCAAAAGATCCTGTCCTTTCCAGTATCTAAACAGTTTAGAAACCATATTATTTATTTCTAAAACTGGGTGGTAGGTACTCTACCCATACTTTATAGATAATCCTGTGTCAATTTAGTATATAAAACTACTAGAAAGAGTATCACCTAATACACAAAAAGGAAAAAAAGGAAAAGGAATCTATCATTATGTACACACACTCTTTCAAAAGCATAGATCACCATACCGTCTTCGATGACACGTCCTTTATCATCCAGCATGCCCTGGATTTCACAGCCTCGGACATAAACCAGGCCAACCTGCTCAATAAAAGGTCTCCTCCGGTCAAACTTGGTACCATATGGTTTCGTGGGACGCACCGTAATTAAAAAGCATACATCATGCTTACGAAGGCCTGGTAAAACATTAAGACATTTTCACTTATCAGAATGTCATTGTTTTTAGTCTTTTGTTAGCAATTTCTTAAGCTCTTATCTTTAGAATAGAAATATAAAAATACATTTAAAATATGAGAGGTGGTCAAAAATTATATTTGTACTGTAATACAATTATGGGCTTTTCTATAACCTCTAATACTCAATGTTTGATAGTAGTAATTAAATGAAAGTTCCCATATATTAAAATCTGAACCTTTTTACCATGAAGATATTACTAAATAAGCCCTCCACGTCTGGCTACAGCTCCAAAACTGAATGTTTACCTTCATTCTTACTCTTAACATTCTTAATAAGTAACCAGAAATATGGTTAGCATATAATCCATCTGTCATATTTAGCAGGTTCATAACATCAGTCATTCCAACCACAGTCTAAGTGTATTTCGCCAAAAAGGGTCAACTCAAAAGCAATTCATCAAGGCACAATAGCATTGTTTACAGACACCATCTTGAAAAGATAGCTGAATATATATAGTTTCAATTGGCAAATACGGAAGATTTTTGTAAGTGAATGTCAAGAAATAGGAGACTTGTGCCAAAGTCCATGGCTTTTCAGTTATCTGACCAAATTATAATTCACTTGGTTTCCCTACTCTATTAAAACTAGGCAATGGAAGACAAGAGACATAAAATTAGATCACACAGCACATAATATCATCCCACTTAATCTTTATTTCTTTTCTGATTTGATTTTGTTAGCCGGTATATGACATAAATGAAAATTTAAGCAGTCTGTTTGCTCATAACCTTGGTAACAAGATACACAATTAAATCAAACTAGCAATGTATATGTCTAACAGTGCTGGGACCATTCTGGTTTGTTTCAATATAGAGTGGGATTCAAGTGTATTAGAAATAATAACTCTTAATTCATAATAATGACTTTATTTCTCAACAAATTCTCTGCAAATTAGCAGGAGAAGCAATGAGAACTAAAGGAACTGTTCTGTGATTTGTGACTTCTGATCTGCACAACTCATTAAAAGGTCCAAGTCTTTGAGACAAAGAAGTGGCCTGAGAGGTAATTTTGTCTCTACCAATGTCGCTTTTTGGTATCAAGGAAGGATGAGTGCCCATTCCCTCCTAAGGCAGATAATTTTACTGTGGGACATTACAGATCTACATCAAAAATACCTATATTACAATGAGCTCAACTACCTCTCTCCTTTCAACCATCTGCATTCATTCCATCTGTGAATGTGCCTTTTGAGCAGAATCCGGCATTTCAATTTCCTTAATTTTGTTTCCTTAATTTTAAATGAGGGATGGAGAAGGGCCTGAAATTCACACATTCTTACAGGAACAAGAAGAATGTTTTATAGTATTTACCTTAAATTCTTCAAAACTATTCTGTTTTCACAGGGATAATATTCATTACTAGAACCTCTCTCTAATATTTTTGCCTCAATTTTCTACTAGGTTACTCTTTGTGATCAATACTGGGTGTGAATTTTGGCTCTGGCCTCCCAGAAAACACTCTTCTCTCCACCATTCCTTAAAATATGAGTGGCTCCCCTCATAATACCCGATTGTTCTCTATCCTACCCATCAAAATTCACCCATTCTATTTCTTATTCTACCAGAGGCCTATGTTTAAAAGAAAAGAAGAGCTCTCCTTCACCCCCTCAAAAAATGACTGATGTCCTGATAGCAGTCTGCAAAGTAATGGAGGAAAGGGGATTGGATAAAACATTATTTTTTCCCCTTAATACCACAATGCAGACTTGCCATCTGTCATCTGTAAGTTTCTGTAAAGGATCTTTGTTTTTAAGTTTATTTCCAATATTACATTGAGGAGTAGCCAATAAGTTATGGCAGTTTACTACCTATCATAAAACAGTGCTTATTTTAATACCTCCTTAACTCTAAAGGGCAATAAATAGAAGGCCATCTCCAACAACTTAACGTCTTCCTCAATATTTAGAAATGATAAAGGTACACATTATTCTAGATGTGTAAGGCATCAGATTACAACTCTTTTGAAGGAAACTGAAGTTGCAAAATCTGTCACAAATGATACCCACTACAGTGGCCATTTGTCAAACAGTTGGTCAGCTTCTTTGCTGGATTCCTTCAGAATTAATGTGATAAATATATCATACAGTCCCTGTGGTTATAAACAGCTATGTCGACAGCAATGGTTTTTGAAAAGTAAACCATTAAGAGACTATCCCTTTCCTTCTGGCATGCCAAGAAGGTGAAAGGAGATAAAATGTACCAGCTACTATGTCTAACAACAAGGCAGCAAGGGCTCTCACAGACAGCTGGGAGAAAAAGAGAAGTGCCAATTAAAACTCAGCTCATGCGACATTTCAGGCACAGATGTTAGCACTGTTTTAATCCTATCTTACGTAGTAACTCTCAACATATTTATCCCTAAATAAAATTGACTGTGGAACTCCCATCCCTCAAATCTTGCCTGGCAAAAAATAAAAAAATAACTCATTTAATATCTCTGAATTCTTATTTATTTACTGTTGAGTACATAGAATTTCACTGACTAATTATCTGACTTCTCCCCTTTGATGAATATAAACTATTATTATTTCTTTCTGAATTGTTTTGTAGATCCCCCTAAAATTCCTTTTGAGTTTGTCTAGTTTTGATTTTGTATCTTTATTTTCCATAAATGGTATGCATCCCTATTCTCTTCACTTTTTATCTTTTAAAATATCTATTTTCTTGCTCTGCCTGTGTTCCCCCTTTCTTTAGTGAACACTAGTATTTTTACTTTTTATGTTGATCTTACAAATTCATAAACATTACCTTACTAAATTTAAGATTTAAAATACTTTCAGCTCTGCTAACTGCAATTTTAAAAACACTTTGATATGAATACTATTGTATGCTTTTATTAAAGTATTAAGGTATTTAATCATTCTAATATGATTCTTGGTATTTTTTACTAATGATAATTACAAAGACAACTGCCATTCTTTAAATCAAATTTTAAGGATTAAACTTCATGAGTTTAGAAGGGTAACATTTAATAAAAGTGCTTTGCTAATTCTCTAAGTGAAAGTCTATAATAATAAAAGCATAATATGCAAATCGACCTAACGGCTGAACAGCAGAACAACCATCTGGACCACCACACTATGACATCCACTGGCGCCAGGCCAGCCAAGGTGGGTGTGATGCAATTGGTCGGGGGCTCAGCCATCGCCCCATGTTCGCCTTACAGAGGGAGACCCAGGTTACTGGCCAGCAGGGCAATTGATCAATCAGGGGGCTCCACAATCGTCCCAAAGAGGAGGCCCAGGCCACCGACCAGTGGGCTGCAGCAGGTGGGTGGGGCCTCCATCTGCAGGACGGAATCAATTGCACAATTGTCCCAAAGAGGGAGGTCCAGGCCACTGACCAGGGGGCTACAGTGGGTGGGCCGGGCCTCCCTCTGCAAGGCACAATCTATTGCATGATCACCCTGCAAGGGAGGCCCAGGCCATTGGCTGGCAGGGCGATTGATCAAATGGGGGACTCCACAATTGCCCCAAAGAGGGAGGCCCAGGCCACTGACCAGTGGGCTATGGCAGATGGGCAGGGCCTCCCTCTGTGGGGCGTGATCAATTGCCCCAAAGAGAGGCCCAGGCTACCCTGCGGTGGCACTGTGGTGGGTGGGTGGGGCCTCCCTCTGCGGGGGCGATCCATTGTGGAGCCCCAGTCAGGTGGGCAGGGCCTACCTCTTTGGGGCGATTGATGACAGGGCTCCCGGACTGTGAGAGGGCACAAGTCAGGCTGAGGGACACCCCCGCAGTGCACCAATTTCGTGCACTGGGCCTCTAGAATAATAAACTAAAAAGGTAAAAGGTAACCACTTTTTGAAATGCAAGATTACCTTCCCATTCATCTTTGATGTGATCTCTGACATTGAGATTGATGGTGACATCTGCACGAACTCGGGTTGGCCAGTTTTCACCTATGTTGGGTTTGGCAACCTCAACCACAGTGAAAGCCACAATGGGTTGAGCCATTCGCGCCCAGCCACCAAACACTACACCGCCATATTCAGACTGCCTGAAAAGCAAAGAAGTGCATGATTACTCAAACAAAATATAACTTTTGGACAAGTAAAACCAGTAAGAATACATGTTTAGCTAGTGTTTAAGCCCTAACATAAGTAATTCTTATTTCTACACTTAAAAAAAAAATAAGTCTCAATATATCCGGAGTATACAAGGTAGGATGAAAGAGGCAAACATGGTTCAGAATATAGAGGAACATCCCCACACCCCCCCAGGTAAGAAGGTAACTTTATGTACATAATAGTTGAACTATTTTGTCAAAGAATGAGACAGTCCAGCACATTTAGTTTTATTTATATTCTTATCCTTTTTTCTTCTTCATAAAATAGTCTCAGCTATTTAATTTTACCTTATGTACCCTAAGCATTTTTATAAGCTGTTTCAAAAACATTACAGAACAAGTTAGGATTTAAAAAATTAAAAACAAGCAAACAAATAATAATATCTATGCAAATGACTTCTTTAGGGTATAATAGTTAAATCATTTAAAAGATGCTACCATGGACTGGGGGGACAAATAATCAAGCTAGCTGTAATAGCTAGAGCCACTAACATCCAAACACTCATTCTTTCTTCTTATATTAGTCTAAGTAGTGCTTTAATTTTTACATTAAATAGTATATTTGGGAAATCTGTAATATAAAAACTGCAGCAATACTCCAAAATTTAAAAGTATTGCCAAAAAGCCATGATTACAAAGAAACTAGATCCTAAGTAAAGGCTTTGTATCATAACAAAAATTGTAAAACTTCATGACATCAAAGAGTAAAACTAATTAAAAATAAAAATTTTCCAATCTAATGACTTGGTTCATACTGGGACAAAAAGGCACTACACCTTGTGCCTAAACCCTTTGTAATAACTTTCTATCACTGTCCCCATTTTTTCAACTTTACGATAGTACAGTTTAGTAGCATTAAATTCATTCACTGTAAATGTACAATTCAGTAATTTTATTAATTTACTAGAGGCCCCCAGTGCACGAAAATTATGCACAGGGAAGATAGGCCACGGGGGTCCTTCAGCCCAGCCTGCACCCTCTCACAATCCAGGACCCCTTTGGGGATGTCTGACTGCCGGTTTAGGCCAGATCCCAATTGGGCCTAAACCGGCAGTCAGACATCCCTCTCGCAATCTGGGACCGCTGGCTCCTAATCGCTTCTGCCTGCCTGCCTGATTGCCCCTAACCACTCGCCTGCCTGTCTGATCGCCCCTAATCACTCTGTCTGCCTGATCGCCCCTAACCACTTGCCTGCCTGCCTGATCACCCCTAACTGCTCGTCTGCCTGCCTGATCGCCCCTAACTGTCTCTGCCTCAGCCCCCACGGCTTCGTCTGGAAGGCTGTTTGGCTGCCAGGTTTAATTAGAATATTATGCTTTTATTATTATAGATAGAGCTGTGCATCCATCCCCCCAAATCCAATTTTAGAACATTTCCATCATATTAAAAAATATTCCTCTCATCCAGTTGCAGTCAATTCTTATTCCCATCTCTAAGCAAGCACTCATTAATTTTCCCTAATTCCTCCCCCCTTATAAAATCTACCTGCAACACGAAGCATTAAAAAGTGCAGGTTTCGGCCTCTCATAAACACATCCTTTCTTATCCTGAGCGGTGGTTTCATCAGTCTGAAAACATGATCACTAGAATTACGTGATGGGGAAAAGTGGTGTGGCTACTTTTCTACCTTCAGGATACACGGAACATGCTCCTTTTTAGATCTCACTGTTTTTAAGTTTTCAATCATGGGCAATTAGGAATGAAAATTTAGAAAAATTTATTATCACAAGATAATTATAAAAAGTGACATTTTCTTTTCCCTAGCAGAAAATGCAACTTTTAAAAAAGTTCCTTTATTAATAAATAAGAATTATAAGTGTTATTGCTTTATTTGGCATTTAAATAAAATATGAGTGAGCTGTATTTGATAAACTGCTAGTTATCAAGTTCCTACTTGGCAAAATGGCCAAAATTAGGTCCAGAATCTGTGCATGTAAATGCAAGGTAACCATAAATTCTAAGGAAGCTTTCTGATCAAGCACTCCCGGGGCTCAAACAATGGGCAGCAATTTCAGCAAAGCTGTGGGCAGGGATCATCAGCCAGTGGGTATACAAACTTCACAGTGCTAGCCTGCCTCCTGACTCAACTGATTATTAAGACAAAAATACTTTATGTTGTGTTTTATAGTCTCACCCAGAATAACTATTCACATAATAACTAATAAAAAATAGAATTGTGTGTGAAATAAAATATGAAGGGGAAAAAATAGATCATAATCACAGTGTCCATGCAGTTCTCTGTAATTAGTAAGGGGAGAAGTCTAGAAGATACCTGAAATCAGTTCACACTCAAAATATGTTAAGCTTTTCATATAGAATACAGTATAATTGTATAAGTATGCGTGGTGTAACTATAATGTAACAAAAATTCATTTTAGAGAGTTATTTTACTTGTTTATAGTCACTTGTGATATGTAATTCATCTCCATCAATGTTATACTCAGAATGGAATAGTGACCGAGGGCATTTACCTGAAGTCAGTCAAGTCTAAAAGGAAAACGAACCTTCGCAGGGATACAGCAGAGCCGCCTGGAAGCGGAATGAAAGTCTCTTCCTAGCTGAAGGACTGAGCTGGCAGGTGGGAGGCTGAGCTCAAGCAAGAGAGTTTCTCAAACAACAAGACCGACTCACTGGCCCTAAGAGTAAACGCTGATGACTTAGTCTCTTCCAGGCAATCAATGGATGGAGGCCCAGGGAAGACTCCCCATGTTCCACTCTGTGCGACGTTCGGCCACGCCCTCACCTCCTGACAGGTTCCCTCAACAGGTCGACTGACACTAGCGGTGACAGGACTAAACTATCCTGCCCTTGCACAGGCCTGCTGCCAGCCCACACTCTTTCCTCTTTTACTAGTGCTCTACCTACTCCTCTTGACATTTCTCTTTCCCTGCCGCCACCACCCCAAGGATAATGACTGCTCTTCCCTTATCCCCCGTCCCATCCCAAATACCCAGGTTTTATATTTTAGCACTTTTGATATACATTCACATTCAAGTTTTTCTCAAAGAGTCTCTCCTGCCCTAACCAGTTTGGCTCAATGGATAAAGCGTCGGCCTGCGGACTGAAGGGTCCTGGGTTTGATTCCGGTCAAGGGCATGTATCTTGGTTGCGGGCACATCCCCAGTAGGAGGTGTGCAGGAGGCAGCTGATCAATGTTTCTCTCTCATTGATGTTTCTAACTCTCTATCCCTCTCCCTTCCTCTCTGTAAAAAAATCAATAAAAATGTATTTTTTAAAAAAGAGTATCTCCTGTTTTGGAGAGCACCTTTGTGCCAGGTATATTATTTCTGAACACATCATGAGCTTTCTGACAGAAGTGTGTCAGTCACTGTTTGCATCACTGCATTGCAAGTGGAACCAATTTACTTACCAAGGCTTCATTCTGCTGACACTGTCCTCAATGTCCTGCCTAATTTCATAAGTTGATTCTAAGCGGAAGAGATTAAAGTTCCTTAGGAGGTAATCGTGAAGAGTCAAAAACTGCAAATTTAGCTTGGGAAGAGCAAGACAACCTGAAAAGGAAAATAACAACCATAATTGAATTTTTTTTTAATCAGACATCTGCTCTCTCTATAAAAAAGGCATAACAAATTTGGTAAGAATCTAATTTTATATCTAAAATATAGCATATTTAATAAGGTCTTATTTCTACTACCACACATAAGTGAAACCAAGTTAATAAATGCTATATGTTAAGAATTGAAAATAAAAGATGAATTTCAACCCTAGCTGGTTTGGGTCAGTGGATAGAGCAGTGATGGCGAACCTATGACACGCGTGTCAGAGGTGACACACGAACTCATTTTTTTGGTTGATTTTTCTTTGTTAAATGGCATTTAAATATATAAAATAAATATCAAAAATATAAATCTTTGTTTTACTATGGTTGCAAATATCAAAAAATTTCTATATGTGACACGGCACCAGAGTTAAGTTAGGGTTTTTCAAAATGCTGACACACCAAGCTCAAAAGGTTCGCCATCACTGGGATAGAGTGTCAGCCTGTGGTCGGAAGGGTCCCAGATTCGATTCCAGTCAAGGGCACATGCCTGGGTTGCAGGCTCGATCCCTAGTAAGGGATGTGCAGGAGGTAGCTGATCAATGATTCTCTCGCATCATTGATGTTTCTATCTCCCTCTCTAAAATCAATAAACATATATTTAAAAAAAGATGAATTTCATTAATACATGTAATCTGCACATCAGTGAATCATATCCGAATAGCGCTTCTACCAAGTATCTGGAGATGCTTGAATACAGTCTTGAGTAGTTTAAAAATTCTCCCTTTACCACCTAATTTACTTGGCAAATCTTGAAATAATGCTACCATAAAATGAATCCCAAACAAAATTACCAAGAAAACTGAATGAGTATATCACATTGTATAAATCTATCTCCAATGAACACCCCTGTGCTCTTCTGAACCTTTGCCTTCTTGCTATACTTTAAGGGTAAGGCCTTGATTGTATGTTATTCCCCAAGGTACTTCCCTTCTCTGACTGTATTAATAAACAATATTCTTTCCATTATCCTCACTTAACAGTACGTCCCATGGATAATAAATGACCAAGCACTCAGCAACAATATGTAAAGTTTTTTTTTAAAAAAGAACCTAAAACATATTTTACTGGCAAATCATATTTTCATCATCCCTACGTATCCTTACCAAAGCAATAACGCACTTAAAAGCAAGAAACATTGATATAGAAAAATTTCATAGTGTTTATGTTAGTAAACTCTGACTTAAAATGTAATTCAATTGCTTTCAGGTCAGAGGCTGAGAGAAAGCATCTTCTTCAACAACATACTTTTATTAAAAAGAAAAGACAATTAAAATGTCACCATTTTACAATGATCACTGAATTAACAAATCTAGCTATTAAGCAGCAATGGCTACTAACATGACAAAAAGACAATCAGACATTATGTGCCTCCCGATGAAAATAAACACACTAACACCAAGAATCTTGCCAAAGAGAGAGAACCTCAGCCTGATTGAGCCTCTGCATCTAGTTGCCAATTTGCAAGAAAAATAAAAAGCAGGGGACATGCTCACAGTCACTTAGAAAAATCCAGACTATAGGAAACTATACATGTTTCTATATGCAGGTTCCTCAATAGAAAGAAAAGGAAGGTATATAGGGGATACCTGTAAAGTAAAAGACATTTTTTTAAATGTGCAGGACTGGCTTTAGTGTCTAGGGATAAACAACTGAGTGATAAAACTATTTTAAAAATGCAAGATAATGATGGTTATAAAAGCCAAGAAATAAATGGTTACATTCAAGTTGAGGAAGCTGTGACTAGAAAGGAAGGGTTCTGGAATAACTGACGAGGTAGCTATAAGGGTTTCATGGTGCTTCCCTTATGATAATTAGTAATGTTCTGCATTTAGTGTTTATTTGATAATAAGAAGTTTTACAAAGATTTTCTTTACAATTCTCACACTGTATTTTTTATTTCTGCCCCAATTTTATACTTATTTTCTCTCCTTAGAAGCTTGGAGAAGCTCGCTGATCGTGCAGTCAGAGCTTGGGTCTTGCTTAGTTCATAGCACCAGGTATTGGGCTCCACAGCACAGCCCCATCCATGGTCAGTGAATAACAGCAAGACGTAGCCACGTCTCTGAAAACAGTACTGAAGTCCAACCATTTGGCAACTAATCTCAGTCTATGAAATGTATAAAAACTTAAATTCTGAAAAGTATTCCTTTCTATTTAAATTCATTAACCATGGGAATGGAAGAAAAGTAATACTTTACTAATCAAAATATGTCTTAAACTCAGACTAGCATCATTGACTAGTACCAAAAGCTAGCTATAAGACTGTTTACATTTTTAAGGACACATAAACTTTTTATTAAAAAGACAAAATATTCTTAAGTGTTATTTGCCCTTTAGGGACCGACTAGTCAATGTGTTAGACATCATACATATATGGTCATTAATGCTTTTAGTATGAACAAATAAGAAAAATGAGGAAATAATGCATTAATCACTGTCAGACATTAAGAGATATGAAGATTGCCTATTCTGAAATCTAGCAGTTTTAGCACACTGGGTTTACCTGAGTCATATCTCAGGATATGACTCTGAAATAAGTTTTTCTTTTAAATAAATGTACCAATAGCTACACTGGCCATGTCTTTAAAATAGCCACATTACTTCTAATTCTGTTGTTCAGAAGTTTTTCTCAAATTTTTGAAATATGCTTTCAAAATGTGTGAGAATGCACTTTGGCATATACTCAATTGTGGTGAATCCTCATCCTTAGATGAGCAAAAGCATTTAGAAACGATCTGTTAAAATAGATAAGTGAACAAACCAGATGGTACCATTTTGAATCAAAACTAAGGTTAATTATTAACAAAGGACAATGTGTTTTTATGGTGGTCATTACCTGGCTCTATAAGGAATTCAAAGAGCCTCTAAAAAAGCACTACCAAATATTTGGTGACATTATGGTTAAAATTTAAATCCTTAAAGCAAAGTATTCAAAATACTAAATAGTTTCTAGTTTCTAAAGTTGACCTTGAGGGTACCATAAAATTATCCTAATGTAATATTACGTAGGGGTATTTTCATTTACATATGAATTCTAAACTAAGTTTCATGCTACACCTGGATTCTGTAATTCTTTATCATACCTTCCCCTGAATAGTACTCAGTTGGGACAATATTTTCATCCCATATGATTTTCTCAGTTGGATACAAAGGCATCTGGTTCAACTGCTGAATCTGAGAAATTCGACGTTCATGACGAGATACCTAAAAGAACAGGTTCAGGCAGAAAGTTAGAAGCATCTTTTTTTAATCAAAATAATTTATGGAAAAATTCACCCAAAGCATGGAGTGAAAAGTCTCATATCTTGCAGTTACTGTAGCACTTAACAAGATATTTCATTTCCCTTTTCAATCACCTCCCCCCCCAAGAAGTCAAAGATGCAGGAAGTACCAATCGTGATGGTCTTTGGAATCAGACAGATGTGAGTTCAACTCCCAGTACCTCTACTTATGAGCTATGTAAAAGCCAGGCAAGGTACCTCAACCTCCCTGATCTTAGTTTCCTTTTCACTGAAAAAGATAAAATGTCAGTCACCTCTCAGGTTTCTTATGAAAATGAATGGACTACTATAAAATAGCTTCAAAGTGCCTGCCACATGCCAAGATTTTAGAAACCATAGCACTCAGCACTGGTTTATGTAAGAAAAAAAATGGAAGCCCCAAATCCTAGGCCAGTGGTCGGCAAACTGCGGCTCGCGAGCCACATGCAGCTCTTTGGCTCCTTGAGGGTGGCTCTTCCACAAAATACCGACTTCTGTGCATGGGCCACGAAGTTTTAATCGCACTGTATGTGCATACCTGCACGTGGTATTTTGTGGAAGAGCCACACTCAAGGGGCCAAAGAGCCGCATGTGGCTCACGAGCCGCAGTTTGCCGACCACTGAGATAGATGAAATAAGTATACAAGACGAGTGTGGATGGGAGAGTTGGAAGGGGTCGACCCCAGCGAATGTACCTCAATCAGATTGAGGACGTTTTTAGCAAAGGCCAGCTTAGGAGTACCCTAATTAAGTTAATAACAATGTACCTACCTATATAGTTTAAGTTTAAAAAATTTGGCTCTCAAAAGAAATTTCAATCGTTGTACTCTTGATATTTGGCTCTGTTGACTAATGTGTTTGTCGACTACTGTCCTAGGCAATAGTTTTCATTCTTATACTGACTTGCTAAACAATCTGGGAAAGTTTAGTAATAAGCTGGTCTCAGTCTAATTTATAACATGAGATAGGTGGACTTAATGAACTCTATGTGCCCTTCCATTGTGATTTATCTCAAATACTGAATTAAGTTTGTTGCCCAATTAACATATGCTAAGATGATATGTTTGAAAATGTGTCACATCTCTTCAGTAGAAATAGTATTATTTTAGGGAAGATGACAGTGTGATATCATCCAAATAATATGCATATTTCAACTTTTTAATCATAATTTGGATATACTAGTAAGAAGAATCCAAAGCCTAAGGAAATCCTTCAGTAGAAGGATAAATGAAAGATAATGCTAGAGCACTATAAATTTGAAAAATTGTTTTCTTTTGGAATAACTATTTAAATTTTAAGGGTGAAATCTTAGCTATAAAACACTAAAAGGCATAGAATCAACTCTATACTCAGAACTATTTTCCAATACAAAGATTCCTGGAAAAATCCTCGTTTCCAACCCTGACTTACAGGAGAAGATTTTAAATTGTCAGGAAACACAACAAGGAATTTCCAGAAAGCACTTGTAGTCAGAGAAAATGAAAAGCGATTTATAAAAAAGAAAGCAAAGATGGTGACCCAGGACACACATTTCATACAAGTAATATATCAATAAAAAGTATTTTTGATGGGTATAAAAAAAAATATAATGAAATTTTAAATTTTAAAAAAGAGTATTTCCCATACATGAATTTAAGTTAAAACCCTTCCCAAGGATTTCTCTCCAAATGGCACTTACACACCTGTCACCAGGCTTAAAAACACCTGCTACAAAGTTTACTGTTACTACCCCAAAAACTAGCATATATCATCTTTCTGTCTCCAGTAAGGGACTATATTTTGTACCCTACATTAAAAGTATTAGCTTGGAATATAAGTCACAAAACCATGTGCCCATTATGGTTCCATGTGTGTAAAAAATGTATATATACATCACAGTGCATGTATGTATAAGTATAAAAATAAAATCTAAAACAAATGAAAAAAAACCCACAACCTCAACCTTTTGGCAGTTAGGAAACAAAAAAATTAAGACAAGCTATTATTTTTTTTCCCTGTGAGACTGGCAAAAATTGGGATGACTTGTAATACTCAATACTGATAAGAGCCTAAAGAGACATACTTTAATACACTGTTGGTGGGAACATATAACTTTTGGAGGATAATATGGCTGCATCTTTTATCTTTTAAATAAGCAGCACGATTCAGTTAAATAACTTCACTTCTTGGTACCTCTCCTAAATGTCCATATATGGGCACAAAGAGGCATGTATCAGGATTGCATCATTATTTGTGACAGTAAACACTGCAAACAACTTAAATTTTCATAGTGGGAGTATGGTACATACTCATCCATTTTATTAAATATTTTACTGAAATTAAAAATAAGGTCTGTCCCTTCCCCTCAATTTTTCTATGAACCTAAAACTGCATGAACAAATAAAAGTTTATTAAAAAAAGAATTAGTTTAAGAGTTAAAGCCGTCACTTCCCAAAATGATTAAGAAATCCTTAGAATTCTTAAACCACTAAGTTAGTGATAACTTTATTTCTAAACATTCCTGAATTTTCTAGTGATAAAGGTAGGGCTTCATATTCAAGGTCCTACATATGGTATATTAAATAAGAGTGTGTAACTGTGACCCCTTACAGGCAGGAATGGTGTCAGCGACCTATGGATCCCCAGTGCATGACTCCCGTGCCTGATATAGGAGTTGCTCATACATGTTTGCATGGAACAAATGCATTCCATAAAGCAGTTTTAAGAGGTAAAAAACTTGAAAAAATGCAAGAGATGAGAAAAGAAATCAGATAAAACCAAATGATAACATAATTATGTATGTAATCTTTAGTCCGGAAAAAATATGTACCAATCTACATTTTTAAGTCATTCAAACAGGTAGGGAGAACCACGTGCAAAGTTTGAAGAATATTAACATATATTTACCAGCAATTCTAGAAGAAATTCTTTATCAAAAGTTGTGTCTTCAGTTTTAGGAAGAGTTGGTAACAAGCAGAGGTATGATGCCACCTGGTGGAGTGTATTTGAACTGCAGAATAGAGAAGATTCAAATCAGAATATTTTAACTTACTTCACTTCTGAAATATGTAATTTTATAGATCGTTTAAAAAGTTTTACCTAGAAAATATAGTCCTGTGACATGAGTAGCAAATATAAAATATCAGCAATGAAAGCCCCTAATACAGAGTTCTCAAAGTGTTTTCTGAAAACCTGTTGTGGTCCCTGAGAAGGTCCTTTCAGGAAGTCTGCAATGACTACACTTTTTTATATGCATACTCAAACAATATTTTTTCACCGTCTTTACATATACAATGACAGTGCAAAGCAATGGCGGTCAAAGCTGCTGGCACAGATCAAGGCAGTGGCACCAACTGGTACTATAAGTAGTTATAGCATTCTGCATGCATACGCAGTTTTAACAAAACCACAAAACCCCAGTTATAAGAATGTCCCCAATGAAGCAGTTATAAACCTGGACCCCTGAGTATCCGTTTTTTAAAAAATTCTATGATAGAATGGGAGGTCCACATTTTGTATACGATGCTTATTTGAAAGAACTGACAAATGATGGCTATTCAGACTTGAATAATGGCAAAAATAAAAAATGTGAACCATCCAGACAACCTTCCGGACAACCTGGATGAAGCCAGGGCTGCGAGGGCCGAGCCATTGGGCCTCTAGTATATACATACATACATACACACACCTTTGTCCTTAATCAACTTCTTCAACTCTACCAGAAACATGGCAGCAGCTTCTTCATCGGCAAATGCAGCCTCTCCAGGAATTTTTATATCAGTCCAAGCCTATTCTTGAATCTGTCTGGCCATCCCTTCCTTGCAGTAAATGCCCTGGTGCCACTCATTTCAGGGGATCCCTGGCTGACGTCTTCATATAGGCTCAATGCTTTCTGGCACAGCAATTGGAAAACGTTTTGTTTGTGTCCCCTACCCACAACCTTAAGGCTTTTTCCATCTTAACTAAGCATTTATCATGCACTGTGGCCATAATTTTTAGTCTGTAGTGAGACAGCAAAACTAGCATGAATTTCTTTTTCCTTCTTTAGTTTCAAGATTCACAATTTCAAGGTTCAAAGACCTTAGCAACCTTAACATACACTTTCTTTCTTATTAAACCAAGGAAGTAATTTATAGCTTCTCTTTGGCATATTCAAATTGTTGGCATCACTACTCTTGCATTTTGGGATTTTGGGGCATAAATTAAAATAATGAAATACAAGCACTTCAACACTAAAAAAGTTAATCTGGCTATCAAGATGGCAACTAAGTGACTAGTAGGTATACAGCAAAGATCACTGGACAAAGGGATGATTCACGTTCCAGGCAGGACAAAGCAGGGCAGTATGCAATTTAAAACTGATGATTTATTTCTGAAATTTTCCATTGAGTGTTTCTGTTTTTATCCATAAAAAGCGAAACAGTGGATAAGAGGGGACTAGTGTATGATGAACATTTTTGGTTTCTGTTGTATGTTGTTTATGACTGATGGGATACCAGGTTTATGTTATATTCTAAGAAAAAATTAAAATCTAGGAAACTGTATGTTATGAAAAACATAAATTTTACAAAGAACAGAAAAGGATGGATAATTATATATAGGTCACTCAAAGATACCACATGCTAGAGAAGCACTAGCTAGTTCTGGTTGTCAATAAATAGGGCAGCAAGTAACATTACCTAAAGCACTATAAAAGAAAACATGAAAATTCTGTTTTCCTTTCATGTTACCTTACCTAAGAGGTCCAAATAACTTGACCAAGGATCCCCGAGTATCTACTTCCGCCACATTGGAGAGGGCAAAATCATAGAGTTCAGGGAAATGTGCAAAAGCAGCTCTCTAGAAAAGAAAAGCAAACAAAAAAATATCAATAATTAATGTCCACATATTAATACAATCTACAATTTATATATTCTATAGTAAAAACATTTAAAAATATATTTATGCACTTCTCTTTCAAAGCTTCTCATATGTGACCTCTGCCTTATTTAGCTAGAAGCAGTCAATAAACTGGGGGAAAACTAGAAAAGTTCTAGCAGAAATGCAAAAACAAAGAGTCAATGTTCAGTTTTTTATTTCTAAACTTGTCCTCTGAATATATACGGAAGCCAGCTTCATTGACATGAGGGAAGAAAAACAAAACACTATTATCGAGAAATGGCTCTAACAAAACTAAAAGGAAGTTTTAATTTTTAAGGAAAACCCCCACTGAAGAGATAGCTTGAGGCCAAAAGTATAGTGAGCTTGTACCCTGCTTTACATTAGAACCCTGGAAACAGAGGGCCTACCACCCCAACCAACATGGGGTAAGCTCGAAGAAAACAGAAATAGTGGCATTATGCTGATTTGATAGGAGAAAGAAATAACATCCCGTCTTCCTTAATGCCCATGTGGTACATAGAAGACCCAGAATTTTTCACGTACCCCCTAGAGGATCATGCAGAAGGTTGCTAAAGTTATGGATGAGCTTGCCATGAGATTAATACAGGCAATGGCAAATGACCCTGCCATCCAAACCTGAAGAGTGAGCTAAGCTGGGAAATGAATGGGAGTCACCTCTCAGGAGAGTTCTAGCACCATCAAGAACAAAGCTGGGCCTCGTCAGCAGGGAGACAGCCAAGCTCTCTGAGAGCAATCATCATGCCCCGCCTGTGCCAGGAACACAGACCACAAGCCATACCAGCCAGGGTCACTTCAAGGGCAGAGGCACAAGGACAAAAACAATAACACTCCGAGGAAAGCAAGTCTGAATGGAGACAGTGTGCCCATCACTCCTCTTCCAAACAATGAGGCTATCCTAGTGTCTCCATGCACCCCAGTGCGGACTGGGAAAGAAGAGGGAGAGCAGAGACACTGTGAGAGACAGTGGAATTGATTATGAAAGACAGTTGAACTTAAGTTTGAGTCTTTATCCCAAAAATGACTTTTTAGAACAGAAAGAACTGAATTACTTTAAACTGACAAACAAAAGTTTCTTTCTGCCCTAACTGGTTTGGCTCAGTGGACAGAGCGTCAGCCTGTGGACTGAAGGGTCCCAGGTTCGATTCCGGTCAAGGGCATGTACCTTGGTTGCGGGCACATCCCCAGTAGAGGGTGTGCAGGAGGCAGCTGATCGATGTTTCTCTCTCATTGATGTTTCTAACTCTCTCTCTCCCTTCCTCTCTGTAAAAAATCAGAATATATTTAAAAAAAAATTTTTCTGCCACCAGAGAAAATGGAGCTCAAGAGCAAGAGAGCATTAGTAGGACACAAAGGTATTTTTTTTTTTTTACATCTGAGCTATACTGCTAAATTTCATTACCTGTGTTTATCTTTAAAATGTACAAAATGTTGCCTTGGCCAGTGTTGCTCAGTTGGTTAGAGCGTCATCCTGTACACCAAAAGGTGGTGGGATTCATTCCCTGTCAGGGCACATACCCAGGTTGAGGGTTCAATTCCTGGTAGGGGCAACTGTGGGAGGCAACCAATGAATCTCTCTCTCTCTCTCCAATCAGTAAAAACATGTCCTTGTGTAAGGCTTAAAAATTAAAAATAAAAAAAAATTCAAGTTAAAAAAAAATGTACAAAATGTTCATACTACTTTGTCATATGTTGAAATATCTCTTTCATAAAATACAACTGATATTTAAATGCATTAAATTGGCCCAGTAACTATTATTTCTGAGTATCAGGATGAGGCCTATGAAAGCAAGACATTTTTTTTCATGAACTCAAAGTTTAAAATGAAAACAGTATTAAATTAATACCTATTCTATTTGTACTATGAAAATCACAAATTACTCATGGCCTGACGTTATGGAGCAGAAGCAAAGGCTATCATGCATTTGAATTACCTGTAGAGAAGTGATTCTATCATAGTGAATGGTAGTCATCTCGTTCTCTGTCAGAGCATTTCCAGTCTGGTCATTAATCTCGAAACCAGTATAGAATTTAAGCATGTCCAAAAGCTGAAAGGATATATTTAAATTAACAAACTGTGTGAACATAAGAGCAAGAAAGCATCAACAGACACTGTTTATTAAAACTAATAAGTCCATTTACCTTCTCAGAGGTGCTGAAAAATTTTATAATGTAAACAGTACAACAAACATTTCAGAACATACCCAAGCGTGTTTTATTTATGTGAGAATAGGTACGTATGTGAATAAATTAAGTCTATTTCATATACACGGTTTACTTATACAGAGAAGAACTTAGGCTCCAACCCCAATAATAAGAGACACTGATGATCTAATCCAGTGGTCGGCAAACTCATTAGTCAACGGAGCCAAATATCAACAGTACAACGACTGAAATTTCTTTTAAGAGCCAAATTTTTTAAACTTAAACTATATAGGTAGGTACATTGTTATTAACTTAATTAGGATACTCCTAAGGCTTAGGAAGAGCCACACTCAAGGGGCCAAAGAGCCGCATGTGGCTCGCGAGCCGCAGTTTGCCAACCATGGATCTAATCAAAGCCAATCATTTCAATAGGGGGAAATCAATCTACATGACTGCCAATTTATAGAACTACACCACTAGAGGAAACTCCTGAGGTCTTCTACTTTGGCCACTGAGAATTTTCTGAATGAGGGTTTTGGAATTCATGATAGGAGAATCTCCTCCATGAGGGAAAACAGCAAGGTGGGGAAGGCTAACTGATCTACTCCTCTCCTCAGACTCCATGGCCATCAGGCTGTGCTTTGGCTCAGTTCCTGCTGCTAAGCGAGGCCTGCTTCCCCTGCAGCAGCAGCATCAGCACAGTTCATTAGGCTGCCTTTGCCCCAAATCTTTATTATTCTTAATTCTAACCTATGGCATAGCGGATAGTAGGATTTTAATATATGAATTAAATCACTGGGATTTAATAAGAGAATGAGAAAGAAAAAGGAATGCCCACAGACATAATATAAAAGAAGTCTTATAATATGTAAACACATAAAAATTGTATCTCTAACTATGACCTCATCAAAAGACAAGTGTCAGAAGTTTGTTAGAAGACTTTTCTTCTGGATGACATTACAGGAAACGCAAAATGCTAACACTTTCATCTTCTTATCCAAGTTAACAAACAAAGCGTATACACATCCATGCTCTCAACTGCCTGGCAGCATCATCTCATGGAAGGAGGGCCATAGTGTTAGGGCATAGTTTACTTGAAATGAATGCTCATCATCTGTTATATTCCACAGTGGTTATGTGGGACCACATCACACATAATTTAGTAAAATAATAATAAAATCACATGTGATTAGCAAAAAGTTATGTCAGTACTAGAGGCCACCTATACAGGAATGCATTCATTTTGTACATTAGGACTTGATTTTACTTAAGAAATGACTAATAAGAAATCTTCATTATTCAATTCAATGTAAAGCAAAATTGGTTTTTTTTTTTTTTTATTGCTTAAAGTATTACAAAGGGTATTACATATGTGTCCATTTTATCCCCCCGCCCTAGACAGTCCCCTAGCCTCCCCTATCCCCCAATGTCTTATGTCCACTGGTTATGCTTCTATGCATGCATACAAGTCCTTTAGTTGATCTCTTACCCCCCTACCTCCTGCCCCGCAACCCTCCCCGGCCTTCCTGCTGCAGTTTGACAATCTGTTTGAGGCAGCTCTGCCTCTGTATCTATTATTGTTCAAAAGTTTATAATGGTCTCTATTATCCATGAATGAGTGAGATCATGTGGTATTTTTCCTTCATTGACTGGCTTATTTCACTTAGCATAATGCTCTCCAGTTCCATCCATGACGTTGCAAATGGTAAGAGTTCCTTCCTTTTTAGAGCAGCATAGTATTCCATCGTGTAGATGTACCACAGTTTTCTAATCCATTCATCTACTGATGGGCACTTAGGCTGTTTCCAGATCTTAGCTATGGTGAATTGTGCTGCTATGAACATGGGGGTGCATATATCCTTTCTGATTGGTGTTTCTGGTTTCTTGGGATATATTCTTAGAAGTGGGATCACAGGGTCAAATGGGAGTTCCATTTGTAGTTTTTTGAGGAAACTCCATACTGTCTTCCATAGTGGCTGCACCAGTCTGCATTCCCACCAGCAGTGCACAAGTGTTCCTTTTTCTCCACATCCTCTCCAGCACTTGTCGTTTGTTGATTTGTTGATGATAGCCAGTCTGACAGGTGTGAGATGGTACCTCATTGTTGTTTTGATTTGCATCTCTCGGATGATTAGTGACTTTGAGCATGTTTTCATATGTCTCTTGGCTTTCTGAATGTCCTCTTTTGAAAGGTGTCTATTTAGGTCCTTTGCCCATTTTTTGATTGGATTGTTTATCTTCCTTTTGTTAAGTTGTATGAGTTCCCTATAAATTTTGGAGATTAGGCCCTTATCGGATATGACATTGGCAAATATGTTTTCCCACACAGTGGGTTTTCTCGTTGTTTTGTTGATGGTTTCTTTTGCTGTGCAGACAAAATTGCTTTGTGTGATGCTCTGGTACTCCCAGTTTCATGGCAGAAAAAGGTCAATTCAGAAATAAGAAGAGTAAGTATGTTCAGATACATCAATGCTCACCTGGGAAAAAAGATGGCCATCCTCTTCCCTATGAACAAGGTTGGAAAGGTAGCAGTGAACCAAAAGGTGGGAGTCGTCCAGGATGGTATTAAACCAGCGCCTTGTGGGGAGTAGGGCCTAGAAAAAATAAACACCACGGCAGTAAGTCTGCAGGTTTTCTGTAGCTGAAGGTGAAATTATTGATATTTAACTTGGAAGTGTTAATCACATCCAAAGTCCCCTCCAGTCACCCAAAGACACCATGCACAACGCAAGGTCCATGTTGTAAATAAACTCAGTGTTAGTATTTCTCAAAAAATACAGATTTTTGAGTTTGTTTGTTTTTCATATAAAATCCTATATGAAATCCCAATATGTACTGTGTATAGGTTTAAAAATGAAGCTGCTTTGAGAAAACAGGGAGTGAGGAACCCTGAGTGGAGACTTCTTTTATGGCTCGCACGCCCCACACCCCCTCTGACAGTCAGCAAGGCAATGCTGCGGAACTGCCAGTGTGAAAACCACTAATCTAATCAAACACCCCCATTTTATGGTGAAGTTATTGAGGTCCCCAGAGATTATAAACTAGTTAAAGGCAGAGCTAGAAAGTGAATGAAGATCTCATGAATGACTGTTAGTTTAATACTCTGATCCTCATGCCAAGAAACCACCCCACCTTTCCAGATAAGGAGCAGACAGAAAGGATTTTCTTTCAATCCGCTTCACTAAAGATGGAAAGGAAATAAATTCAATCTGAAGGACACCAACTCTGTATCTGAGTTTTTCATCAAAATCCTTAACCTAATAGTATGAAATTTTCTTTTCTAAGAATCTTAATGAGAAAAATTGACAATAGCAGCTGTATCATTCTTCATCAACAATATTAGGCAAATTTTTAAAAGTGAGATTATTAAAGAGATGGCCACAAACCCATGATTTCAGCCACTATTGCGAACTCTGTGAAGAGGTATTAAAATGTGACAGAAAATAAACTGCCATTGCTGAGCTCATAGTTAACAACTATATTGAATAATGTTTTTTCTACAAGCAGCAGCCATCTGAAAACTTCAAGGGTCAACTACTTTGACTTTCTTCTCTGAGACACTCTGAAATAGGCACATTAAACTAAGGCCAGTTTGAGGTGATAAAAAATATTTCACATATAGTGTCATATGCATAATCTTAGCCGCCTTAATGATTGTTACACGATAGAAAAGTCACTGCACACTTCTTACCTCTAGATCAATCATAAGTTCAATGAATCTTTCACAGTAATGAACTTTGTCCATAGTGACAGGTTCTAGATATAATGAAGAAAGCATGTTAGAATTTTCTTGCTTAGGTTATTCTGTGTTACTAAATCCTAAAATTGGCAGCGATTTAAACAAGGCCACTTGTCTCTTATTCATCAGGATTGGACTATGATCAGAGTAAGGACCTCACATAGATTTCAAAAGAAGGCTGGCCCCACCCTTATGTTTAGCTCTACAAATATAAGAAAACGAAAAACCTAGCTTGGATCAGAAACACATTATAAAAATAAGATTTGCAAAAAAATTTTAAAGTGTTAATTTTTAAAAATTTGTGAATGATTAGATTTTGAAAAAACCTGATATATAAAAACTAGAAAGGCAGTTTTATATAAGTCTCGCCCCACTTTCCTTGTTGTCTTCACATGCTAATTTTCTAGAACTCCTTTCATGTGCATAAACACATGCATATATGTGCACATGTATGCATACAAATATACTATAGAATACATAGAAAATGGGTGGGAAAGATACACACCAAACCAATTAAAGGGATAATTTTTAGGACTTTTTTCCACTGTACATGTATTTCTTTTGACATTAACATGTCAATGACACAGAGCAATAAAATGTTTTTAAATCACTTATTTTATACTATCCATGAGCATAATGCACTACTGTAAAAAACACATTTTTGTTGTAAATAATTAGTCTTGTGACATGCATATTTTCAGAGTACAAGGTTTTTCCGAATGCCAGAAAATGGTCTACCATTTTACTAGCTAAAACCATCCTGGCAAGATTGTTTCAATTAAAAGGGAGATAATTTCAGGGTCTCTATTGCTGCTCAGTCTAAGGACTCCCAGCAGTAACTAACACAGCACTAGACCTGTAGAAGGTACCCTACAAATGCTTATACTAATCCATTTATTAAATTTAATAGAGGCCCGGTGCACGAAATTCATGTAATGGGGGGAAGGGGGCGCGTCCCTCAGCCCGGCCTGCGCCCTCTCGCAGTCTGGGAGCCCTCAGGGGATGTCTGACTGACGGCTTGCTCCCTGCAGGGAGTGGGCCTAAGCCAGGCAGTCAGACATCCTTAGTGCTGCCGCAAAGGCGGGGGAGGCTCCTGCCACTGCGCTTGCCAGAGGTGAGCCCGGCTTCTTACTGAGCAGCACTCCCCCTGTGGAAGCACAATGACCACCAGGGGGCAGCTCCTGCATTGAGCATCTGCCCCCCGATGGTCAGTGCACGTCATAGCAACTGGTCGTTCCGCCATTTGGTCAATTTGCATATTAACCATTTATTATTAAACTAGAGGCCTGGTGTGTGAATTTGTTGCACCAGTGGGGTCTATCAGCCTTGACAGCAGGATCAGGCCAAAACCAGCTCTCCAGACATCTGCCAAGGGGTCCCAGCTTGCAAGAGGGTGCAGGCCAGGCCGAGGAACCCCACCAGTGCACAATCAGGGCCAGGGAAGGACGCGGGAGGTTGGCCAGCCAGGGAGGACAGCGGGAGGGCTCCAGGGCGTGTCTGCCTGTCTCGCTCAGTCCCGAACCGCTGGACCCCAGCAGCAAGCTCACCTACTGGTTGGAACGTCTTCCCCTTGGTGGTTAGTGCACGTCATAATGACTGGTCAACTGTCTGCCCCCTGGTGGTCAGTGCACATCATAGCAAGCGGTTGAGCGGCCTTAGCAAATCATTAGCATATTATACTTTGATTGAACGTCTGACCAGATGACAGGACACTTAGCATATTAGGCTTTTATTATATAGGATTTATGTGTAGTATACAGGAAAATAGAAGGCATTATATGACAAAAGAAATGTGAATACGTTTGTGACTAATATATGGAAATGTTAACTGGAACTTTTCCATGTCCATAATCCAGACCCTAAAATTACATAACCATAGAATTTTATAGCTGGACAAGACCTTACAGAGCATCTATGTCAGCTCTCCACTTTCTAGGTGAGAAACAGAGGACAAGAGAAACTGACTTGATAAAATGTAGAACAAAGTAATGGCTGCTTAGAAGTGGAATCCAGGTTTTCTGTAACATAGTCTAGGTCATACAGCTGTGCAAACTAAAGAATTTAAAGGAGAAACTTAAATTAAATCCATTCAAACCAGTTCTCTGCTGCTATCTTTTGTTCTTGTTACTGACATAGGAAAATATTTTTGCCTAATATTGAAAATGTGAGCAAACTCTGTACTCTGTATTTTTATTTATTCCTTGAGAAAATTACTGGCAATGGCTTATTTAAAGTTTGAATGGGATGATGCCTGGCACTCAGCTTCTGAGCCCTGGCGGGTAAAGCTGCGTATTTTTAAATTAGTTGGCCCTATTGGGCATATTGTTTAGAGCTGACACCTTGTTATTTCAATTTCAGGCATCAATATATCCTGTCACTTGCTTCTTACATGCATTATGGTTTTTTCTTTCCTTCTGACAGCAGTTCTGGCATCTTAGCTCATCTTACACAGAGTTCCTTTGCAACAACTGATAAGGACATGTTGTTTTTAATGACCCTGTAAAATGAAACTACAATTCTTATTCTTTTTAAAAGTAGTTTCTGTTTCCTAACTATATAATCCATCTTTAAACCATCTCTGATCCAACTCACACTGTTTTCAACATCCTGTTTGTTCCTTTGCAGCAAGTTAGTAAATTGTGACTGAAGCTCAAGATCAACCTAAGAAATTTTGTTCTCTGGCAATACTGGTATATAGCAATGTCAACAGTGAGTGGTTTAACGGTTAAACTTACTGCAGGCCCTATGTTGTTGGTACCTGATTATTAAACCTTTCTAAATGACCACAGATAAACATTCCATAGCTAGAAACAAAAATTTTTATGAGCTAATTATTACAGATATTAGTAACTCTAAGCACTCATTATCTACTAATTGCTGCAAGGAAACCAAATCTAAGTCATTTTGTAATTGTAAGCAGCTTAACTGAAAGATTTGAATTTACTAATATTAAGTGACTCAAATTATAAGCATGACAATTTCTTCTTTAATACTGATACTGATAGTAATATCAACTGTTTACAGCATTAGTACTATTCCTCGCTGAATTATAGGTATGATTTTCAGTTGTAAAATATTATTTGGAGGGTCAGAATTTATAAGTAATTCTGTTGTATTTTCAGTTTAAACAAAGCTACAATCTCCAATGCAAAAATAGCACTATGATATATCTATAGAGCTGTTCTTATATTGCATTCCAGTTAGGAAATAGAATATTATTAACCAATGACATATCATGCATAGCATATATCCACCTTTATTAAGTAAAGAATATTCTATTTGCATTCACTAAACGTTTATAAAGATCTTATAAACCCAGCAAAATGTAACTGGCCTGCTTGGCATGTAAGCATCTCTCTCTCTCTCTCTCTCTCTCTCTCTCTCTCTCTCTCTCTCTCTCTCAAAATGTAACTGGCCTGCAAGCATATCTCTCTCTCTCTCTCTCTCTCTCTCTCTCTCTCTCTCTCTCTCTCACTGGCCTGCAAGCATATCTCTCTCTCTCTCTCTCTCTCTCTCTCTCTCTCTCTCTCTCTCACACACACACACACACACACACACACACACATCTATATACAATATAATCATGATATATTGTAAACATTTTTTAAAATCCTTATCCAAGGATATGCTTATTGATTTTTTTGAGAGGGAGGGAGAGAGAGACAGAAACATCGATGTGAGAAACATCCATCAGCTGCTTCTTGTATGCACCCTGGCCGGGGATCAAACCTGCAACCTAGGCATGTGCTGTGACCAGGAATTGAACCTGCAACCTTTTGGCATATGGGATGACGCTCTAATCAGCTGAGCCACCCGGCCAGGACAATGATCATTATATATTTTAAAGTGTATACTCCACATAGTATATACTTACATGTTTCATCAATAAGAGGGGACCACAATGGAGGGAAATCCTTCCTATTTTGTCTTGTACCTCATACCTCAAAGAAAATCCTCTTTCTCCCCAAACAGTGTTTGATGTCACTTAAAAACACTATTCAGCACCATACTGTAAATACCATGTGGATAGGGTCTGTGACTAACTTGTTTACCACTTTGTCCTAGCTCCTTGTTCAGGACCAGGGTCTTGTAAGCAAGCTAAAAAAAATTTGCTAAATAAATGAACATTTCAATAACCATGCTGATGCCTTTAATATACGTGATTTTTTCATAGCAATCACAACACTGACTGGTAATATACTTGAAAAGGGGAGGACATACACTTCATCATTTTCATTTAAAATCATTCTACCCTACCCAGTTTGGCTTAATAGAGTGTCGGCCTGCAGACTGAAGGGTCCTGGGTTCAATTCCAGTCAAGGGCATGTACCTCAGTTGCAAGCTTGATCCCCAGTCCTCATGGGGTCAGAGCTCATGGGGAGGCAACCAACTGATGCTCTCTCTCTTTCTCTCTTCCTATCCCTTCCACTCTCATTAGAAAAATCAATGGAAAAATATCCTCGGGTGAGGATTAACAAAAGAATAAAATAAAATCACTCTAAGAGCAGTTTTTAGAGTAAAGATTAGTAAATCCTATATGGGCATCTAAATAACTTCACCAATAAGCCAAGTAAAAGAAGACAGTTACCGGAAAGTGGGACTGACTTCAGCACGGAGATAAACTTCTGGATGAGCTGTGAAAGAAATCTTCTTTCTTGATAGGCTCTAAAATCACATTCAGAACGACCAATCATTTTGAAAAGCAATTATTTCAAAAGTAAGTGATACTGAACAAGTCTTTCTTATGCTGTTCAAATGTTCCATCTCTCTCTGAAATTAGGACCATAAACTGAACACAAAGCTTCCTCTCTGTATGTAAAGACAGCAATACATGAAGAGCCTCATCCCTGGCCTAATAAGCAACGAAAAAAGCACCTTTTTCTTCTTCAGGTAAAAGCTTTCACTTGTGACTCAAAGGTCAGAACAAGAAAGGACTTTCCAAAATTTAATTTATAGTCTGTCCTTAACATAAAAAATCTATTTAAGGTATGTAGTTAAAATAAGATGAGCAATGTTATTCTTTAATATGCTTTACTATTAAATATAGTAGAGTATTACAATGTCTAAAAATTAAATGTAAGTTTAAAAACAATTTCTACTCCTTACTAATTTAAATAGCTAGTAGAATTAGAGGGTTCCACGCCCAAATGGCTGAAAGAATTCAGAGGAACAGGGCAGAAAGGTAAGTTTGGGAGGAAAAAGCAATTAGTTTTGTTTGCTTAAGCCAAATTGGAGTTCATGGTAATGCATCCAAACAGAAGTATACAGCAAACAGTTATACAAAGATAGGAAAATGTGGAAGTCAGGGCCAGAGAGATTTAAGGGTAAATCATATTGAGGTAATAGAAACAGAGGGTTTTTTTAAAAAAAAGTACTCAAATGATACAAAGACATCATGTAATTAGTCCAAAAGGAATGAAAAAAAGCAATTAAAGGTGGAGAAAGAAAAAGGATTACTGCTAGGACAATCATGTAGTAAACAAGGCAAGAGCACAATTAGACCAGTTAGCCTCAAAAAGATAGAGAAATAAACTCTTCAGAGTATGCGGAGATCCTTTCTCTGTGTCCTACTAACAGAACTCTTGTCGATGAATACTTGTTACCAGACTTTTATCCAATGGATAATAATTACTATTAAAATAACCCACAACCCTCACCTGCTTCTTTAATTCTTATACTTGATTTGTTTTTCTCCTTAGCATGTATCACCATCTAATATACTATATATAGTAATTCATCTGTTTATGGCTGTCTTCCCCAACTAGACTGTAAGCTCCACAAGGGCAGGAATTACTTTCCATTATGTTCTCTGCTTATCTCCTATGCCAGTGATGGTGAACCTATGACACGCATGTCAGAGGTGACACGCGAACTCATTTTTTTGGTTGATTTTTCTTTGTTAAATGGCATTTAAATATATAAAATAAATATCAAAAATATAAGTCTTTGTTTTACTATGGTTGCAAATATCAAAAAATTTCTATATGTGACACGGCACCAGAGTTAAGTTAGGGTTTTTCAAAATGCTGACACGCTGAGCTCAAAAGGTTCGCCATCACTGTCCTATGCCAATGCTAAGAGTGAGGGAGTAAGAAAAAGAAAGAAAACTTGGATTGACGGCCTGAAGACTGTGGAGAAAACTGCAAACCATCCAGGACAGACAGACTATGGATAAGAGGCAGGGAGAAGACCACTGGTGTACAGTAAACCCTCATTTTTGCAGACCTCAATTTAACGGACTTTGGATTTAACAGACAACATTTCCAGTCAGTATGTCATATGTGAAATTTAACACCCTGTTAATTTGAAATTGCTTTTAACCAAGATTTGCTTATAATTAAATTAACAGGTTATATTTTTTTTTGTTATTTATTCAGTTCTTTTCAACAAATTCTACTGAATAGGCCATATGTTGGAAAAAAGACTGTAGTAATTTTGCCAACATAAATAAATATTATATATTTACAACTATAGTCTACATATTTAAATCCAAGAGTCACCACTTGTAAACGATGTTCAGCAAATGATTAGAATGTGATCACACTGCATTGTGCTTGGTGATTGGTTCTGTTGTTAAGTGCATGACTTTCTGCAGCAGTTGTAATGCGTGCCAGCACGTGTTCCTACTTGCACAAAGCCACGCCCCAGCCGTGTGCATTTGTTTCTCGCAGCGACGGGTGAGTGCACACATTTACCAGACCTATTCAGTATAAATTTAAAATTGCAGTAATACATATAGAAAAATTTTCTGTGAAATTAAGCTTTCCATACATAATGAATTTTAATTATACAAATGTGTCTAAATAAGTAAAAACAGGTAAACTAATTTGTCAATTTTTTCACATATGCATTCGGAAAACCTAATTTATTATATAATGGACTTTCAGCTTTAACAGACACCCCTTCGCCCAAATTAGTCCGTTATATCAAGGTTTTACTGTGCTTATCCCTCAGGCAGAGAGAAGGGAAAGAAGGAAAATGTGGTAAAAACACTTCTTAATCATTTATCTGGTTCACTAATATGTAAGGAAATAGCAAACCAGTCAACATCATCTAAGACCCACAACCCAGCATAATAAACCAACAAGAATGAAGCTTTGGAAACATACTGTTCTCTTGCTTCTGGATTCATCTTTTCATCGTTCTTTTTAATCAAGTTCCAGAATTTTCTTAGCTTAGGTGTCTTTTTTAATTCTAATTCCAAGCGTGCCTGAAAGAATTATGAGATATTAAATCACCAGTAACCTCAAAATTTTCAAGAATAAAGATTAGATCAACTATTAGTTTTCTAATGTATGTATATAACAGAGAGCAATGGGATAAAACCTGAAAGCAATATGACAAAACCTGAAAACTAAGAAACGAATAAGTATATTTTTAAAAACTGTTCATTTCTAACACTTGTTAATAGAAAAAACTAAGACAAAAGAAAATGCCTTTCTAGTCAAGATTTTAAGCTCAATAATCATTTAAATTCCCTTATTTCTAAAATTAATTTCAGTTCGAAAAATAGGAGCATTAACATTTACAAGCAAGATGATTAAAAAAGTTTGAAAAATGAGTCTGCAGCAATAAACATAAAACAGATATTATAAATAAACAGATATTATAAGTAAAAAGGTAATATCCACATCACCATATTTTTTCTTATGGCACTTAGCAGTTTTTCACTTACTATTAATTATTTATATGTGTCTGTTTTCATCCCCATTAACTGGTACCTAGAACGAGCTTGCATATCCGAGTGTTTGCAAAAACACCATGCAGGAAATGGAATCCTGAATAAAGTATTACACTGAAATTTGAGTTTTAACTTTACTCCCTAAGGTCTGTTAATTTGACTTTGATATCAGTATATATTTCTAATAAGGATCTGATTTAAAAAAAAAAAAAGTCATTGATATTAAACATGATCTAGAACTTCTCCTATAGCTGTATGTATATATTCCAATTAAGGAAAATAAAAATTCAATTCGATATTGAGTCTCATCCAAAGACATACATTAAGATAACCATAGCCTGGCTGGTGTGGCTCAGTAGTTGAGCCAGGAGGTCACGGTTTGATTCCCGGTAAGGGCACATGCCCAGGTTTTGGGTTCGATCCCATGTGGGACGTGCAGGAGGCAGCCGATTGATGTCTCTCACAACACTGATGTTTCTATCTCTCTCTCCCTCTCCCTTACTCTCTGAAGTCGATAAAAATACTAAAAAAGAAAAAGAATAACTGTATTTTGCTAAATTAAGGCCCTTCTATATGAGCTCAATAGATACTATCTTATATCACCTTATAGTACTAAAATTAGGTAAAATATACATTGGTTTATACATAAGAACTTTAAAACTGAAAAACTAAACCTATGATAAAAATTAATGAATGGTAAATTAGATACATTTTTTTAAAGCAGGAAAAGGGATTTTTAGCTACCATTTTATACTCATATTAAAGCTACATAGTCTAAAACCACATGCTGTACTTATAACATATATACAACTAAATTTCGAATTTAGATACTTACAGGCTGTAAGCCCATCCACATTGGGAGGGAGATAAGCTGCTGTACTTGACTTCGTATCAAGTCTACTTCCTGTTTAAAGCATAAATTAAACAAGTTTATAAACGCATGAGCATTTTAACCTAAGTCTTCATATATGCAACATACCACCTTTTTAAATTCTGGGGGGGGGGATGCGACCAATATTTTTAAATTAATGACACTGTAATATTAAGAAGTTCAATATTTTGTTTTAAAAGGTACAGTTAATCCTCATTATTTGCACAATCTGTATTTGTGAATTCATCTACTTGCAAAAATGTATTTGTAACCCCAAATGCAACATCCTGACACTTTCAGTCATTCACAAACAACACAGAGCAGTGAAGATGTGAGTTATCCAACATGCATATTTCTAGCTCTGCCTTCTTGTTTCAGCTCTTCTATAAACAAGTGTCCCTTTTCCTGGTCTATTTAGTGCTACTTCTTCACATTTTTGCGCCTTTTTAGCGTGGTTTTGCTATTTAAAGTGGCCCTCAACCACATGGTTGAAGTGTTGTCTATTGTTCCTAGGCTCAAGAAGGCTGTGACATGCCTTACAGAGAAAGTGAGTTATATCAGATTTGTTCAGATGTAAGTCATGAGCCATTTGCAATGAATTCAACGTTAATGAGTCGACAATATATATTACATAAGGTGTGTTTAAACAGAAACAAAACATATAAAACAAGGTTATGTAGTGACTGGTTGATGAAAATGTGACCAGAGAGGCTTGCTGAACCTAAACCTATATTTCCCCTGAGGAGCAATGGCTCAGGTTTAGCTAATTCGCTGTTCACAGAAACTCTAAAGAGCATAACTACCTCAGATCATGAGAACTGACCATACATTCAAAAAATATAGAACATTTCAATAAGCTGGCTTTAATTAGACCTAGAACCAAACTAATACTAATTAAATCTCATTTCTGTCCTGTTTTTGATAAGGAATCACATCTATTTATATTTGCTTTGTTCGGTTTAATAAATGTTAAAGATGTGAAAATGACATTAAAAGGGGGCATTATAAATCTATTTTTTATGCCTTTACAAGATCCATGTGAGATAGTACATGGTAACAGGTAATAACCATCCCTCTACCAACATTCAGTCTCCAGGACAGGAAACAACCCCATGCATTCTCCTGCAGGGGTCTAAGTGCACATCAATTCAGAAGCACTTATCTTTAAATAAATAGGCATATACATTCAGATAACCACAGGAGGGAAGCACAAATAAAATATTTATTATTGTAAATATTTAATTTTTTACAAGATAATCTTATGAAGGGTTAGAAATGTACCATATACAACCCAAGAGATTTTCAAAGATCATCCACAAGTGCCCCTACTCAGTCAACTCAAAATGAGCCTCCTGCTGACCTGCCAGCCTGCGGTGAAGTATGACTGAGAGTAACGAAGGTGCTTCTGTCTGTAGCTATAGCACAGATCTCATCACTCAAAAGTCCTATTAACCAGACTCTCTGCTGCTCTACCTTGGAGAATTTCAGTTCTCATTATCATTTTTCTTAGAGTCTAATAGAAAAAAGAGAGAGCAAGTCCAAATCTATGAAAAAGGAAACATCTTATAAAATGGTTTAAGAAGTGGCTGAAATAATTAAGCTGTTAGCATTATCCTCATTGCCCGGTGCTGTGAATGAAGAGTTGCTACAGAGGTAAGATCATCTACAGTCAACTTAAAAGAACAAAAAAACTTGAAAGTTCCCCGAAAGTAAAGTCAAATTACCAAACTATTGAAGCAGTGATCAAGAAAAAGCAGTAAGACTGTCTGTTCATGGAGTGAAAATTCACCATCAGTTTCAGCCAATGCTGCTTTCAAGATGCACTTGAAGAAGAATGGGAAGTGGTCTGGCTTCTTCTTGAAAGTCTGAGAAGAGAAAAATAAAAATTCATTTTGAAATAGCTTGCTCAGCTCTTTTTCTTCCTTAAACAAGCAGTGGTAGACTTTTTAGAAGTCTACTTAAAAAAACAAATAATTACCAAAAGATTATTTGCTTACTTATAATTAACTAGAGGCCCGGTGCACAAAAATTTGTGCACTCGGGGGGGGGGGGGGGATCCCTCAGCCCGGCCTGTGCCCTCTCGCAGTCTGGGACACCTCGGGAGATAACGACCTGCTGGCTTAGGCCTGCTCCCGGGTGGCAGAGGGCAGGCCCAATCCCTAGGTGCAGCCCCTGGTCAGGCTCAGAGCAGGGCTGATTGGGGAGTTGGGGCGCCGCCCCTGTCATGCACAGAGCAGGGCGGATCGGGAGGTTGCGATGCCACCCTCAGTCATGCTCAGGGTAGGGCTGATTGGGGGGTTGGGGCACCACCCCCTGTCACACTCAAGGCAGGGTGGATGGGGAGGTTGCGGCACCACCCCGTCACGCACAGAGCAGGGCCAATTGGGGGTGGGGCACTGCCCCCTGTCACTCACAGAACAGAGTCCATCAGGGGGGTTGGGCTCCGTACCCTGTCACGCAGAGCTAAAGCTGGCCCAGAATAAAAAATGGCCTCTCACAATCTGAGTTGGGGAGCTCCCCCGTCACGCACAGAGCAGGGCCGATCAGGGGGTTGGGGAGCTCCACCCTGTCACTCACGGAGTAGGGCCGATAGGGGAGTTGGGGCACTGCCCCCTGTCACACTCAGGGCAGGGCCGATGGGGAGGTTATGGCTCTACCCCGTCACACACAGAGCAGGTCCTGTGGGGGAGGGGGGGTGCCACACCCTGTCACACACAGAGCAGGGCCGATCAGGGGGTTGGGGCACCGCAGCCTGTCACACACAGAGCCGCAGGGCAATCAGGGGGTTGGGGAGCTCCCCCCTATCAGGCACAGAGCAGGGCTGATCAGGGGGTTGGGGCGCCTTCTCCTGTCACGAACAGAGCAGGGCGGATAGGGAGGTTGTGGCCCCGCCCCCTGTCACACACAGAGCTGCAGGGCGATCAGGGGGTTTGGGTGCTGCCCCCTGTCACGCTGATCCCGGTGCTGGGAGGCATATTACACTTTTACTATATAGAGGCCTGGTGCACGGGTGGGGTCCGGCTGGTTTGCCCTGAAGGGTGTCCTGGATCAGGGTGGGGGTCCCCACTGGGGTGCCTGGCCAGCCTGGATGAGGGGATGATGGCTGTTTGCAGCTGGTCACACACCCTTCAGGCTGGGGGTCCCCACTGGGGTGCCTGGCCAGTCTGGGTGAGGGGCTGAGGGCTGTTTTCAGGCTGGCGGGTGACTGAAGCTCCCAACTGCTCCTTTTTTCTTTTTTTTATTCTGGGCCAGCTTTAGCTCTGAGGCTCCAGCTCTTAGGCCTCCGCTGCTGAAAGCAGGTTTCTGGCCTTTGTTTACCTTCTGTATTTGAAACAATGTTGCGATCCTGCTGGCTGAAGCCTGGCGACTAAAGCAGGTTTCTGGGGTTTTGTTTAGATTCTATATTTGTAACATAGTTGCTTAGAGTTGCAGCTCAGAGGCCGGCAGCGGCAGGCGGGGAACGTTGGAGTCCTCCGTCACTGAAGCAAGCAAGCCTCATGTTAGTTTCAAGCTGCCTGGCTTCCGGCCGCCATCTTGGCTGGCAGTTAATTTGCATATCACCCTGATTAGCCAATGGGAAGGGTAGCGGTCATACACTAATTACCATGTTTCTCTTTTATTAGATAGGACTAGAGGCCCAGTGCATGGATTCGTGCACTCTCACAATCTGGGACCGCTTGGAGAATGTCGGACTGCCAGTTTTGAGAGATGTAGTAGTGCACGAAGCTGCAGTTGGCCAGAGAGGAACCCAAGCCCGACAGGGTGCTGTGCCACTCCGGCTCATCCCAGCCCCCTGCGCCTGCTGCCGCTGAACCCGGGGTCTGGCACCCATTGGTCAGCTGAGCAGTACTCCTGCTGTGGGAGCACACTGATCACCAGGGGGCAGCTCCTGCGTTGAGCGTCTGCCCCCTGGTGGTCAGTGCACATCATAGCGACCAGTCAAACGGTCAACCATGCTTAGGGTTTTATATATATAGGTGGTAGGTAGCAAGTCAAATAGTATAGGTTTCTGGACTATTGAGAGTTGCAGAAATCTTTGGCTAATACAATAATGGCTTTAATTTCTTTATCTTTTCTTTGGTGGATTATGCCTGTAACTACTTAGGCTTTATTGTTTCAGTAGGATCTGAAGTGGTTTAAATCTTCTGATTTAAAGAAAAGAAACAGCATCTTCAGCAAAAATTATAGTGCTCCCACTTTAATTAATCTCAAGGACACCCTCTCCTTTTTTATATTCCCTCTTTACTCTTAACATGTAAATAATGTTTTTTTAAAACGTATGAATAATGTAAAAATATTCAATTCTCTCTTTGATCTACCTCTCTATTCAGTTTCTGCCACATTTCTCTCCTTTCATAGACAAGTGCTCCAAATGTACGGTCCACACTAGTTGTTTTCATTCACTTCTCTAAAACAACTTCCACCCACAGCAGCCCCCTGAAACTGCTACACTGTCAAGTCCAAAGGACTCTTACCCACCCTCAACTCATGTTCAATGTGCTGCAGGCTCCTCTTCCCTTTTTCCCTTATGCGGCAGTGGTTACCTAGAGTTCTAGCCTCATACTTCTTCTACCACCCCTCCCCACAAATGCCACACTACCAAATGCTAATGATTCCAAATACACATCTTCTGTCCAGATTTCTCACTTTAGTTCTAATCTTACATTCCTCTGTAGTGATATCTTAATTCCAAAGGCAATTTAAACTTGATAAATCCAAAACTCAATTCAACAATTTTGTGCCCTCCGAAGTATTCCTCAATCCTCTTTTACCTATTTTGTAAATGGTATTATCTTTTCTATTCAGTTGACCAAGCCTGGAAGGTTATTGAAAATATTACCCTCCTCTAATGCTACAGTGATTATCAAGTCCAATGTATTCTACTTTCTAAATCTCTGTGTAACCTCTTAATCTGCATTGCCATTTCTCTATTTCAAACCACCAAGTGGTCTTTATAATATGCAAACTGATCCGGTCATTCTCTCACTCAAAAGATTTCCTCTTCTTTCCTAAGGTAGTCTGAAGCAACTTCAAGAAATCCCTAAGATCTCTCAATAAGACACAAGGCCCATATTTTGCTTTGGGCTCTAATCTGCCATAGATGGTAGTCACTTCTTGAATATTTGACAAAAGAAACCATGCTTTTATTTTAAAGAGTCTAAAACCTTTTCACTTTGGAGATGAACCCTCAAAAGAGATGACAAGTATCCATTCCTTTTTTTCATTTAAAAAAGAATGACTGAAAGGGAAGAAAGTCATTTTAGGGTGGCCAAAAGAAACCTAGATTTTGAACCTCTACTGACCAAGCCTCTATTTATATTAAGCACAAAGAGAAAATGTCAGTCTATTAGAAGATTCAAAACAATAAAATGAATCCCAAATCAGAGACAAAGAGAAAACTGAAATTACAATATAAACATCTGTCTTGACTTTGGAAACACTATTTTATACACGTGAAACTACAGTTGTGAAACAAGGCACTGCAAAATATTAGCTCACTGAGCATTATCTATCTGCACTAATTAATATAAACTCCACTTTATCTGATGTAAAAGTCTTTATAATCCATGTCATTCTTTTTTTTAAGCACAAAGCAGAAAAATAATTCCACATTCATAATTTTTTAATTAATAGTAAATTAGTTTGAAGGAAGTATTGAAACCAAATGAAATCTAGCATTATTTTTTAATATATCTATTCTTTCTCTCAACATTTAGTTTATTACTGGGTAAAATTCTGTTCTGAAAATATTATTTAGTACTGGTAAAAAGTTCTGCTACTTTGCAATGGCTTTAAGTGAACACAGTATGAAGTAACTTAAATCTGTTACCTCCCATGCAGGGACATTTTCTCTGAACTTCTCATTCACCATACAACAGATGGACATTAAATAGGCCTTGCTGGACACTTCCGGAGAATAATTCATCCAAAGGTAATTTTCAAGGTACTGGCTGTGAAGAGTGAAAAGGCATAGGATATTTCCTTAGTTACTGACATTTGTAATATGTCATTCACCTAAAAAGCATATTATTTACAACTTTCTGAGAATATTCTGAATTTCTATTTGTAATCTGAGAAACATTCACCAATTTACTTGTAATCTAGGTCACTGCTACTTACTACAAACTTATGTATAGCAAATGCAGCTTTGGAGAGTAAGAGTCTTATATTTCAAATAGGAAGACATCAAAGATTACTGACATGTAATTATCACCACGAGAACATTAGGTCTGCCTTTACCTAAGTCTCTTTGTAGAGTAATAAATAAAAATATCTGACAAATGTCAGTTTTAAAACAAAATGATATGATGGGCAGTTTCAGAGAGAAGTGTAATTGAGAATTAACATTGACTCCTATCAGAACCAAGTGACTTCCTAAGAAAGATACTTAACAATCAAGAGTCTTTGTAATATTTAATTTACGAGGTATTCAACATAAGTCAGTTTTCAAGATAATGGCATTTTCCCCTCAAGATGCCAAAATTCTTATTTTAAGACCGTGGTGAAGTATTCTTAATCACATTACATGTTTCTGATTTCCAAAACATAACTTAGTCATTTCTTATTCAGGGTAGTTATAAGCATCAATTACTGTACTGGGCTGTACTCTAAAGCAGCAGTCGCCAACCTTTCGGACCTCACGGACCACCGGTTGGCGACCGCTGCTCTAAAGCACTAATTTTTAAAAAGCAGGATTTGTTGTTCCTACTTTAAATTATTCCACATGCGTAACGTTTTAATCACTTACACCTGCATGTGCACGTGTGCACGTGTGCACACACACAGACAATTAAGTGTTTTAGATTCTGCTATGCACTATAATTTTTCTATTACTTCTATGCTTCAAAGATCTGCTCATATTAGTATTTCCAAGAATCTATCTTTAGCAATCCTTCTTGCTTAATTTGTGAGAACCTAGAAAGCTGGATAAGGAATATTTTACTCAAAATAATGGTCAAGACTTCAAGTTAGAAACTAAAGTGCTCTTTCATAAATAAAATGCATGAAGAATCATTTCATTCCTTTCTTACAAATTTAAATTCTTTATTTCTGAATTATGTCCATTAGAATTTCTGTTAGCAATAGTCTGTTAATGTGTCTGAAATGTCTTTACTTCATGACAGTTTATCTGGTTATAGAATTCTTTCTAGATTGATAGGTTTTTTCCTGTTTACTAATCTTACTCTATTATCTTCTCTATCATTACAATTGAGAATTTTATATTCAATCTATTTTCCTTCTTCCTCTTTGAGTAATCTTTTTATTGAGAAGATTTTAAGATCTTCACTCTTTCTTTGCTGCTCTGCAGTTACTCTGTTCATAATTTGCATTGTCACATAGAAATTATATAAAAGTCCCTGAAAAGTAACCAGTTTTTCAGTTATTAAAAATCGTTCACTGTCATTGGTGCCTGTGATTTGTTCTGTTGCTTTCTCCTTCGGTTCCTGCAATGCTTTGGTATCTGATATTTGTCAGGACCATAGAATTCTGGTTTTATCCTAATTGTATACCAGCATCTTCTTGATTTTTTTCCTGTCTTCTTGAAAGATGATATGATGGAAAGGGCATTATTAACCTAAGGGCCAGATGGGTACAATTCCTAGCCTCACTATTTTCCTCTATAAAATAAGGAAGATCTTATTGGGTTTATTTAGTAATCTCAGTATGATTGCTAGTCTTAACATTAAGTCTAAAATATTATAAAATTGTGGAGGGAATGTCAGATATCTCTCTTTATTATTTTTTTAATAGAAGTATTTCATTTTATATGAATAACTATGCTGTAGTTACAGGGTATCTCTCCAAAGGCAGGTCCAATTAAGCATTGAATACTTAAATGAGATCAAGTATTCAATAACAACACATTTCTTAGGCTATAGTAGGTAGTCAACTTACTAGTTAATTCATAACTATAAACTTTAATTTCTCTCTGTAAAACTGGTAAGAACACCTACTTCCTGCCATTTGTTTGTGAGGGTTAAATCAGCGTTGTAGAAGTAATAACAGTTGTTAAAAGAGAGACTCTGACCTCCGATGCAGACTAAACCTCAGGGTAGCGTAGAGAATAGGAAAATGAGTTCTGGCAACCCAACTCTGCCAATTACTTGGCTGCATTATCTTCCACAAATCACTTCATCTCTCTGATCTCAGGCTCTTCCTCCACTAAGTGTGCAGTATAATACTGAACCTGCAGGGTCGCTATGAGAGCTCTGTATGTAAAATATTTAACACTGTGCCTATCTAGTACAAGACAAGTATTCAATAAATGGTAAATATTACTATCATAAACAACAACTCTGGCTTTTATTCCAGCCTACAGGCCATACCTGGTTGAAATATAACCTAGTTTACCTTCATGATCTAAAAACTGTACATTCTCTTTAGTGTGAAATATTTATAAGTGGCTAGGTCAGAACAAGGCTGCCTTGGTAATAGCAACTTAGCTTGGAAGGGGAAAAAAATGGCTACAGAATGAACTCCAATTTACTTAGGCTGATGACTAGTTGAACCGAGTAAGAGTTCAGAAATTGCTCAGCACACACTATCTTAATTATTGAGAAACAATTCAAAACACTAGTTATAATGACAATGTAGCATCATCTTTCAAAACAAAGGATTTCATATACATATTCCAAAATAAGCAAATCACAATACAAATCTTCAAAAATTTAAGAATTATTTTCTTAACCACTCACAGAAATGTATAAAAAATTTATCTAAATGTTAAATCATACTGTCATATTTAACTTCATCAAAGTAAAGACTTTTAACTCACCTAAATTCCAAGAGCATTATCTTTCTGATGGCAAACCTAAAATTATAAAAATAAATAATAAAAATATTTAAATAGAAAATATAAACACCATGTACCACAAGAAATATAAACATTTTCAGGTAATACATAAAGGAGGATTTTCACATTTCTGATTTATCAGTGTAGATGTATTTTGGAATCTTGTTTTGATTGACTCACATATCACAATAATCATAATTAGATATGCATTGATAAAAGCTAATTTAGCTTTTAGATTTTTTGGTTTGTGTTTTGTTTCAGAGTAGTTTATTTTTAAAAACTGCCAAAGAACAGTAACAAGTTCCCATGTAAGAAACACAATCAACACCATGACATACCAGGATATAACAGAGATTCACAGCAAAATAATTCTAATCAAAACACAAATGTTCTTTAATATTCATAATATTGGATTGAAATTGCTAAATGCTTGCATGTTCCAATTTCTTAAAAATGACCAACAGTCGTTCATTTAATATTCAAATAGAAACAAGAGACACATGCATATATCACCATGTCTGGGAACCAGACTTTTCACATGCTTTGTAGTCTTAACATTAAGCCTAAAATATTACAAAACTGTGGAGGGAATATCAGATATCTCTCTTTATTATTTTTTTAATACAAGTATTTCATTTTATATGAATAAACCATGCTGTAATTCAGGGTATTTCTCCAAAGGTAGGTCCAATGATCCACTAATTTAGTTTTATCATTTTGTATATTAGAAACAAAGTAACCAGACCAGGACTCTGCCACTGGAAAATAGCCTCTGGCTTTAAAAATTAAATGAATTATCTATATATATAAAACCCTAACATGCAAATAGGCTGAACGATGGAACAACCAAACAACCAGTCACTATGACATGCACTGACCACCAGGGGGTGCGCACAGAACATGGCAGGCGACAACAGCAGGCAGCAGAGCTCAGAACATGGTGGGCAGGCCGCAGCGGGATGGTGGAGCAGGTGAGCGGGGGCCCCAGACCAAGGTGAGGCGCCAGTCACTGTCATCGGGTCAAGCCTGTGGTGGTTACTAAAAATTCTTTGCTCCCGCACACCGCGGTCCAGTCTGGTGCTCACACCTGCTGCCAGCACTAGCCCCGCTTGCACCCGCTGCAGGCGCCAGCACTGCTGTGAGCAGCAGCTGCCGGCCTTCATTGCCCCTCAGAGCTTCTCCACCTCCCCCTGCTCCTCAGGGGCAATCGGGGCTGGCAGCTGCTGCTTGCACCCGCTGCTGGCGACAGCCCAACTCGCATCCACAGCTGGCGCCAGAGCCACCACTCGCACCTGCTGCTGGCAGAGAGGGGACGGCTGTGGCGGGAGGGGACGGGCGGGTCGTAGAGGATGTGCTAAGACCCGCCCTGTGCCCACCGTAGCCTCGTGGCCCACAGCCCTTTCATGGTGCATGAATTCATACATGGGGCCCCTAGTGAATATATAATATCCTAAGAGACCATTACCCTGTCAAAATCTTATTCCACCAATTTCCGATCTCTTAAATAGTTTCTCTAAGTAAGCAATGTCATAGAACTTTAGTGAGAGAGAGAAGAGGGTTTTTACTGTGTAAAAGCACCAAGACAGAACACTGCCAACGTACTGGCTGCCAGAGCCAGTCAGTCCACTGAGAGATACAGCCACTTATGTGACACCCTCTAGATCTCCAGCTGCAGACATTTCCCTTTAATTGCAGATTGGACAACAGAACTCACAAAGTGCCACTTTGTACATAACTGCAGCCTCCTGTGGGATCGGGCCTAAACCGGCAGTCAGCCATCCCCCCAAGAGGGCCCAGATTGGAGAGGGTGCAGGCCAAGCTGAGGGCCACCTCCCACCCCCACTGCCCCTGTGCACGAATTTCGTGCACCGGACCTCTAGTAAGATATATTTTCTATCTTACAAAATGGGTCTAGGACTAGACATCATGTCAGAAGCCATTTAAAGAATGAAAAGCTAAAAGTAACAATAATAAATATAAGTAATTTAAAGGATTTGGGGATGGTTATGTTTTTTTGTTACCAACATTTACTGAAAGCATGTTTTCTGCCTGAGTCTGTTCCAAGAGTTTAACATGAATTTCATTAAATCTTCCTAAAGTTGAGTAATTTATGTACAATAAATTGGGTCTATTAACTCTATTGTTAACTGGCTCATTAAATTTGATTAGGAAAAGAGATGTGTGCAAAGGGAACTTCTGTTGCTGCTGTAATTGTCCCTGCTTCCTTTCTTGGGCTATGGTTGTGTGAAAACATGAGGTCTGGAGCTGCGGAGCCCCCTTGCAACCACACAGGGAAAGCCAACAAATATATTGTTGAAAGGCCGAGAAGGACCCTGACATGCCAGACTTCTGGTCTACCTACTTCCAGATATATTATTAAGTAGATGATTGTTAAGTAAAAAACAATAATTGTGTGCAAAAGAAGCCAGGTACAAAAGATTACATACTGTGTGATTCTATTTACTTGTAGTTCAAAAACAAGCAAAACTGAACTATAGTGTTCATTTTGCATATTTATGTATTAAAATGGTAAAGGAAAGGGGCATGCAAGGGCTTCTGGAATGCTGACAATTTTTCTTTCATTTTTACCGTGGTGGTGATTATGAATTATAATAATTCAGAAAGTTATACATTTCTTTTATGCTCTTTCCTATTATATTTCATAGTAAAGGGATTTAAACATTTTAAATAAAAATAAATGTAAACACTGTCAAAGTAAATTGTTCTACAACTTCCTTTTTTTTCAGTATAAAAACCATTTGGATGAACTCCTAACAGGATTAATAATCATAGCAAAGTGTGCTGGTTCAGCATCCTAAAGGGCAGTGAACCCTGTCCTATTTAAGAACAGAGTTTGGCCAAAACCGGTTTGGCTCGGTGGATAGAGCGTTGGCTTGTAGACTGAAGGGTCCTGGGTTCGATTCCGGTCAGGGGCATGTACCTGGGTTGCGGGCACATCCCCAGTGGGAGATGTGCAGGAGGCAGCTGATCGATGTTTCTCTCTCATCAATGTTTCTGACTCTCTATCTCTCTCCCTTCCTCTCTGTAAAAAATCAATAAAATATATTTAAAAAAAAAAAAAAAGAACAGAGTTTGAATAGAGTCAGAGACAAGAATTTAAAACCTGGCTTTGCCTGTAACTACTAGGAAACGACTTGGGCTGGTTACTTGAGCTCTTGGTACCTCCTTTTCCTCACTCATAAAATGAGAATAATGTGACTATCATAGGGTTATTGTCAGGATAAACAAGCTACTACTGTATATGCGAGATGCTCAGAATAGAATCTGGCAGATAGTAAGCACGCAAGAAGTAACAATTATTTTTAATACTGTAAAATCACACAAAAATATGTTAAGACAAGCCTGCCAAATTTGATAATGGATAGCAAATTTGATAATGGAGTTGTAAGCACAAGTTTCCACACTAATCCAAGCCATCATTATCTTGAACCCAACTACTATAATATTCCCCTAACCAATTTCCTGCCTCTTATCCCCTCCAAATTCACCTTTAAAAATATTACCATTGTGCTTACAACTCTTCACTGGCTTCCCCTTACTCCTCAAAAATTCTTTAGCATGGTCTCTGGTCCTGCCTATGTCTGCAGGCTCACCAAACAATTGAAACGAAATAACTAGTCTCTTATTTTTGCATTACCATGATTCTGCCTTTACAGTATTTAGCAAAATTTACTTCATAAAACTCAACACATGAAAAATAACAAATCTGAGATTTTATAAGGTTTGTGACATTCACAACATAGATGCTTCTATTTCAAATTTAGTCAACTATCTTTTTAAAATACACACTGGGAATTTACAGGTGCAGATATGGAAATATACCCAAGATACATTGTTTTTGGTGTTGGTTCTTTTTGGCATGATGCTGAATGGTATATAGAATATAAATTTTTTCTTGTTTAAAAAAAATCTGGAGTGGAAGTAGACTGGAACATATATACTGACAAATAAATAAACTGAAGGTTAAGGGATAGGAACAAACATTTATTTATATTTACCCCCTTCTGTATATTGCTCAAAAAATTTTATTATATATATAAAATACATATTTTATTATTTTATATTTAACTATTATGTACGTTTTACTTTTAAAATTTTTTAAATAAATGTTTAAAAGATTAATCAGAAAATAAGGAAGTTAGTACTAGTTGAATTGAAATAAATAATTTTCATATTTACTCTCCCTCACATTCCTTCAAATACAAAATAAACCCTTATGACTCTTAAGCAGCTAGATTAAAGTTTTCTAGCCACCATTTCCCTGATGATCAAATCAAAAAAAGAAAAGAAAATTCTAATTATGATCACATTCAGTTAAGAAGTTAGGGTAAGATCCAAGTTAGTCCCATCTAATCCCTATATATGAAAATTAAACTCATTCCTACCTTGATTTGACAATCTCTTTTTCATATATATCTTCAATGACCTGTTATTAAAAATATAAAAAATGTTTACTACATCAAACAACATTTTTTCAGACCCTAAATAGTGTTCAATTACTGAGAATTACACAAAATATTTTGATTTAGAAAAGCCATAAAATATTATTGCCATTGAAATAATACTTAAGAAATTTTTCATAATCCCATCACTTTCTTTAAAATGTAATAACAGAAAGCAAAATAGTAGGAAAACATAAATAATAAAAAGAGCCCTAAAAAGAATCATTACAATTACGTGTTCAAACTTAAGTGTCCTTTGATGGGTGATTGGATTAAAAATGTGATTCGGCCCATGTTTCTCAGTGGTTAGAGTGTTGGCTCCACACTGAAGTATCAAGGGTCTGATTCCCAGTCAAGGGCAGGTACTAGGGTCGCAAGTTTGATTCTGGCCCAGTTGGGGCACGTGTAGGAGGCAACCAATTGATGTGTCTTTCTCACATCAATGTTTCTCTCTCTCTCTCTCTTTCTACCCCCCCCCCCCTTCCACTCTCTCTAAAAAATCAATGAAAAAATATCCCCAGGTGAGGATTAACAAAAACAAAAAACAAAACAAAAAAATGTGGTATGGCCCTGGCTGGATGGCTCAATTGGTTGGAGCATTGTTCCATATACCAAAAAGGTTGTGGGTTCGATTCCTGGTCAGGACACATATCAAAGTTGCAAGTTCAATCCCCAGTTGGGCGTGTATGGAAGGAAACAGATCGATGTTTCCCTCTCACATTGATGGTTCTCTCTCTCGCCCTTCCTAAAATCAATAGAAACATATCCTGGGTAAGGATTAAAAAAAAAAAAAAGTGATACATACATATATATGTAAATACTACTTTTTGATAAGAAAGATGAAATACTTCCATTTATGACAACATAGATGGATTTCGAGAATATCATGGTAAGCCAAATAAGTCAGTCAGAAAAAGACAAAAACCATATGATTTCACTCATATGTGGGATATAAAACAGAAAGTAACAAATGAACAAAGAATACAAACAAACAAAAACCTCATAGACACAGACAACACAGTATGGTGGTTAACACAGGATAGGAGGTGGTAGTAAAAGGTAAAGGGGGTCAAATATATGGTGACAGAAGAAGATATGACTTTGGGTGATGGACACACAATGCAATATATACATCATATATTACAGAAATATACACTTGAAAGTTATATAACCTTATTATTAACAAATGTCACCCCAATATATTTAATTTAAAAACAATTTATTTGTATTATTTCTAGGGAAAATAAAAGTTTATAAGATCAGGATCTTTTTTAAAACTTAATTTTAAAGTGCATAAATATTAACGGACTCAGTCTAATGTAAACTGTGCTTTCAAAAGTCAGAAAGAAAGAAAATTAAAAATGTAAAGATATAATGGAAGCAAATGGTATTTGTTACACAGTTTTCCAAATACATAATGATAAAGCCTCAGAATTTCTATTTTCTTAGGTTAGGATAGGCAGAATGGTGTAATACTTAAGAATTTAGGCTCTGGAGATGGAAGCCTGGTTCAAACCACTCATCTCCACTGCTGATGGCTAGGACACAAAAAAGATATAATACAAAGTACCCCATGGGGTTGCTGTAAATAAGACAACACATGCAAGGAATTTAGTACAAATCCTGGCACATGGTGAGCCTTTAATAGTTATCAGTAGAAGTAATAGTAGCACTAGTGATAACTGGGGAAAAAAAAATTCCTACTGGAATTTCTTGGCTGGTTTGGCTCAGTGGATAGAGCATCGGCCTGCGGACTTAAGGGTTGTCCCAGGTTTGATTCCAGTCAGGGGCACATACCCAGGTTGCGGGCTTGATCCTCAGTAGGGGGCATGAGGGGGGCAGCCAATCAGCGATTCTCTCTCATCACTGATGTTTCTATCTCTCTCTCCCTCTCCCTTCCTCTCTGAAATCAATAAAAAGATTTTTTAAAATTTTTTTTACTTCCTACTGTAAAATTATGAAGTGCTTTAACATGGTATAATATATTACTATTTTATGGTAACTGTAATGTCTTTTAACTGCTCAAAGTATATTTGTTAAATAAATGTGGGTGGTGGAGGGAGACAAAGAGGCAAGCAAGTCTTACTCAATTTATATGAGATTTTCTGTTATTGCTTTTCTTTTTATCAAAATTCAAATCATATAATAAAGTGAAGGGCATAATCTTTCTTAAATACCAACCCATAATAACGTTCTTCTAAACAGGCATATGTAAGTTCATCTGGAATTATTACTTGTGTTAACTAAAACAATCTGGATATAAATTTAATTTCTAAAAGAAAAACCCAACAACCTAAATATAATTAGGTTAAACTCAATCTAGTAGTGTCATCAAGATGTTTTTGTTATTAATAAAAAATGTTCCTAGGAACCCCTATACCCAACATATAGAAACACAAACACGTATACAAACAGCATATAATAAGAGAAAGCAACCTTCTTGATAATTAAGAATAACTAATATATGCCATATATATTAATATCTTCCTAATGAATAAAATGGGGTTGATGACAAATCAAAATATATTTAAAATATTTAAGCTTAAATAATGTCAGAAATTTTGGGTTAAATTGGACTAAGGGTATCTGAAACAACACAATTCAACTTATAATGGCAAAGCCTAAAACCAAGTCTTCATTACATGTTAAATGGCATGTAAAAGGTCAGCCCTATTTCATTTAAAGACCTCTCTTTAAGAACCTATTTCAACAAGAGCTAATTCTACATTTAGGAATTTTTTCCTTTCATTTATTCTAAATTGCATCAACTGCATCATAAGTCCAGTCCTTTCCTTATTGACTATTACTGGTCTTTAGTCATCTATCTTCTACATTAAACTCCCACTTCCTCCACCATTATTAACGATCTTTATCTCAGTTCACCAACCTAAAAATAAAAAACAATAGATTCTATTCTAAATAAACTGGCAAAAAGTTGAAGGAAAATTTCTGCATTTTTACAAAGATTTTCATTTCATTGTCATTTATAATAATGATAAATTTAAAACAATCTCTGCATCTTAAACAGGAAAATCCACATACATTTTTTTAAAGCTTAAAGAAAATTCAACAAAATGATAGTACTGGTTATCTCTGAGTAGTAATTTTTATTTTCTTTATGTGTGCCTTCCATATTTTCCAAATTTTCTAATATGAATATTAGTTTGATAATTAGAAAACTATAGTTTTAACTTTTAAAAGTATGTTGCAAACTCAAAATGCTTACCTTTATATCAAAAGGTGATTTTTTCTTGATATGGGGAGCCCAGTATTTACATGCCAGCTGCAAAAGTAAACAGTAAGTCAGACTGATACATAGACTGATACTGAGATCTCTCACTGACAAGGTGTTTCTTAACAGGGCACTACTGACACTGCGGGGCAGAGTAATTCTACATTCTAAGGGTCTATATGGGCTTGCAGGCCTGTTCACAGCCTGTGCCACAAACCACTAAATGCCATTAATGCCCTGCACTGCAACCTACCACTGTGATTTAAAAAAACATAACATACTTTTTAACCACCCACAGGGTAAACAACAGAGCAAAGTGAACAACCTCAGACAAGCATCTTCAGCACAGAGATAAGGAAAGCCAGGTCTAGAAAGATACGTGAGCTGCCCAATAGTACAATGAGTTAACAGTTGACCAGTACTGAAAACCAGAATCAAAATCTTTGGGAATATTAATTTACAAAATAAACCTTTAAATTATTAGTACAAACTCATCCCATACACACCTAAACAAAAACTTTAAAAAATTGTAGTCTATCAGTGGGTTATTATAGAGAATAAGAGGTAGGTTAAAAAACAACAAAAAAGAGTTGGTAGGTTATATTTCAGCATATGAGGTTTTACCTAGAAATTGTGAATTTTACACATATATCTACAATGTATCCAGTTACTTAGATGAATTGTATAATAAGAAAAAACATGGTCTTACTGAGATACTGTTTTTTTTTTTTTTTAAAAAAAAAAGAACCTAAACTACAATCTCTTGAAAAATAGAAAACGTTGGCAATGACAAAGACTCAGTATATTTCTAAAACGGTTCTATGCTGGAGGCACTCAAATTATAGCTGATGAATGGATGAATGACGTAAAATCTGAAATGTTACCTCTTCTATGAAGCCTTCTTCAACCCTACCTGATGGTGACCATAGTCTTGTCTTTCTGTATTATTATTTGCTTGCTTATCTATCTTTCCTGCCCACTTAACTGGAACACTTAAGAGATGGGACCTATGTCTTCTTTGCTACTATGGCTAAGTTTCTATCACAGCTGACACACTTAAAGAGCCTCCCAAGCAACGAGAACATTGAGCCTGAGAAAGTCTCAAAAACATTACCGTCATACCCCACTCATACGACACTTACCCAAATTATCAATCACCTTCCAACCCAAGAGAAAACACTTTAGCCCCGATTATTCTGTGTTCTCACTTCCTCATTCTGCTCCCTATCGGCATCACAAAACTCAGCCATCTTTTCCTAACATCATACCATTAAAAGAACTGAATCTTGCCGGAAGCCGGTCCATTCTTGCTGCTTGACACAGTCACTGCAGGAAAGAAACATCTGCACAGCATATGTTTCAAGGGACCTGGCGTATATGGCATATTGTTCTTAATATGTTTGCTCCCCTTCTTAGAGCTATGTTTTAACCAAGGTTACCTCTCGAGAAAGGTTGTTTCCCCAGGTGGGGATTTTCCCCTGGAGTTAGGGATTAACAGGACTAAGGAAGGGAATAAATTAGTAAAACCCCTTAACTAAGTGCCAGGCGGGTAGTTAATCACCTTAACTACTAACGCTTAAGCTACATAATCTTTACTTAGGATAATCTCCTTCAGTTACTTCCTTATAGCTTAACAGAACAGTAGAGTAGTGATCTTGGAATGGAGATAACAAACGCCCTAACCTTTGGAATAGAATAGATAGGATTAAAATCAAATTGTATAAATACAGATGTAACAGGATAATAGAGAACCTGGCTAGGCTGCTGATCAACTGAACGCTGCCTCCATGCTGCCTCCCTGTCATTCCTTCTTCGCTGACTCCGTCCACACCTTTGGGAACCCCTGGACCTGCTGGGGCTGGACCCCAACAGAATCTACCCTGGCCTGTGTGGTTCAATGGTTGAGCTTCGACCTATGAACCAGGAGATCATGGTTCAGTTCCTAGTCAGGGCACATGCCAGGGTTGTGAGCTCAAACCCCAGTAGGGGCATACAGAAGGCAGCTTATCAATGATTCTCATCATTGATGCTTCCTTGTCACTCTCACTCACCCTTCCTCTGAAATCAATAAAAAAAATTTTTTTTTAAAAAAAAGAGAACTGAACCTGATCTGTTTTCTTGGATTTGGGGACTCCCAAATAAATATGTAAATCCTATCATCTGATCCAAACTGTTTACTGTACATCTCTACTTCATTAAAGATCTAGGAAACATTTATTAAGCATCTATCATGTCTTTTTTTTTTTTTTGGAGTTTCTCCTTTTCCTGGGGGTCTAACCTGTGACCTCTCAGACATCTCTACCTCCAGGAACATACTGCCCTTCCCCACACTCTCTAGTCTCATGTAAAATAGGAATTCTTCCAATTCTCCACTTAGTACAGCTATGACAGCACAGATTGTTAAAACTAAATCTTGAAAGATATAAAATAAGTAAAAACATAGTGGCATAAAAAAGTAAGGTCAAAGTTTAGATATCTAATCTTAAAACTAAATTTTAACCTCTACACCTCATTCATTCAATAATAATTTAAAAGCACCCTCTCTGGTCAGGTTTTGGGGGCTAGGGGGGAGGAAGTGGAGGAGCAGGACCACCTAACGTCCTCTCTACCGAGAACACCTATTTCCCCACCTTCCTATTAATGTTTTAGACTCCAACTTCAATGGCACTTTCTCAATGAGAAAATTCTTTCCTTGGACAAGTGTAATCATTTTAAATTTTATTCTCAAAGCACCTCCCTCACATCACTCTTCTGGCATTTATCACACTGAATTATGATGACTTCTTTAAGTCTCTTAGTCTCCATCCATAGACTGTGAACTCCCTGAAGACAAGGATCACATTTGATTCATCTTTGCAGCCTAAGAGCCCAAAACAGTTATCTGCCAAATAGTAAGCATTAATGTTTGCTATCATGGCCCAAGACTGCTGAGAATGATTATTCCTCTCATCACATCTTAATGCGCCAGTATGTTTATTCATTAATTCATTCCCTCATTCTTTCAGCAAATACATACCCATCACATAATGTGTCCTAATGCAACGCTAGGTGCTGGCAGTGCAAGGGGAGTAAAGCAGACATAGTCCCTAGCCTCAGTTCTCACAATCTACAGCAGGATACGGTACATAGTATATGTTTACAAACAACATTCTGTAGGACATCTCAGTCAATCCTACAGTTTTAAGTACCATCTTGAATTAATAACTTCAAAATTAATATTCAAACCCAGAACTGGCCAACATGTTCTTGATTCCCACATTCAACAGCCTTCCTTGTCAACACTTTCAATGGAATGTCTACAGGCATCTCATACTTACCATGGCCAAAACAGAAATCTTGACATTTCCCACTAAACCATCTCTTTTCCCAGCCTTCCCCATCACAGTAAATGTCCAAATCGTTCGCACAATTGTTCAAATTAGGTTCAGTATGTCTCTTCTTCCATCCCTCCACAAACCTACTGCCTCTAGTTTCAGAGTATATCAGTCTACTTCAATCTTTAATAGTAGAGGTGATCATCATTAACTGGACCAAACGGTAACCCTATTACTACTTTTGCTCTCCTACCCCCATTCCATTAATATGGCAATTAAAATCTGTATTTAGAATAAAATCCAAACTTCGTACCTCAGCCTCCAAAACTGTATATGATCTGGTCCCTACACATTCTCTGTCCTTATCTCATACCATTCTCCCTCTTCTTATGTTTACGATCGTGGCTTTCTTTACCTTCACACAGTAAGACCATTTGACTTGCTATTTCTTGGACTGCTCTTCCCAAGACTAGCTCTTTTCTTTTTCGCACTCAGGTCTTAGCTCAAACATCACCTCAGAGAGGACTTTCCTGCCTTTCATACCTCACCGCAGTCCCTGTCACAACATCTTGTTTCATTTTCCTGATAGCACTCATCACTGTCTGAAACTATACTGTTCATTTGTCCGGCTCCTGCCCCTAAAATATAAGCTCCATGAGAGAAGGAAACTAAGAAACGACTTTTACAAAAAATGCAGGTATATGAAAAATGGAAGACCTAATCTAGTCTCAATTGTCAGTAAATGCCTCTCCAAAGTAATCAAGATGAACTATACTGAATTGGCCATATAAAGGGAGGGAGGTGGAAGGAAGAGGATTCCAAGCAGAGGGAACAATGACCAAAGGCCAGGAGGCTAAAACTGCAAGGCACATTCAAATAAGTGCAGCTCAGTATGACCACAGCAGAGAGAGACAGGGAGAGGAAAACGAATATAAGCACAGGCCAGGTTACACAACACTCTGAACATTTCGGTTCTTTTCCTAAAGACACAACTCTTTAAAGATCTGAAGACGGTAAGTAATATGGCCAGGTCTGCACTTGTGTAAAATCACCCCCACGGCAGTAGGAGGAACGGGCGGAGGAGAGCAAGAGGAAAGACAAGGCAGGTTAGGATGCCCGGGTACAGGCAGCAATCACTGGCAACCTGGGTTCGGGTAGAGACATGTGGCGAAGCAGACAGGTTTAAGAGCTTATTTCGAATGTAGCCATGCGGGGTTAAGGGAAAGGGAGGACTCAAAGCGACTCCAAGGCTTCTGCCCTGGCCAACCCGCTGAGACGGGGGCCAGGGAGCAGGCGGGGCGGTAACCTCTGCACCGCACCATTCGCACTCCGATCCGACACACAGCGCAACGCATGAGGATTAGGAACGTCTCCGAGGGCTCCAGGCTTGTGCTTCCCTATTCAAAGCCAACCGCGGTGCACAAGGCAACACAGCCAACAGGCTCCAATCAACGCGCGCAGGCGCAGGGCGCTCCGACACAGACGCGCCCATTCGGCACGGGTTCTCGTCGCTCCATTCAAAAGCCAGGTTACTCAACGCCCGAGAAACCGCCCAGCCCCTTCCCAACCACCAGCTCAGCATCACCTAAGACCCTCCCTGCCGGTCTCAGGGAGACCAGGGTGTTCCCTCTCCCGCGGACCCATCGCTCCTACGACAGACTCTACGACTACGAAGCTCGCACGGTAACTTTCTGTTCATGCCCGCCTTCCCTAGAAGGAGACTCCGCCGGGCGGGAAGGCCTCCTGCCCCATGGCAACCCCAGCACCCAGCGCGTCCTCCTCCCTCACACACGCCGTGCTCGCCCCATCGCACCTGGGTCACGAACTCGGCGTTGATCTGGGACACCGTAGGGGCCACGATTTTCTTGGGCTGAGCTGGAGCCGCCATGGCAGCACTCGCCCTCCGCTCCAGTGGGGAAGAAAGGCCCGCTCCCAACAACGGTGAGCCCGATGCACTTCCCCAGGGAGCGGCTGCGGCTGCACGCAGGGCAAGCACCTCCGGCCCGGAAATCCTCAGCCTTCACCGTCCCGCGGGGAACGCGTCCAGCAGCCCCAACATTCCCCCGGAAGCGGTACGGAAGTGAGCCGGAAGTCTCTGCAAGCGTTGGGTGTGACTAGAGAGGCAAGGCTTCGACCTCCTCCGCACGCGCCCCCTAGCGGCAAGCTCAGAGAAAACACCAGCAGGCCGGATTTTGAGGTCTCAGCGAGCAGCGCGCCAAGTAAAGATGTGTTTGGCGAGGGTTTCTCTAGGTATGATTGCGGGGCGTGGGACGACTTAATGTTTCTTTCAGCTATAAAAAAGCAGTAGTGGAAAAACAGACCGAGAATGAAGGTCTTGGTTTTAACTGTTTTTAACAGACTCATGGATATCTAAGTTGACTACATACTTAGAGTAAAATCTGATCCGTTTTCAGTCATACATCCGTGAAAGCATCATCGAAATGATAATATACATCTGTTGCCCCTAAGTTTTCTCGTGCCCTTTTGTAATCCATGCCGATTGCCACTCGAACCCACCCATTCTCAGGCAATCACTGATCTGCTTTCTGTCACTCTAGTTGTATAGATTGGTGGTTACTTTTCATAGATTTTACACAAATGAAATAATATAGCATGCACCTTTTGTCTTTTTTCCACTCAGCATAATGATTTTGAGCTTCATCCATGTCGATGCACCTATTAGTTTATTCCTTTTTATTGCTGAGTAGTATTCTATTAAACGGGTTTATGACAGTTTGTTAACCTACTCGTCTGTGGATGAACATTTGGATTGTTTCCAGTTCTTGACTGTTATAAAGCTGCTATGAACATTTGTGTATATACATCTTACTATAAACATACATTTCCATTTCTCTTAATACCTAAGAATGAACAGGAAGGAAATTTTGAAAGTACATGCTGAATTGGCTTTGACCTCATCTTATTAGAAAGCAAACTCATTCCAAGAGTGAATGAAAGGCTCTAAGTGAAGTTATAGATTTAAGGAGAATGTTAAGTTTGCAACAATGGCTCCGTTCATTTCTTCCTTTGTACACTCAGTATATATTTGAGGATATCAAGGTGTCTTAAACTGTTGTGTATAAAACACAAAAAGATGCATTCCCTTTCTTTCCAGAAGCATGTAGTTTAGTCCAGTGGTTTTCAAAGTGTAGTCTCAATACCGCAGCAACAGCTAACCTGTATAACCGACACTGAATCAGAAACTCTGAGGATGCGGTCAGCAATCTGTTTTTAATAAGCCCTCCAATTCCAGTGCATACTAAAGTTTGAAAACCACTGTTCAACAGTGACAATAGAATTATGAACAAAAGGCAGTGGGAGCACAGTGGATGAAATGCTGGGTAAAATCAGAAAGGCTTCCTATCACATGATCTCACTTATTTGTGGAATCTAATGAACAAAATGAATTGACCAACAAAATAAGACCCAAAGCAGGGAGGCATGGAAAAGACGGAGGAGTATTTAAGCTTAAACTTCAAGAATGTATAGAAATTTGCTAATGCAAATGCAAAGTATTACACGTTCCATATCCATTTAATAATACCATCGTACCACTTTTAAGTTTTATTTTCTTCTCTTAGTACTAGTAGAATTCTTGCAGTTAGACCTGAAATTCTAAGCCCTTTTCACAATAGGAGAAATCTCAAGATAGGAATTAAATGTTACCTTTCCCTAAAGCTCTGAAAAGCAAATACTGTGCATCATAAAACAGTCCTTGCAAATGTTATTTCTAACAAAGGATTCTTGCAAGATAACCAGACTTCAAAGACTTGCTAAAATGTCTGTAATTCTAATTGGTTATCTCACATAAACATGTACATTGAAATCCGTTTTCTACAAGTCAGTTTTGAACACTTGAGTTTTTTCTCATAATCATGGCAGAAAAATGAATAAAACCTGGCTCAACTAAATTTCTTCTTTGAAGAGCATGTCTGTATCTAATTTAAATTAATACTAAGTTAATAAGATAGAGGCAGGAAAAATAACAAGGACACTATGCATTGGAGGAACTAATTCTGTATTTCTTTAGTACAAATCTGGAGAGGAAGGCCAAAGAGGAGGCTAAATGGGTAGGAGGGTAGATCATGTGACATGAAATGGAGTTAGCACATCCTTTTGTACGTGATAAGAAGCTATCAATGAATTGTAACATGAACAAAAAGTAAATGCTTAAATACCCATGTTAGTAAGTTCAGTATAGAAGGTGGATCAGAGTGGGCCTAGGAAAGTATGTGGTAATTAGTACCTTGATCCAGCATTATGTAATTTTTCCCTTTAAAAAAAAGTCCAAACTGTGTAATTTGAAACTTTATTTTTAAAATATTCTGAAATTTGAATTTTTCAAGACTCTTAACCACCACCTACTTTTCTTCAACACATACACATTTTGTCCTAAAATTGTGGAACCTATTGCAGTACAAAACAAGAAACAATAATTCCACTAACTAAGCCAATCAGATTGCTTCTGTAAATAATCATGCTACAGCCTGGAATCATCCAAAGGAAAAATTCTTCTAATTCTCTTCAAAGATATTTATAAAGTTTATTTTTCAGAAAACCAAAGTAATTGATTCAATAACACTAACCACTCTGGCATGCAGCAACTCATCATTTAATATCGAATGTTTAATCTTTTCATGGATGTATACAGTTTATTTTCACTCCTATATAGTTTCCACAAGAAGCTTGCAGTGATAGTAAAGGTAAATAAGTACTTTGTTACAGGTACTTCAAATAGCACTACAGTACATCTTTGACAAAATTTTTTACAATATTTCAACTTTCAATATGAAACAGTTTAAAAAGGCATAGGCCAAAAAAAATATACTATCACTTAGGCACACAAAGTCTAATAATCATACAACACTCTTAAGGACTCTCCCTGTTTGGGCTGGGAAAAAAGTATATGAGACATTTACTTCAAATAAAATTATATTAGCAGCTTAGGAAAATCCAAAAATACACGATTTCAGACATATTAAGGGGAAAAAACATTTCGAACCTTTCTTTATTCTTAGAAAGTATGAACTAGTTATTACTTGCTTTAATGTTACAGATGTGTTCTTGAAGTTTTGCCTAAAGCAACTTCGATAAACCATCATGCTTGCACTGGAAGAGCGTACCTTAAGGAAACCTAAGAGAACTTGTTCTTTAAAACATGACTCTCCTGCACATTTGCACATCATTGGGGATTTTATCTGTACTGTTTTGTGTCTTTAAATTAAGCCCGAGTTTCTCAAAATTCACTTGTAAAACATGTAAACAGTCCAACCCCTCCCTTTCACACACAGACAATTCACAGAGTAAATTCAAAACTTACAATTGCTCATTTATTTGTTCTCAATAGAGGGCTTGTCACTGTATTTAAGTGTGCTAGAATAAATACCCACCTGTTCTTTTCACCTTAGAAAGATAATGGTTATTATTTTTTTTTATTGCTAGGAAATGCTATTCTTAAAGATTTTATTAAAAATGATAAATATGAGGGGCAATTTGTGATTACAAATCTTTTATAGTTTAAGATGAAATATTTCCCAAATCATGACAGTACTGTTTAGAAGAATGATACCCTCAATTCTATAAGCATTTTATTCTTATACAAGAATAATTACCTTAATAATTAAAATAACAATTTACTAAGGATCAAAATAACATTATTTTGCATTAGAATCTTATGAATAAAAACCATAACTAAACCAAATCATTGATTTTTGATCAAACAGAATAGATTTAAATCATAGGATCACTCAACGAGGTATTAAAAGAAAGTTTTACTGAAATGTAAAAATTAACTACTGCTGTCATTCATGAATAAGCAAATAGACAAATTACATTTATTCCTCTGAAAAGATAACATTGCATACATGTTAGCAAATGATTGTGGCACTTGGATAATATCCCTGATAAACAAACATGTTAATGTATGGAGGTGCATCCTAATCTCTCTACTACTTTTAAATTATTTTGGGAAAGGCAACAGCAGATTGGGCAAAAAGTGATTATAACCACCTATGAAAAAGGAGGTGAAGCTACCACAGAATCCTAAGACTAAATGGCTTGGAAAAAAACCAGTGAAAATAATGCTATTTTCTCATCCATTTTCGCTTTTATTGCCTTTTTATTTTTTAAACTTACAACAACAAAAACTTTGCAATGGAATTTGAGCCACAGGTGAACAAAATTGTGCTCTCATGTGAAATGTAAAATAAATGAAGTATCATGGAGCTATTTGCTGCAGCCCAAAACCAATTTTTGCCTCCGTTTTTGACTATTTCTAAAAGGAGATGGCATGTCTCAAGGAATAATTCCTTTAAAAAGCAAATGGGGCTGAATTGTTTGTACTGCATCATAGATTTACAACACTTCCAATAAAGCCAAAGATGTATTACAATAAGACAGATGCTTACTTTATGCCATCAAATCATGTTCTTCCCTCTAAAAATATGGCTGTTCCTAAAGCATTGTTTTAATTTTCTATGTATCTTACCTTACTGTGCCTGTAAAATCATTCAACCTTATGCAGGCCTTCTGATGAAAATATATTTTAAATTATACAGGCTTAGAGAACAAGATCACCAAAGAGACCATAAGTTAGTGGCTCTGTCAGTTATATAACCAAATTTAAGACTAGTTTTTCTGTGGTTGTTCCTTAAAATGAGTAAGTTGATGTCTCTTCCAGTGAGGGGCCTGTCTGAATGTTTTGCCACAAACTGAGCATTCGAATGGCTTCTGTCCTGCATGAATTAGATAGTGTCTCTCCAGTTTAGATGGAGATCTAAAACTTTTAGAACAAACACTGCATTGGTAAAGAAGGCCATCATTCCTCTCAGGATGTCCTGAATAACTACAATGACTATGATGGCTCTGCTCTGATTCCAGAAGGGAATTAGAGAGATAGGGCTGCCTGCTCCTATAGGGGGCATCAAGAATGAAATCCTCTGATTCTGACTTAACTTTTATTTCTGATATTTGATCTGACTCCAAAACCTCACATTTTTGAAAACTAGGAGTCTGGCATTGTTGGGAAGCATTATAGTTACCATTATCACCCGGAAGAGTGAAAAGTTTGCTCAAATTGTCAAATTCTACTTGGCAAAGAGATCGTCTGTAAGGAATCTTTTCAATATGAGTTAATTTATGTCTTTTTAAGTGAGCTGACTGTCTAAAAGATTTCCCACAAACATTACAACCAAAAGGCCTCTGTCCAGTATGAATTAAATAGTGTCTTTGTAGTTTGGATACAGAAGGAAATACTTTCTCACATTTGTCACAAGGACACATCTTATGTCCAGTATGCATGTTTTCGCTTGGAACTGAAAAAGCACATTGAAGCACTTTACAGTTATCAAAAAATTCCTCACCTGATGAACCACTGATAGGTATGTCCTTATTATTCATTGAATTTTCCATAATTAACATGTTTTCTGTTGTAAGGATACCTTTCAAGTTTTTCCCCATATTTTGGCTCTGGTAGTGCTTTTGCCAAGAAGATGGCAACATCAATGTTTTCTTTCTTTTATTGCCAACTGTCTTATATGTTCCATGTTTGCCAAGAGAACCCATAAATGTTCTCTGGGTTTGTTCGGGGCTCTGCTCACCAGAAATAAGATCACATTTTTTCAAGAAACTGTTTTTAAATGATTTTTTGTCAGATCTAAAACTATCTAATTTCTTACTCCCAACATGTTTAAGCTTGGCCAAGATCTTTTTAACAATAGTTTTATAGTTGAGGCTTCTTTTGAAACTGCCTGGAATTTTGCCACTTCTGGCAGGAAAACATTTGTGTCCATTGAGAATCTTCTCTGATTCAAAACATTCTTCACACTCTGGACACTGAAAAGGAACAATATAAATAGAATGGACATCAAGTTGATTATTCTCCTCGGATTCACCTATATCACCATTTTCAAAACCATCCTGCTTTGGATTTAATTTATTAGGTAGGGGGCATGACTCTGGATTCTTCTTTTTTAATGAAAGAGTCTGAAAAGTCTTATTCCTGGTATGGATTTGTTTATGCTTCAGAAGTTTGCTTTGAATCTTAAATCCTTTTTGACAGAAACAACATTGAAAAGGTCTTTCTTCTGAATGTGTGAGTTGGTGGATCTTTAAATGAGTCGACTGTCGGAAAGATTTACTGCACAGGACACATTTAAAAGGCCTCTGACCAGTATGAATAAGTGCATGCCTATCGAGTTTTGACTGTGACGGGAACATCTTGCCGCAGATTGTACATGCGTGAATATTCTTTCTCTTCTTTGCAGGACTGTAGGTAGGATCAGACTTAGTAGAGGGGTGTAAGGCCCATCGCTCCTCTGAGGTAAAAGTAGGATACATTCCATACACTGGCTTTTCTTGCTTGGCCTCCAACAATCTTCTAACCTGTTTAACATCATTCTGGTAGGTTTCATTGTGAAGGTGTTGGTGCTTCACGAACGTCTTCAGATTTTTAAAGTGGCGTTGACAAATACTACATTTGAAAGGCAGATTATGAGTTAGTTGATGTCTCTCCAGGTGAACTAGTTGCCTAAAAGTTTTATGACACACATCACATTCAAATGGCTTCTGACCAGTATGAATGAGATAATGCCTAGCTAATTTTGATGGTGTTTCAAAGTGCTTGAAGCAAATATTGCAAATATATGGCCTGTTTCTAGGTAGCTTATTGGCTACTACACACTGTTCAATCTTTAGCATTTTTAAATTGTTTTCAGCCATCATATTCTTCAGTGATACATTCTGATGAGCTCCATAGTATTCTTACTCTCCACAGATGTCTAAAAATAAAAAATAAAAATGTATTAATTTAAAAATTATTTATTCATATGAAAAAAATAATTATAAATTGTCCTTTGGCTAAAGATATTAAGGATAAGGGGGAGATCTGGACTTTTCTTGTATTTAAAATAACCATTTTGGATGAATACTTTAGAATCATAAAACTAATTTCACACATATAGAGAAGTGATGAGTCTTTAAAAGAAATATTTAAATAACAATATAATTTCAAGCTATATTTCTAATTAAGATGATACACTGCCTGCTGGCGTGGCTCAATGGCTGAACATTCACCTATGAACCAGAAGATCATGGTTTGATTCCTGATTAGGGCATATGCCTGGTTGCAGGCTCGATCCCCAGTGTGGGGCATGCAGGAAGCAGCCGATCCATGATTCTCTCTCATCACAGATGTTTCTATCTCTCTCTCCTTCTCCCTTCCTCTCTCAAATCAATAAAAATATATTTTTTAAAAGATGATACATTAAGATGAGACTAAACTGATTTGTCAATATTTAGTTGCTTTACCACTTTAAAAAATTTAAGTGTAAGAATGAAAATATAATACTAAAAATAAGATGTATTTTCATTCAATTACAGCATACTATGGACATGATTTGAGAATGGAATATTTCATTTGTCAAAGTTAGATTTCATCATTAACACTATTTACTCTCAATTACTTCTTCTTTGGACCAAAAAAAGACAACATGTCAACTGGGAGAAAATGTCCCAGAAAACCTGGGTTCTAGTCTTGGATTTGCCACCGTATGATCTTAGTGCCAGGAAGAAGGAAATACAGATTCCTTATCTCTAAATCAGAAAAATGCCTCCTGATGCATCTGAACATGTTGAAAAACTGAAGCGATATAAATGTTAAGGTATCATTTAGCTCCAAACTGATCAAATTTTAAAACTTTATTCTTATCTACTTAATATCATTTCTAGGGTTTCTAAGATATAAAAAAACTAATTAAATTTACAGTTCTTTTTATTTATCCTTTCCACTTCATTATAGAATCTCCAAAAGACAAGTTCAGAGGCAAGGAAGTCCACAAACTGGTTACATATATACCTGTCTATGGCTAAAAGTAATTGAAAGTTGATTGTGATTCACTTTTTAGGCAATATAATAAAAGGATCATTTTGTTTTCAGAGTTAATATAAAGATACAACTTTTCTTCTAATATACTTCTGTAGGACACATAGAAAAGGCACTTTCACAACCATCTTACACTCTATCTTCCCTTCTTTAATGAGAAAAGCCAATTTTCTTCTCATCCTTCTTCTACTGCTGCATTCTCTTTAAATAAGGGAGCCAGAGATTTACAAAACAAAAAAAATTGTTCTAGCTCTCTCATTCTAATGTTGTATCTTCTAGTTGAGATCAGAGAGATAACAGGTTTACCAGAAACTCAGGGTTCTTTTGTCAGTTGATTTATCCAAATCCAACATATATGCTATTTGCTATTTACTGTCCTCTCCTAGAAGACACCTTAAAGACACCTTAACCACAAAACCACAAACACACACAAGGTGGTTCTCTTCAGCAATCCGAATCAGAAGGAAAAAAAAAATCATAATTCATTTGTTGAGCAAATATCTTCTAACAGTTGCTTTATCAGTGTTTTTCAAACTGCATGTCAGTATACATTAATGGACTATAAAATCAGTTCAGTGGATCATGATCAGCATTTTTGTTTCATAAAACAGAATAGAAAATATCAGATTGTATCACATGGTGGTTTTCAACTGGTGTGCCACAGCAGCCTGGTGTGCTGCAAAAATTTAAAAAACATGCAATATCTGACTAGTCAGAACTGACCTCTTTTCCCTTAGATTGTCAAATTAAAAAATGGCAGCAGCCAACACAACAATAATCATCCAGTGTGAATGAATCAAAATTATACCTATTTGTTTTGTAAGATTGACAAAAAATATATTTTTTGGTGTGCCGCAGAATTTTAGTAATTAGTTTATGTGTACCATGAGATGAAAAAGGTTGAAAATCGCTGGCATAACATATAGCAAGGATAAATACTGTTTTGTGAAACTTCTGTAGGAAGAGGTAAAAAAGTTTGTGAAAGCTGTTTCTGGCATACTTCTTCACACAACACTAGACAGAGGAACCCACAGCAAATCAATTACTTTATTCAAAGTGACTAAGTTATCTATTAAGTAAGATGAAGGCCTATAGCAGTGATGGCGAACCTATGACACGCGTGTCAGAGGTGACCCACGAACTCATTTTTTTGGTTGATTTTTCTTTGTTAAATGGCATTTAAATATATAAAATAAATACCAAAAATAGAAGTCTTTGTTTTACTATGGTTGCAAATATCAAAAAATTTCTATATGTGACACGGCACCAGAGTTAAGTTAGGGTTTTTCAAAATGCTGACACGCTGAGCTCAAAAGGTTCGCCATCACTGGTCTATAGCATGAGACAGGATTACTAGTATAAGGAAGACAACAGTGTCTGGTTTGCCAATATAATCCCAAAATAGTTATCAAAAATCTAATTAGAGGCCAAAGAAAATATCCCACAGAGATTTATGCAAAATAAAATAAACTGATTGCAAGCCACTTATCCTAATATATAAAACCCTGAGTCCGTCACATCCACAACGACCAGAGGCTCAACCTAACACCCAGGCTGCGCGTGCAGCAGGCTCTGGTGGGTGGGAACTTGTGGCAGTGGAGACGGGGACGGGGGAGGTGGGGCCGGCACTCACACTCACTCACAACTGCACACAGGCACAGACACACACAGCGCCCACCAGCTCACAGCCTTTTCTCCCTTTCTTTCCCTCCCTCCCAGCTCACTCTCGGAGCCTCTCTCAGAATGAGGAAACAAAACAGACTGGGCCTGAAGAGGCCTGAATGGAAGGGAGGGTGGGCAGAGGGTGTAGCAGCCCCCACTGGCCCCTTCCCCTCCCAGCCAGCAAAGAGGAAGAGGGAGGCAGGGAGGCCTGGAGGACTGCTGAGAAAAACAAAGAGAGACAGAGACTGGGCAAGATCAGGCTGGCAGGGGAGAGCAGTTGGGGGCAACCAGGCTGGCAGGGGAGGGCAGTTAGGGGCAATCAGGCAGACAGGCAGAGAGGTTAGGGGCGATCAGGCAGGCAGGCAGGTGAGCGGTTAGGAGCCATCGGTCCCAGATTTCTAGAGGGATGTCCGACTGCTACCAGGCAGTCGGACATCCCCCAAGGGGTCTCTGATTGGAAAGGGTGGAGGCTGGGCTGAGGGAACAGCCCCCCCCCCCCCCGCACGAATTTTGTGCACCGTGCCACTAGTATTAATTTATAAAATACCCGGATATCCATGTAAGTAACAATCAACTGCTGGTGCTATTAATATGCATTTTCATGATGGAATTAGAGAAATTACAGGTGAACAACCTCCAAATCCCTAATTGCTAACACAATAGCAGTTATGAGGATTAAAAGTCAGTCACAAATCTAGTGAACTACCAAGAACTTGGCAATATATTCAATTCCTGTCGATCAATCAGGTGTTAACATAGTCAACCAAGACAAATGAGCCAAACTGATCAAGCCTTTGTTCCCTTACTGCGACAGTGCAGGAGAGAAGCTAAAAGAAGTACTACTGGCTCCCCAGTGGTCTACTAAATGGTACGACACTAGGTGAGAGTCAGGTAGATACAGTGCACACAATCATCTTACTATAGAGGCCCAAACAAAAGGCTTCGTCTCTTTATGGACCTGTGGGCCAGACTAGGGAGGAAGGAAGGAGTTGAAAGGTCCTGAGTCAAAATGCAGAGAAGTGCATCAGTCAAGGCCATTCCCTCCCAGTAAGGTCATGGTGGAGACACCTGGGAAGTGCCTCAGCCAAGGTCCTCAGAGTGGAGTTATCTGAGCCACGATAGAATGCAGTGTCCTATGAGCATGGCTAGCTAGCAGCAGGAAAGGAGCGAGTCCCTACATGCAACTCCCTCCATGCACTGACCATGCACATGTGTCTGTTTCATAAAACAGAGTAGAAAATATATTTTTCCACCTCCCACTGCCTGGCCATCCAAGCAAAGCCTTGCAATTGTATATCCTTGGATCTGAAAGATCACACAAAGGATTTTGGCCTGGAGCCTCAATTCCTGTTGTATATTTCTCCTTCTCTTTGTATCTATGAAATATCCTTAAAAGAAAAAAAAAATCCTACACTAGACCCACACACAAACTGCCATCTCTGATTATAAAAGGAATTGAGTACCTACAGCTCCTGTGCCAAAAAGAGACTATGGTTTATCATCTACCACTAGGCTAAGACTGGATATATTGTCACTGATCTCCACATCACATGGGAAACCACTTAGGAGGAGCCCTATATTGTTAGCACCATGGGTGGCGAGCAGTGATCTCATCTCCTATTTATAAGTGACAGCTCAGGGATCCCCGACGCTCCAAGTGCTGTCCACCCCGTACTTACACGGCGTGCATATTAATTCCATAGAGGTCCAAATCCTACTTCAACTGATTCTCTATGCTCTCAATTAATTCTTTTGGTCAAAAACAAACAAACCAACAACAACAAAAAAAACAACAACCCCCAAACTATGTAGTTTTTCCTATGTTAAACTGAAAATAAAAAATAAGCTAGCAAACCTCAATCGTTCGATCTGAAAACTATCCTGACCACAGCATGATACACTCCGTTATAAGGCTGTAAACACTGATCTCAAAAACGCCAAAGTTGCTTCAAGGCCAAAAACCTGTTGGTTTTCTAAGTCTTCACTCACGCCCTTAAAACGAAGTGAGTCTTTCACAAAAGTCAATGAAAAAAGAAACGAAACACCTGAGAAACTCAGACAACTTTCACTTGGGGCATAACTGACCACAGCCTTTCCCTCTTCCTACTCTCCCCCCAACACACACACACAACACACACACACACACACACACACACACACACACACACACACACACACGGCCACTCTCCTTGGCCTTGAATCGCGGGGGAACTGCACTGGACGGGGGACCCAGACATCCGGCCCTCGCCCTAATCGCCCACAACCAACAAGTACCTAGGGGTTCCGCCCAGCACGGAGATTGCAAAATCCCACACCAGGAAAGGAAGGGCAAGCAAGGGTGAGCACTGCTCCGGCCGCAGCCAGGGAAAATATGCCTTATGTGGCATGACCCGTCCCAGCGCAGGAGAAGCATTCTCCCTGGGCCTTGCTCTCGGCGATTCCCACTCCCGCGGAGACACGGTCGGGGCGCGGGGAACAGGCAAGGAGAAGGAGCTAAGGTCGCGGCGCCCCCGTTCTGGGTCCCTGAGAACTTTGGGGGAATGGAGGCAGGCCCGACCCTCCCTGGGGCTCGCTCCACCTCACTCCCGGGCTCCGGACGCCCTCCTCACGCACCTGCAGCTGCCACGGAGCCGGCGGCCACACATGCCCGGAGCCGCGAAGGCCGCTACCGCACGTTCACGGCACTGAGCGCAGGTCCTCAATGCCGGCGCGGCGGCGGGCAGAGCGCGCAGGCGCGCACCGGGGAGCGCCCAGGGACGTGGTCCGGCTGGAAACAGGCTCCCCGGAACCCTAGGGCCGCCGTCGCCTCGGCCGGCCCGCCAGTCTCATTGGGGAGAGGGTGCTCAGAGAGAGGTGCGCCCCCAACTCCAGCGCCTCTCACCTGTCTTCTTTGGAGAGATAGACAGACCATGAGAGACTATTACCTGAGGTTGGGGACTAATGGAGGGTACATTACCTGCAAAATAAATAGGCCTTTGCACCTGAATATGGAGTTGGAACACCAATGGGACATGAATAAGCTATTTTCCAAGGCCACACCTTACCTCATAACCTTCCCCACTTACCTTAACAGCTATCTCAGGAAGCTTCTGGAAAAAGGGGGAGAAATTATCATGAATAAGAGTCATCAGTTATTAGGTGAGATTTGAACATGGACTTAGTAAAGGGTATAGTATGGATAAATAGAATATGTGGAGGCAGGATTGAACACTATAGATGGCAGTGGTTCTCAACCTGTGGGTCGAGAACAATGACAATACATCCTGCATATCAAATATTTACATTATGAGTCATAACAGTAGCAAAATTACAGTTATGAAGTAGCAACAAAAATAAGTTTATGGTTGGGGGTCACCACAACATGAAGAACTGTATTAAAGGGTCACGGCATTAAGAAGGTTGAGAACCACTGCATAGGAGAGATGGTAGTAGTGGAAAGGAAAAGTAAATGAATGTCATGGCATACATTTGGGTTAGTATCTTATCTCTGCAACTTCCTAGTGCGTGTCCTTGTAAGTTATTAGCCCTTTCTGAACCTCTGTTTTGCCATCTTTAAAATGAGGAAAGTAATCAATCATCCATTTATTTAATGATATATCATGTATCAAACACAAGGGATTCACTTCTAGGTATATAAAGATGGAACAGTGAGGCTCTAGACTTCAATGCAGTTTTCAGCTCAGAGCAGCATGCAAACAAAGAAGTGCAGTATAATAAAAAAAGATATGTATGGGACAGGTGTGGGGGTGCAGACTATTTAAATCTGCCTGGGAGCTTCAGGTAGAGATAATCTTTGAGTGGAGGCTTTAATGATCTATCCACCCATCCAGCTGTCCTTTATATATGAAATAAGCACTTGTGATGTGTCAATTCTTGTTCTAGGCATTGGAGATAGAGTAGTGGACAAATTGCAAAGTTAAAAATCTCTGTCTTTGCCGAAACCGGTTTGGCTCAGTGGATGGAGCGTCGGCCTGCGGACTGAAAGGTCCCGGGTTCGATTCCGGTCAAGGGCATGTACCTGGGTTGCGGGCACATCCCCGGTGGGGGATGTGCAGGAGGCGGCTGGTCGATGTTTCTCTCTCATCGATGTTTCTGACTCTCTATCTCTCTCCCTTCCTCTCTGTAAAAAATCAATAAAATATATTTTTTAAAAAAATCTCTGTCTTTATATTTATAGTTGATATTTTATATGTCTATATGGCTATTGAGGGAGACAGATAATAAATTAAAGTATAATATATAATATATAGTATTCCCATACTGATAAGAACTGAAGAGAAAATAAGCACAGAAGGGGGCTATGAAAATTTGGGGCTGAGGGCTTATTGGCTTTTTACTAGATAGCCAGGGGTAACCTTCCTGAGAAGTTCTGTGACTTAAAATTTTTTAAATATGTTTTTATTGATTTCAGAGAGAGGAAAAGAGAGGCAGAGAGAGAGAACAACATCCCTCACTCTGGCTATCTCCTGCAGGAACCCTACTGGAGATCAAGGCTGAAACCCAGGCATGTGATCTGATCTGGTGCATGGGATGATGCTCAACCACTGAGCCACATGGCCAGGCAGAAGCTCTGTGATCTAATAGTAAAGAGAGATCCAGACCTGCTCATTCACGCTCCACATTTAGAGCTTACCAGGTGCTTTGCAAGAAGCTAGGACAGGCCTTAAATGCCTGGCAAAGTGTTTTTTTTTTTCTTTTTCTTCTTCTTTCTTTTAATCCAACAGGCAATGGGAGATTTTTGAAGAATTTTTTTAAAAATATATATCTTTACTGATTTCAGACAGGAAGCGAGAGAGAGAGAGAGAAACATCAATGATGAGAGAGGATCATTGATTAGCTGCCTCCTGCACGTCTCCTAATGGGGATCAAGCCCACAACCCAGGCATGTGCCCTTGGCTGGAATCGAGCCTGGGACCCTTCAGTCTATAGGCTGACACTCTATCCACTGAGCCAAACCAGCTAGGGCTTGGAAGAATTTTGATGATAGATATGGCATGCTTAGATTTGTGTCTTAGAAAACTCACTCAGAAGTAATCTGTATGTATAAAACCCTAATATGCAAATTGACCAAACAGTGGAACAACCAAACAACTGAATAACTGAACAACTGGTTGTTATGATGTGCACTGACCTCCTGGGGGAATGTGCTGGACATGGCAGGCATCGGCCACGGTGGGATGGTGGAACAGGTGAGCAGGGACGCCAGACCAAGGTGGGGCACTGTTTGCTGTCATTGGGGTGAGCCTCTGGTGGTTACTAAAAATTCTTTGCTCCTGCGTGCCGTGGTCCCACCTGGCGCTCGCACCCACTGCTGGTGCCTGGTGCTGGCCCCGATCTCTCGGCACTGCCAGTGGGTGTGAGCAGTGGTTGCCGGCCCTGATCGCCCCTCAGGACCTCTCCACCTCTGCCTGCTCCTGAGGGGCGATCGGGGCAGCAGCCACCGCTCACACCTGCTGATGGCGCTGGCCCAATTGCTCCACTCTGTCAGCATGTGGGAGCAGCAGCGGCAGGAGCAGGGCTGCTGGCAGACAGGGGACAGGGGCCCACGGCAGGAGGGGCTGGACGGGGGTCTGGAGGATGGGCTGAGATCCACCCCTGTGCCTACCATAGCCTCGCAGCCCACAGTTCCTTTCAAGGTGCACAAATTGGTGCACTGGGCCCCTAGTCTTGATAATAAAATGGAAGAGGCAAAATTAGAATAGCCATGCTGTCAGCTGAGGCTGCCTACTCCTCATATAATTTGAATGAAAATCCAAGTCTGTGGCTTGTGACAGCCTTAATGATGCCTGTAAGTTCTTGCAATTTGCTCCTAGTATCTGTTCTTGGTAGCCCTTACCCTCTAGGCCAGTGGTCAGCAAACTGCGGCCGCGAGCCACATGCGGCTCTTTGGCCCCTTGAGTGTGGCTCTTCCACAAAATACCGACTTCTGCGCATGGGCCACAAAGTTTCAGTCGCACTGTACATGTGCGCCTGCACGTGGTATTTTGTGGAAGAGCCACACTCAGGGGCCAAAGAGCTGCATGTGGCTCGCGAACCGCAGTTTGCCGACCACTGCTCTAGGCTATCTTCTTTTATGAAATAACATATTGAGTATAGAACTCAGCTTCTTCATTAGTTTCTGGAAAAACATCCATTCACGTTAATTTCTTTGTGTGTGTGTGTGTGTGTGTGTTAAAAATATTTCATTGAAGATTTAGGAGTCACTGGGGATTAGAGTTTCAACTGAGAGGATGTAGGGCTTGGGAGCAACTGAGCCACTACTAATTGCATCCAAAATAATGCACTTGAAAGGAGTCCACCCTTTCAGCATCTTTCACAGGCCTTTTGGAATATTTTAAAGGCAAAAATTTTAAAACTGAGTTTTAATGCTTGTTAAAGCCTCTCCCGGCCCCCACGTGATCAGCCCAGCAGAGAGCTGACATTTCCTGTTTATATTCCACCTCTTATCTTTCCTCTTCTCTCTTCCTCCTCTTTCTGTGGTGCAGCCAATAAAAGCATCCACTTGCCTCCAGCAGATAATCCACTAAAATCTGCACCCCTCAGGTGTCCGTTTCTACCCCCAAGCAATTATTAAAGAAATGTTCCAACAAAGACAACGGCTCTACCTTTCTAAGAGGATTTTTGGTGAATGAAATCTTCTTATTTCTAGCATATATTTTCCTCAAGAAAAATAATGGCAGCCTCTTGTATATTTTTCTACACAACCTCTGAAGGCAGAGTGGAGGGGGGTGGACGTGGGGAGTGGGGAGTTGGGATCAAAAGGTAAAACACAGAACAGCTGTATTTTAGTGAAGGCAGCTGGACCATCTCCAAGTCATCGTCTGGTCTCAGCCTCCTACAGGATTGCCAGAAATTTCCTCTAAAGCTCCACTGGGGATAATGCCTATTGGATTTCTGGGTCTAGTTACATAGCAGCATCCTACCCAGCCCATCGGCTCATCATGTATTGCCTCACTGCGTAGCACCGGGGTTCCGCAGTTACCCAGATGGCAGGCAGGATTCCTCACAGAAGGCTTTGACCACATTTGTTCACCGGTAGAGTCAGGGTCGACCTCTGGACTCTCACTAAATGGCCCTTTGACTACTGTAACACCAGGGTCTAGGCCAGTGGTTCTCAACCTTGGCTGGATCCAGAAATCAGGATTTTAAAAAGATTCCCAGGTGATTCTAATGTGCAGCCAAGGTTGAGAACCACTGGCCTAGGCCAGTGGTCGGCAAACTCATTAGTCAACAGAGCCAAATATCAAGAGTACAATGATTGAAATTTCTTTTGAGAGCCAAATTTTTTAAACGTAAACTATATAGGTAGGTACATTGTTATTAACTTTATTAGAGTACTCCTAAGGCTTAGGAAGAGCCACGCTCAAGGGACCAAAGAACCGCATGTGGCTCGCGAGTCACAGTTTGCCGACCACTGGTCTAGGCCAATGAAGGAGGGAGGGTGCAGTTGTGGTATCTACCAAGCTCTTTTGCCTCTCGGGTAAGGAGAGCTTGACACTGTGATCTCTCTCCTGTTTCTAGACCTTAATTTCTGGTGGACAGGATAGAGTTCTTCCCACAGGGACACTCTACCAAAAAAGTGCCCATCCTCAAAAGAACCAGAACAGACTGAGGCATTTTTCTTCTCAGCTCTGACCTTTAGCAATGCTGTGGGTTTGAAATCCATCTCTGCGGGCTGCTAGATTCCAAGGGCATGTATGTGAGATATGACTGATCTCTTGTTTAGGGCCTGACTTCCTAACTAGACAAACA